CGTCCTTCGGTTTGCTCCTGTTAACGTGTGCTTTGTTTAACGAATCGTGCAAATGCGGGTGGAATCGGAATCGCATCTCGGAATGGTTTCGTTTTGGGGATTGTTAAGGGACCTGTAACTGCAGGCCTGGAAAATGATGAGCAGTTTATTTTGCACACTTTTTTTTGTGAAAAGCTGTTGTTGTTTGGGCATTTATTTGATTATGCCGAGTATTTTATTTTTCAATCAAAGCGCGGCGCCGCACATTAAATTTTGATTGTTTTTCGGCTATGAAAATCACAGCAAAAAGTTTCCCCCGCAACAACAAGTTATTTTGATGGCTTCATAATGGCCCGAACACCCCGAAGAAATTCCCTTGATGCCGTTCAAACTTCGGAGCATAAAAACCTCGGCCGAGGCAAATCGCTTCAGGCATTTGCCCAAAATGATGATAATTAGCCGGCAAAACCGAAAAACCAGCCAGCAAAAAGTAAAAGTCAAATCAAAAACTAAACAAAAGTGCCGAGGAAATTACCGCAGCTCAAGGAGGGGAGGTGGAAAATCGGGAGGGGGTGTCAGTCATGTCCCAATGTGAAAATTAACTTGTAAGGGTGGCAGCGAAGCAAACACCTCCGAATTCGAGCCCCGCGAGGATAACGATTTACAATCAGGAGCCAGCAGCGAAGGCGCCAAGCGTCAAAATAAAAACTTTTGCATTTCATGCTCGACTTTCTGGCTCGCGAAGATTTCCTCGAGTGCGATTAAATTGTTTTAATGGTTTTTGTTTCTTGGCAATACTAAAAGAGGAAGGGAAGTTAAGGTGGTGAGCCGCTTAAAGTTTTTGCTTTTTAATGGTACACATTTTGTGGCTGTTTGCGGGGAAGGGAAACTAATTGTGGCAGGAACAACAAAATCGTTTAGAAGAGTCGTCCTGTTAAAATGTATTTTATTGGGAGAGGGAAAATAAGCAAAGTTAGAATGTTAGAATGTTAGAAGAAATAAGTTTATAGAGACTTGACCACAAAATAATTTAAAGAAATATATTAACAAGTAAACAATTTATTTATTTTAAATTGAGTATTTTTTTGGTTATAAGTTTACATTGAAATGGTTTTAAAAATAACAAATTATGCACAATATTTTTATTAATTTAAAATCTAAATGCTGTCCAGTTATTCAGCTTTGAGAAATAATATCTTCGGTGCAACGTAATTCCCTAACAAAAATTCCTTTTTTTTTTATTCGTGCTAATTTAACTGGCAAGCAATCTCTGCCAGTGCCAAGTTCATTAAAAGCAGCCAAAATTCTTTCACCCTTTATAAAGTCGTCTTCAGTGACCAGACTGACCATTCACATGCACGACTCTCCTCAATCTTTCCACCCTTGTGAGCAGGACAGCCAGCGCAGCAGGACATTCGGAGGAAACAGCCCTGGCACTTGCCTCTTAATTAAAGTTAAGCCCCAAAGAAAATGCCAGTCAGTGTTGGCAACGCACAACAGAAATTAACAATTATGAATTTAACAAGAAATTATAATGCAAACGGGGCCAAATTAGATTTTTATTGTTTAGAGCGGCATTATGCAAATGTGGCTGAGACAAAGGCAATTAACGTTAACCGCAAAAAATGCCAAAGACTGACTAAATAATGAATGTTCGAGGGCAATCGTGCGTATGAGTAATTTACTCAGTCACTTCTTGTCCTCGAAAATCCCCATCATCATCATCGTTATTAGCATCGTCTTGGTCTTGTGGTTGGCCTGACTTGGGGTTTTGTCAATCTTTTCGAGCAGCTGGTCAAAGTTTTTGCCACCGCCTGGAATTATTCATGGCGGCCCAGGACCAACAGGACCAGGGCATTGAAGGCACGCCTCGAGCGTGTAGCAAACTAATTACCCCCAACCCCGAGATATGTGGTTCCCCCTCACTAAGGACACTATCCTGTTTGTTTGTTTGTTAGTGAGACATGTGTGCCTTGTCTGCTCGCCTTTTAATAGTTTCATAAGCTCCATTTAAGATTCGCCGACACATGTCCCAGGGAATGGTGGCGAGGTTCGCATACATTATACCCAATTTCGGGTGAACAGCAAAGAAACATTTACATTGACATAAATTGATATCAGAGCGTTTATGTCTTCATTGAGATAAGACAGCAGACGGACGGTGGGCGGGGCCGTGCCATTAATTGACATATTTATGAGGGTATCCTTATGGCCGTGATTTGATTAAGGCGATGAGGGCTTGCTTTGCTAACGTGTAGGTAATATCCCGCCCAGACAAAAATTTGGGTTATATGGTTAGTTGTTTCTAAAACTACTTTAAAAATGTTTTACTATGACACGAATTTGTTAATCCATCTTTTCATTATGGTCTCTTTTTATATTTTTCCTCTCCTTATCGTGACTTGACAGGTTTACTAACCAATATTTAAACGCAATTATGAAAGGGGTAACATCATAAAAATTACGAAAAATCGATCGGAAACTACAAATCAAGTTTTAAATGGAGATTTTTAGAGACTTAATCCACAAGACTTTAATGATATACCACTTCGAAGTCGGACGTCTGCAAGGAAAGTATTGGACTATTAACTGCAGGTTTTGGTCACTTCTCATCAAAGCAAGAAATTAAGAAAGAGGCTATGACAAATTGTTATAAATACAATTTGTGAAAATTTTTAGATAAGTATTTTGTGAAATCTGTACAAACGTATGAATATTACTTTGGTTTTTAAGATTATATATTGAATACTTTAATTTTCTACTCCCTGAACCCATTCTGTTAATATTCTGTCAAGCCCCATAAAGCAAGATCCCAAAAGAGCTATAATAATTGCCCTAAGATGAGACGTTATTAAACTAATAATTTACATGGACACACATTGTCGTTAAAAACAATTTCGTGCACATAAACATAAAACCTTTGAGATTTATGGGGGGGTTGGTAGAGTACTCCCAACCTGGTCATACACATATTTAAAGCGATAGAAAGGTCAGGACCTGCTCTCTTTTTGTGGCTGTTGTTCAGCTTGGCGTAAGTAAACTTATTGAATGTCTTAAGTTTAGCCTTTCCCGTTTGTTGACCGCCTTCTGCTTGTTTTCATTTCATTTTTATGACAACGTTTAGAAATTTGTTGTACATTTTCCTGTCGCTGCTGTTTGTCTTTCCACTGCCGCCTTTTGGCCACATTTAGCCGAATCTGCGTCCCCCGATTCCCTGTATTGACATTTGATCTTTATGTTGGTCTTGTTCTATGCTCGTGTGTCGCTTTGTTTGTCTGCAGGCATCTTTTTATGACTCGAGTGTGTTTGCCTTTTGGCTTTTGTGCATGCCATAAAAAGCGGCGACAAGAAAAAGCGTCTTGGAAATCAAACTTCTTGCCAGGATTGAGGGATGGGGTGTGGGTGTGGGTGCCACAAATATGAGGTCATCTGTTATGAACGCCTTCGAATGGTTGGAGAAGAAGCCCTTGGGCAAATACAACTTGGGGTCGATGCGAACTGACTAAAGATGGCAAGGTTCAATGAGTTTGACTGCGGAAATAGAAGCTTATTGGGGGTTTCCAAGCATCGATGAAATTTAACTATGAAGACTTATAAGAAGTGAAATGAAGAATTTAGCCAACAAATTAACCTTCAAGTAATCGATTTTTCTTGGTTTAATTATACTTATAAGTGTAAGGTTATCAATGTAGTTTTGTTTTCTTTTTCTATTCTTCCTAACTATCACCTTTTCCACGTAAAAATAAAATATAAATTTTCCACCCCCTATCGCAGCGCCCAAAATAAATTTTCAAAACGCCACTTTCAATTAATATGAAATCAAGCATTAAAATTGAATTAGCAAACCGAAACAGAGAACAAATGTTTTCTCGGTCTGTCTGGTCTGGCCTGGGCGAAAACTTGGCAGCAACTTTGGCCAATTAGAAAATTATGTTGTTCGGCGTACAACGACAATATGTTGCCCACTTTGGCAGCGTCTTGAGACGTTGGCTGAGATGGGCCCAAAACCACCGCCCGCATCCAGCAATAGTAAATATTGTTTAGTCATTTTGGTGAGCGGAGCGCTAATTTTGTATGTTAGCCGGCGGCCAAAACCTGGCAAAAGTTCAGCTAACAAACAAAAGCGATAATTACAAGAAAACAAGCCGAGGACCAGGAGGATTGGCAGGAGGTACTAGGGTACTAGATGCCAGGTCCACTTGTTGTCGGAACTTTCTTTGCGTTAGTTTTGTGTGCGAGCGAATGCAAATAATTTCACAAAAATTAATAGCAGAAGTCAAAAACTTTTTGGACTCGCGCAAAGCTAGGACTCATTTATATTAAAAGTCATCTCTACAGAGGAAATAATTGAAATAAACTTTCAAAACCGATTGTATAATTATGTAAGCCTCTTATTTTCCACAAAAATTAAAATCATATTGTATTTCTGGCGAAGTTTTAGGTCGTATCAGCATTTTATATATATAATTCAGTCAATCGGCAACTGAATTGCCTTATCTTTCTCTTAATAACCTTTAATCTTTTGGTATTAATACAAATTATATATATTACGTTTCTTAATAACCGAGAAAGACCCGAATTATTATTACTTTTGATTTATATTATACTTTTATGTGATAACGAGATCAACATTGTCGAGATTCCAATATTTGTGTGTGTTTATTTTTTTAAATTTTAAATGTCTTGTAAATATACAAGACAATGTTGGTAATTCTTTATGTGACTGCTTATCGGCATTAATGTACTCATGTAAAGAAATTATATTTTTATAATAGATTCTAGAACTGATTTGAGAAACGTTCACATTCGGAAAAATTAACCAAATAATAAATCTCCTATTGTCACTTATTTTTTAAAAAATGTATTAAAATACTTTATAATAAAATCAGGGTTTTTAAAACACTTTTAAATATAATTTGCTACTAATAAATCTTAATTTTATTTCGGGCTGTACTAACGCGAACCGATAAGGCACGATTTCTGTTTTTAGAACGCTATAAAACCATCACACAGGGAGGAGAATTATCAGTCTCTATCAGAGTTTCAAAAACAATGACAATCCGGATCTTTGCTGCTTTTTTCGGTGCCTCAGTTCTTCTAGGACTTAGTCAGGCTTATTTTTCGTGCGGTTCGGACGGAAAAGCCCATTGTGTCAAAGCAGAAAATTGTGTAACTAAGTTTGCTTATCGTAGCAATTCTTTTCAAACAACTACCACATGCCCGTTCAGTACAGTTTGCTGCCATGACGAAAGCGTAAGTGCAAATTTAATTATCCCAAACTTTTTAGAATTGACAATAAATCGTTTGTGCTGTCCAGATTAACCTGACTTGCGGGCCGAATGGAATCTACAAATGTTTGACCAATGATTTGTGCCAGACGCCTTATAAAGACTTCTCTACGAAACAATTTTGTCCGACAAATTTTGTTTGCTGCCGTCCTACAAAAGTAAGATCACAGATCCATAATCTTTATTCCTTATTAATATTTCTTATTGTCATTTGTAGAAAATTGATCTGAGCATTAACGATCCGTTATAGAAAATGAATTAAAGAAATGCAATTAAAGCAAGTAAATAATAAAAACCATAAGACTGTTTTTGTTTTGAAATAATTGTTGCTCACTCTAGTAAATTTCTTTTTGAATCTGATTGTCCTATTCGAAAAACTACTCAAAAAAGCGTTTGCTTAACACAGACAGGACTTATTAAAATTCGAAGATAATATTATAAAGAAGGTTCTAAAATGAACAAGCCCACAACCATGTCAATATAATATTTACTTATGTCACAATAATAACAAAGAAAAAGTAAGTAAAACATGTAAAATTTTAATTTAATTTTTTCGAAATAACCGAATGTATGTATGTATTTTTCTACAAAAATCCTCAAACATATTTGTTCAGTCGACAACAGACTTTTCTTATCTTGTCTAAAATAACCTTTAATCTCTTTAATCAATATAAAAACCCACTACGAAGCAAACTTTTGTCTCGCATTTTCACAGAAATCAACCGAAATAAATTATAAATTAAGTTATTAGCGAGATCCGAATATAAATATATAAACTTGGTATTCTGTTGTCAATGTTGGTTGCATTTTTTTTTTGAGTGCGCCAGAAAGGGTTTGCAGTTTATGTGGCTGTCTAACGGCATTTAACCTACGCCACTATAATTCACGCCGTTTCTCGACGTTGGCGGCATTTAAATGCAGAGTGCGCGGGACTTTCCCCCAGAAATCCTGGATCATCGTCCCGGGAGTCCCACGATAAGCCAAACATGATTTTACGACAATGTTATTACCATCAGCGGTAGCAGCCAGAACAGCAGCTAAACGTTTGCAGAAGTCGGAGAACTCCCGCTGTATCCTGTCCCCTGTTTTTGCGTGTGTTTGTATTGTGTTTGTTGTGTCGTAAAGGGGATCTAAGTGGAAGGATGGTAAGGGGCTAGACCCTGGGGTTACACGGATGATGCTGAAGTCGCCGTGATTGTTTAAAGTTATGAATAATTAAATATTTGTGCAGGTTACTGGAGTCGACAACTCTCGAACTTTGTCCAAAGAGCCTTATTTCATTACCCTGATGGCGTTTGGCATAGGGAAGAAAATTTACCAAGGTAATATGATCATAATAAGTTTTAAATAACATTAAGAAATAATACATTTATTAGCAATAATAATGGCTTTTAAAACATTTTTTTGTGGAGCAGATACATTTATGTAAATCTGACTAGCGGACCGTTTACGTTAAGAAAAATGACGGGGTGTTTTTTTTTATTGATATTAAACGGATCGATTATGATCAGCTAAAAATTGTAGTTCTAATCAGTGTTAAACAAAAATTTAACAAAAAACATATATTCTATAAAAAAATTAACTATATTTGGAGATGCGGGGCATCGATCCCCGTACCTCTCACATGCTAAGCGAGCGCTCTACCATCTGAGCTACATCCCCAATTGCACTTCCGCCCGCCAAGAGGTCTTTTTAAAATTTCGACACGCCGCAGAGGTATCCATAGATATACTGCCTGAAACATGCAGTTCACCTTGTAAAAAAAAACGGCCTCGCAGATAACAAAAGGCTTGAAAACTATTTGTCTAAATAACAAATTAAAATTTGATTATTTTATTTCTATTTTAAGCTTATGGCAGGAAATTTTTGCTTATTTGGGCTATTTGGCCGCATTTAATTTAAGAGGCTCAATGGTCTAGGGGTATGATTCTCGCTTTGGGTGCGAGAGGTCCCGGGTTCAAATCCCGGTTGAGCCCGGATTATATTTTTAACTGTTTTGTGTACTTTTATGCACTCAAAACGGGGTACTATTATATATATAAACATATGAATTTTTATATATTTTTATAAAAAAAAAATGTTTTTTTTCCCACTCCGTTATCTAATTTTTTATCTTCTTTTGCCGGAGCTCATTTATTGAAAGTGTTGGTTGTGATGTGGATCGATACTCGATACCGTATAGTGTCGAAGTAGTTCGCCCTATAAATCTGGCTTGAAACAATATCTTTAACCAGTTTTGTGTTTCGTCTACTAAACTCGTCTGACTTTAGTTTTATAATAGTCTCGAAGCCACTTTCACAAGAGGTTGACAAATTTAAATTCCGGTCGAATCTGTGTCATTGCACCGCACACTTTGAATGCTTTCAACGTGATCTGTTGACCAAGCAAAATACCATTATCGTGGTCACGAATAGTATCGTTGTTTTGACCAGTAAGTCCTTAAGTCACCAATAATAGAGTACCGTTATATGGGGATGTAGCTCAGATGGTAGAGCGCTCGCTTAGCATGTGAGAGGTACGGGGATCGATGCCCCGCATCTCCAAGGACGTCATATTTTTGTTTTTGAACAGTACATTTTATTTTTGATCACACTTGATTGTTTCATGTATAATGCTCTAAGAGATAATAAATATCCTTAAATATTCGGTGCACCTTTCTGTAGACTTATAAATAACCAGCAAAACTAAAATGTTAAATTAAGTTTTTTTTAATTAATTATTAAAATTCATTTAAAATTTTCTAAGTGTCGTGATCATCGTTTTCTCTTACATTTTATTTGAAATTTATTATTTACTGAAATTAGTAAAACTAAATATTTTGTATGCAATTTTAATTTAAATACACGATTTTTATTTTTAATAAATTCAACATATAAAAAAGATCTACAAATCCCTTGGAGATGCGGGGCATCGATCCCCGTACCTCTCACATGCTAAGCGAGCGCTCTACCATCTGAGCTACATCCCCTGGTCACTGAGGCCGGGCAAGATCGGTATTTCCGTATTTACGGAATTGGAATCGAAATCACTGCCTGAAACGATCTGGAATGAAACGACCAGAGATGCCCGCAATAACAGCCACCCAATTTATCTTCGCAGTTGCTTTGTTTATTTCTTGTTTCGCTTCGCTTTATTATTTATTCACTTTGATTATAATTTAAAAACTGTCAATATTTACACTTTGGCGCAGGTTTATTCTGCCATAAAAATAACGAAAGCACAGACTCACACACAAATTGTTCTCGCCGGTCCTTCTTTTCATTGTTTCCCAGGATTTATTCTTTGGCGCGTCTCGTCCTTTCGCTTCTCTATCCAGTCACCTGCCAGCTGATGCATATAATTATGGAAATTTTAAAGTGGGCCCCGTACAGAACACCCCGGACAAGCACAAACAAACCGAAATGAAAAATCGACGCGCAGAGTAAATACAAGTTGCAAAGCAAATGAAAATTTTTATAAAAATAAGCGTCAAAACATTAGCATAAAGTCAAGAACGTACAAACGAACATGCAAGACCAACATACTTATTGGTTATTTGATGGATTCCTTAAATCCTCAACAATCAAAGAGAATTGGTTTTCCATAAGGAGAAATTGACTTAAAATAATACATCTAGTTTCAAAGTCATTTTTTTAATTAATATTAATAAAATATCCTGAGCTTTATTATATAAGGTAAATAAATATATAAGTAATGTAATAAATACAGTGGTAAGAAAATAATTAAAATAATAATTTATGATTAAAAATATTTATAAATACATAACTTATTAAATTTAATTCGTGTTGAGCGTATCATAATAAATACGTAAACACTTAAGTTGAAATGTGTACAGAGTAATCATCTGCTGCACTCTGCTTAAAATTGACATCCTGCCAATTTGAATTGCCGCCCGACTGTGAAGCGAGGTGGCAACACCACCACCCGATTCCCCCTTTGCTTGGCAATCGATAACAAATCAGCTGTCTGCGCTGCTCTCTCGGAAATTTTGTAAACGTTCTGGCGTATTTTATTTTATTTATTTTGGTTTCTGCGCAATCTTTCGGTCCAAAATCAAAGTCGGAACTCAGTTATGTTCTCAGGACGTCCATCGATTGAAATTCGGGCGATTTAAAGCACCAAACAGTACAAACACAGCGTCGGTCCACTGGCCAAATGTGATTCGCATATGCCTTAACCAAAATAAACCTTTTCTACTGGAGTCATAATGCCATTAGATCGCTAAGTATTCCCAGCTATGAGTGGACCACAGCAGCCAGGCGATTCGGGATCAGCTCCCCCAAACGCTGGCGGGGATAAGGTCAACTCGCCGAGAAGGAATGCCACCGGTGGAGAACCGGGACACTCGGGTTACCGTGGCCCAAGTCCCAACAACTGGTATGTCAGTCTATCATAATCCCAACATATTAAACCCAGTTTTCTTTACAAATCAGACAGGATATGTCAGGACAGATTAATATTGTTGCCCTTCAGGCTAACTTCTGTAAGCCAAGCATTTTCATCCAGAAACCACTTCAAATAGAGTTGTTTACAGGCGATGATTGTCTCCATATGAGCCGTTTCACAAAAATCTCTAAAGGTTAAGAAATCGGGTTGTTGGAAAACACTTTGTAAACTCGTCGGCGTTACAAGAGTCTTAAAACGTTATTCCCCAAATTAGGAACCATTTTCTTATAGCACATAGCAAAAGAAAATATTTCTGTCACTTTAATCAAAATTAGCTTTTTTATTAAATTACCCCTAATTAAAGTTCATTTTTTTTTTTTTTTGACTGCTCCAAGTTTGATTTAAAGTGTTTAGATGTACATATAAACTTATCTGAATAAGACTCCTGTAAATCTTTTACACCATTACTTTTTGGTATTTTGAGTTTAAAAGGTTCTTGTGGGGCTAAAATCCGCAAGTAAACCGCCTACGTTCGCAGATTCCCGGTTTTTTGCATGATTTTCTGTTATGGTAATGAGGCCAGGCCACTCACGTGCTTACTAATTTTATGAGGCCCCCAGCTTCTTTCAGTATCGCATAAATATAATGTGTTGCGTACGAGATTTTTTTACCCGCCTGCCCTACGCCCCGTTAAATAGCTTACCTAAACGAATTTTGTCGCTATGTTTTGCATATTTAAGTGGCTATGTCCTGTAGCTCTAAAGTTGGTATTGTATAAGGAATTTGATAAAGGCTATTTAATAACAATGGTTAAAATCAAAAAATCATCTATATAATATATAAACTTTTATAATTAAAACCATATTATTATATAATAATATTAGGCTTAAATCACAAAGGAAATGCTCACCTAATGGATATTGACTATGTTATATTTGGGTATGATTATGTTCCCCCTTAAAGGAAGAACGGGTCCAGCCCGCTTACACCCATGAATTATCATCAAAATATTAGGTTTATTGCCATTTAACACCCATCTCGCACCCTGACACTTTTGGCAACATCTGCTGGCAAACGGAAAAAAGAGAAAAAAAGGCTCATAATAAATATAAAATGGCAAAAACGTGTCGATTTCCTTTAACAACTTGAAAATGATTTGTTTCACAGTCTGCGAAGCATATTAACTTCGATTTTCAATTCACAGCAGACTTTGCCACACATCAAAACATGGCATATAGAGAACACGGAGGCATCTCTCTCACCACCCAACTACTTGGCCAATTTTTTGCCAGTTAGGCAAACGCAAAATTCCATTTGTGCCGCAAAAGTTGCCAAACAACGAAATTTGGGAGAAAGAGCTTCGGTCTGTTTGTTTGTTTGCCAGGCAAACCAGCTTGTCTCAATGGCGTTGGTCCTTAGCCATAACCTGCGGCGCTGTCAGCTCCATCTTGTTAACCAAACAGGCCAAACAGCCGCCGACTCCATCGCCCAAGACAAAGGACCCACAGAGGAGCAGCAGATGCCGCAAAAAAAGTCTAATTGATGGCCCTGTTCGAACCTGCATCTTGACCATTTCCGTTCGTCTGCGGATATGCATGTCTACTCAATTTTCCGGCAAATGAGTCGCCCTCATCGTCCTCAAGAACAACAAAAATTGATTGGAATTTGCAACAAGCGGATACAAATTTTTTCCCCACCCTGTTTTCCAAATTGTTCTGCTACTGTTTTTTCTCCGTCCTGTTTTTTTAGACATTGGTTTTTTCCCATCGACACGTCAACACTTGTCTTTTGTGGCTTTTGTTATTTATCCCTTGCTGTTCTCTATTCTTTCCTCAGAAGCAGTCAACACATTGAGCCAGTCATAAATGTCGAAAGTAAGGTGTATTTTTGCCTTTTTGACAAGTGATATGCGAAGTTAAATATCAACAAAAATTGCAAAGCATATACCGCATATAGATCGAGATAAAATACCACTATAATTTTAAATTCATAATTTATTTGTGTTTGGAAGCGATAGACAAAAAGATTCAGAAATACAATAGGAATTTAAACATATATACAAATTTTAAGGTATTAAAAATTCGAGTTTCTGTTCTGTACTACTTTTTTCTTATGGTCAAAAATTCCTTGCTAAAATCCCTAGTAAATACCTGTTTCTGATTTTTTAACAAAAAAAGAAGGCTGACCAAAAGAATTAATGCAATTAATAAGCTTCATCGCCACATGTACCGCTGTACTTTTTTCGTACCTTGAAAAAAAAAACTGTTGGAAAGGAAAAAATTAATTATAAACAAATCTTTTCGTGTCACCAACGGAATTCTCGACACTTTGGCGCATTTTTCAGCTGCCCAGCCGAAACTTCACAGCAATTTCTACGGGCTCTTCCTTTTTCCCTCACTTTCGCCTTCACAACCACTTCCCTTCAGGGCAATTGTTTAGGGTCACTCAAAAGCACATTTCACTTATTATTAGCTCATTTATTACCCACCAAAGGCGCCTGACCCTGGCAGCACCTGGAAAAACTTTCTGAAAAATGCTGGCCAACACAAAAAAAAAAGGAAAAAAGAAATACAAAATACAAAAAAATCCTCCTTAAGTTCCCCAACTGCTCCTCTCTTTGGGCACCTTCAAATTAACACATAAATTTTCAAGTGGGTGGCCAATGGCCTGCGGCTGGCTATCCACGAGATACTTTCAGTCCTGTCTGATTTTTGAGCATAAGCGTACTCAAAAGCAGATACATAGTATTAAAGGAAGGAAAAATAAGATTAGGGACCGTAATTTAATACGTAATTTAAAATTAAAATACATTTTAAGCTTTGGTAACAAATGTATTAAAAAATTCCATTTTCCATTTTAAAATTCCCCCTTTTTCGCCTACGACTCTGATTGTGGGATGCCTGTCATTGAAATTTCCGTGTGAGTGCATTCAGTGTTCAGGACCCCACAGTCCATTCCACCAAAAACGCTCTGAGCTGGGCAATTGACGTTGAAACTACGTGACGCGGGAAAGTAAATTGTATCTGCGGGATTGCCAATGACAGTGACTTTCCTTTTCTCGTTTTTTATTGTGTGCAAATTGGCCACCTGAATTACCCCAACTCATCACTTTTAATTATAGACCACTAAATTAAAATCCGTACAGAATATTGGCAGGGGTATATTTATAATGTCTGCCTTCATTATCAACTCAAATGCAGGCCTTAAGCATAAAAATCAACTTCACCATTCCCGCGAATCAGATAACAAAAGAAATCCTAAGACAGTGAAGGGAAAAAGTAAAGAAAGGCCTTAGCAATGCGGAAATAAATAAACGTCGCAACTTTCTTGAAATCCCGGGAAGGGCACATTTTTTGAATAACAAAATTAACAGCAGCCCCAACTTGCAGTCTCTATTCCTTTCCTTAGTTATGCATTTCTTTTGCTTTTTTTTTTGCCTTATTCTTATTCTTATTTTAATTTTTTATTTATGTTTTCTCCCACCTCCGCAGGCGACAGAACAACTCAATGAAATATAATTCGCGACCCTGGCATCGAGGCCGTGCGGACAGGCAAGTTTTCCTTTTTATTTTTCTTCACTTTTCCTTTGTTTTGTATTTTTTATCCCTTTGTGCCATTTGTTTGTGTCTCCCCGTATTTGTTTGCATTGCGTGAGTTCCTTGGCTTAACGCACGCTTGCACCTTTCCCGCCATACCAAACCCAAAAGTCGGGCTATAACGACTCATCCTGCCAACGGGACGATCCCCGGTGGCAGCCGCGTTATTAACACTTGACTAAATATGCATTTCTTGGGTGGACGCCGTTGACAGCGCCAGAAGCGTTAACAAGGTCTGCCCGCAGGGTAGAAAGGGGAAAATTGGGCATTGCCAACAGTCACCCAAGCAAGTCTTTGAATATTTAAAAAAAAATGCCTTAGCCTTTTTCTAAACTTTGTTGAAAACATATAAACAAAACTTGCACTTGTTGAAAATCTAAATGTTTTTTTAAGAATATTAAGTCGTATATGTATTTGCTCCACGAAGGCAAATGCACTTTAAGTGACTTCTTCTTAAATAATTTTATAGTCAACGGCAATTCAATAAAAAAAACCGTTGCAGTATGAAATTTGTTGGTAAAAGTTAACCATAAAAAACTAAGATATTCTTAAATTAAGACAATATAGTTGTACAATTTAAAAATTAAACAAAGCAAGGGTCTAGCTAGGCTAAATTTAATGATTAAATATAAAACTATCAGGGTTTCATGTATCGGATGAGGTGAGGATACATATACCTTGTTAAAGACAACAACAACATGCAGCCTTCTTAAGGAAGTTATATTAAACATTAAACCATACTGTTTGTAAGTCTCAGCAAATACGCGGGTTTTTTTTGCGAACGCATTCCCAACGTGTAACGCTAAATCGTTACCCACCACCCGCCCAACCGACGCGAGGGGCGACAGCCGCTTAACGCACGGCTCGTAGAACCCGATTACGGCAAGGGTCCGGACCCTGGCCTCCATTTTTGTGAATTTATCCGCGTACGCGATCAGCAAGGTCGGACACCCATCTCAAGGATTTCCCGGATAATTTTGTTGGGATCGAAATGTTTGAGCGGATTACAAGCCCCGGATCAAGCGGATTGTGCCAATGTTTAGCTCTTGGAGCGGGACTTATTAAACGTTATATACGAACGGTTTCAATTGGTTGTCTTTCTTTGAGCCCTACCTGTTCGGATTCGGAGTCTTACAGTGAATGTTATTTAATTGTAATTGATCTTAGAACTAAATTGCCTATTTAGATGCATTGTCTCTAATTCGTGATGGTTTAAGTAAGGTTTTTCTAGATTCTGACAGATATGGCTAATACATTGGCTATTGGCATACATAGTGGCCCTAGATTGGTAACATATAGTTTTGTTGTTATAAATACTTGGTTATAACATTATTTATCTATGGTTTGATTTTTAGCCCTTTTAGGGCTGGGTTTTGACGATTTGTACCGCTTTAAGAGATCATTTTTGTATCCTTGCGTTTGTGGTCGTACAATCTGCGCTCTCATCTGCGAACCCATGGTATTTTACTTACAGTAGGTTCGACCCAAGCGAACTGACTGATGGTGTGATGAAATGTTTGAGCGGCTTTGATGCCGATGCCGTGAGGCTTACGATTCACAATACTGGTAGAACGAGATTTCTAGAAAAATAGAAAATTAAACTTAATTAAAATAAACTATTAAATTATTTTATTTTACATCTGCTTCTATTAATATCTAATATTGAAAAAATGTTTCAAAAATAATGTTAATTTGGATAATTATTAAATTGATCATTTTCCAAATTTGCATTCTTAATCCAATCATATCTTATCATATCCAACGCCTTGTTAACCTTATTTTATTATATAGTACTTGCTTGGGAAAGATTCCATGTCACATATCATAACTAATTAACTAATTTTTTCAGTCACATTAATTCGTACATGATCTTATACACGATCACACATATGTGAATTTCAACATTTTAAAAACATAGTTCTTTAAAATAATTTTCCAATTTTGATTCTAAATTAAGTATGCAATTTAGGTTCAATTGCTTTCTAAACCATGTTGAATTTCACCACCTTATGTCTATTTTCACCACACTTTCCCACCTATCAGCCTCATTACTCACCTTGGTAAGCGCGGGGCTCACACTCGCGTCCGTTATGTTGGGCTCACCCAATTGCCGTCGCTTTGGTGGAGCTGCGGAAATTAAGAAATTTCGAATTGCAGCGATACAAATATTCCTTGGCTGAACTTTTCCGTATTTTTTTTATTGTTTGGTTCTTTTTTGGCGGCTGGCTTCTTGGGAGATGGAGTAAAACTCGAAGTCGGGACTCTGGTAGTTGAGACCCAACTGAGCCCGTTCACATGGCCTAACTGACTTTTATAGCGAGGCCATCAAATGGCATGCGCCGAATTTTCATTCATGCTATATAGAGCCGTATGTAAAGGACCCCAGATCCCCATTCCTCTGTCGGTGTCTTGCTTATTGTATTGTTGTATATGCAGTTTACCAAACAAAAATCTCAACACACACACTCTCACTCTGTCCTGACGCCGAGAAGTATGCAACAGCCAACCAGAGAGTCATTTCGGATTGCAACGGTACTTCGGGGAATTGAGAAAGAGAGAGAGAGAGCGAGGTAGACAGAGAGAGAGCATCTATTAATTGCACGTGCTGCAGTTGTTGTTATTATTGCTATTGTTGTTGGGTTTTATGATGTTTTGCTTTTATTTTATTTTATTTCCCCCAGCGCTGCTCTCTCTCTATCTCTCTATCCCACTTCCTCCCTCTCTCGATTGTCCTTCGTGAGAGGCGAGCTAACGAAGCTCTTGTCACGAGGATTGCTTTGCTCCTTCTTGGCCTGTTTACCGTTAGTCGCACTCGGTCTTTCCAGCTCGCTCGTTCGTCCTTCGCTCTGCCGGCGTTGCAAGCGAATGCGGAGGAGTGGGTGGGCTGGTGGGTCATAACCCCTCCCCCTCCACCACTGCTGCATCCTATTTAGTTACATTTTTGTTGTTGTTGCTGTATTTTGCATTGTTTTGTGCTGTGTTTTGTTTTGCTGCAGCTCTCGGGCCGTGACTTCGTGTTATGTATACCGTTATGATCGTCGGCTCGTCGCTCGTTCGCTGCATGCGATGCTATAAGTGTGTGTGAGTCCTTTTGTTGCGCTGTATAGTTGGCTATGTACTTGCTGTTGTTGTTGCCGTTGCCGCTGCAGCTATATTGCCATTGCTGTGTGTTGTGCTCTCTAAACTTCGCCCGCCCCCAATTGAAAAAGGAAAACAACGAAATAGAATAACCGAAGCCAAAACCATGGCTTAACGTCACTTCCCCCAAAGAGGAACTGCCCAGTATTGTGTTGTGTAGTGTTGTGTGTTGTTGTCCTAACGGTAAATGCTCGATCCGCCGAAGCATCTATTTATTTCTGGGGAACGCGACTATTAAATCCCGATACAAGTAAATAACTATTTTAAATATTTTGAGAGTTCCCTAGCTACTTCTTCTAACATAGAAATACAAAAAAAATAAAATCAAATGTTAATTCAATGTGGTTCCTGTTAAATTCTATAGTTAAAACTAATTATATATAAAGATTTCCTATTTAAGAAAATCTAGGTATTTTTTGGGTTTGTAATTATAATTTAATTAAAACTTAAGCTTCCGTTAAACTTAATATGTATATTTAAATGAATTGGTTACTTTTTTAGCACTTTATCTAAAGAAAATGATTATAAATTTCCGGTTTTGAATTTTATTTATCGTTAATAATTCAGCCTAAAGTGTTTTCAAAATTGTGAATCATAAAAATCGATATAACAAACATCAATTTAAAATAAATTAATTTTGCCTTCTAGACTTAAATTTCTAAATATTTATTAAAAAATCTAAATATTTGTTGAAAACTGTAAATGTTAGGCTGCCATAAAAAAATGAAGTATACGAATCATAGATTTTGACATTGCACCAAACACAGCCATTTGTACCTGAACTAACTACCACAATAACTCTCGAATCGAATAATAATTCCAAAACAAACAAGCAATAACCGCAGAAAAAGTCAATCACAGCAGAACGTCAACAAAGAGACCAACATGCCAACTTCCGTTTCCGGTCTGTCAACCGCACGATGTTGACAGCAAAAAATTCATAGCCTAACACGCAGGCTGAATTATATTTCACTCGACAAGCGCACACACACACACACTCGCCCTCGCACGCACATGCCGACGAACAGGGAGAGCAATTCATAAACAATTAAGTGACACTTTCAGTTTGAGTGGTGTGTGAATATCGCAACAGGAGGCCATTTAACGCCAATGCAATTATTGTGATTGAGTTAACTTTGCTGGACTTCTGTGTGTGCTTGTGCGGTCAGCAATCAAGTTGTTTAAGGGTCAGTTAATTACGCAAATATTGGACTCCGAACTGATTTGGAAAGTGATTTGGAAGATTAACTTGAGATTTTGGTTTTATTTCGATGACTGTGGGGGGCAAGATATTTACCTTGGCTTAAAGTTATTATGAGACCAATTTTATCTAAGTGATCAAAGATTATTTTAGGGATTTCTTAGACGGACGCGGTCTTCATTAGTTTGGTTTATTTTAACTGGTTTTTTAATTAATTTAAACAGGCATCTAATAGACTACCATAAATGGGGTTTAGAGGTTGGGCTTGGAGAGTATTACGTTTTCATCAACTTAAGTTGCTAGATGCCAAATTTGAAAGCCCATCTGGTTTAATCTTACCTCATTTCATATACTTTCCAATCAAGTGGCGGACAATTTGCCCATCGAATTTCGTTACTTTAGCTGTCATTATTCACAGCGCCATTCTAATTAACGCAAACAATTTTCAAAGCTCAGAAATAATCATAAAAATATTCTCTGCAAATCCGATTAGACGAGACGGTCGCTGGCGCATCTGGCAATTGAAAAGTTTAAAATTTGTGCGTTTTTCTTATTCTTAATTAAATCAAGAGTACTTGCATAAACTTTTATTGTTGTTGCCCATCATCAGCTTCCATTTTTCCCCATTTTAAGAAGTTGTCAATGTGGCAAAAGTAAACAATTTTTCATTATCGAACGCGAGACCAAATCGACAGCAAGACCAAGTGTCTCATCTTCATTTTCTTTTTTCTGCCCGACAAACTGCTGGAGTGTCAAATCATAAATATGCATCTAACGTTTATCTAACGTCTTTATAGCCCAATCCCCCAGGCATTGTCTCTGTTTTTTGCCAAGGAGCAGAGGAAAAGTTCCTGGCCCTCCGCTAGAAGTAGACTTAAAAGTAATTTTACGTCTGACTAAACATTAATGTGCTCAATATTTTATTGTTTGTTTGTTATTTCGTACTTTTGCTGTATCATGGAGTATTTCCCTTGCAAAAAGTCCAAGACTCTGAGTTGATTATGCGGGAAGCTTTAAAAACTTTTCGGCAAGTTGCAATTTTTAAATGGTTTTGTTTTTTCGGGTTTCGGGTAACTGAACAATAAATAGCTGAGATCAAGACTTTGCTTCCAAGAGTAGGGGAACAGATTGGAGTATTTATCATTTCAAGCCTACTGGATACATTTTTATTGAATTTAATATCAAAAGAATATTTTTAAGCATAAACATATTTTTAGAAAAGGAACATTAAAATGTTTTTCTTATACATTTCGATTTTTTTACTTGCCTGATTTAAAATGTTATATAAAAAAATGTTGGTACTTCTTATGAAACTTCCATTTAACTCCCACCAAAACCGAAAAAGAAAACAGCTATCAAAGCGAACAGAAGTTGACCACAAGTTGCCTTTCCCTTGGCCAAATGTTAATTTGGCTTGTCTTGCACTTTAGTTGAACACCTTTTTTGGACACTCTTGGCCACAACTGCATGTGGGGATGTAGCTCAGATGGTAGAGCGCTCGCTTAGCATGTGAGAGGTACGGGGATCGATACCCCGCATCTCCAATTGGATTATTTCCCTTTTTTTGCCAAGTAAAATACGCAGACGTCGGCAGTTTTGTCTTTTGCATTATGGGGCTTACATGTCGGGGGAAGAAGTTGCCACTAATGAATATTCAAAGGTTGCTTTGTAGCTGCCAAGCGAGCATTATCCGTGGACTCTCATATCCGCATCCCTTATATGCCGCCCCCATGTCGACAATCAAGACGCGTAATTTGATTTGCGCCCTCATCACATCATTACACTTAAAACCAAAGCGAATTCAGATTAATTAAGTATTGTTGATTTAAATAGTGTATATATGTTTCCAAGCTCATATGAAGGTATTGTGTTTTGACATTCGATTTTTTAAGCGAAAGAGTTTTAATTAAATTGATTTGATGCAGTTTTTAATTATTCGGGTTTTTTTTTATAATTTTCTTTTTACTGACCTACCAACTATTACTAAAACAACATTAACTCAATTCAATTACATAAAATCTAACACATGTTATTGAAAGGGTCATGATTCCGAAACATCAATTCAACCTTAAATTTAAACACAACATATATATTATATACATTTTTCAAGTTTAAAAAATAAATATACATGTTGGACTTTACTATTTTACTATAACTCATGTTAGGAAGTATTTTGTTATTTTGTAAGTGTAGCTAAAGGCCTGAAGAGATGGCTGAACGAACACATTGTCGCACATAAATCAGCACAATATGCCAATGTTTGCTTACTTTCCTGCATCGCAGAGAACTTTGCCGGCAATTAACCATACAGCCGCAGCAGTCGAAACAGTCAGCATAGTCGGAATCTGGATGTGAAACTGAAGCTGTCGAGGAGTTGGGATTGTCAAAGGGAGAAAAGTACGGTCCCAGGACACCACGGGTAGCTTTAGAAACTCCTGGGTAGCTGGTATTGGTGTTGTAAATGATACATGATGTGCTATTTATGAGCAAATGCTTTTGTTTTAATTTTTCCCTAGCCTGGCTTTGCATTTCACTGTTTCAGGCAAAAGGACAAAGTTTTTCTCGTAAGCTAGTTAAGCCATTTCTGTTTACATGTCGTTGGTAAAATTTATGTATATATTTCTAGATTTTTAATTGTTTTAAGTGTTTCGTATGTCTGAGCTTATAGCTACATTTCACCAATAAAAAAGTATTTTGGAGATGCGGGGTATCGATCCCCGTACCTCTCACATGCTAAGCGAGCGCTCTACCATCTGAGCTACATCCCCGTGTTGTGAATTCCTCAAAAATTGTTCAATATCCACTGTTTGGCTCACTCAAAGGTGGACAATTACCTGTAGTTTACTCCAATTGGTATGCAAGTCGACAAATGACCTGGTTACAGTTTCGTATGCCAAGTATGAACTGGTTTGCGGCTTAAAAGCTTTATGTTAGGGTGTGGCATTTGAAAGTCATGTTCACGCTTTAACTAAAAAACAGTGGCGGAAATCTTTCTATTGAATATAAACTTGTCGATTCATATCATACAATGGGGTAACTACATCAGTTTGCAACACTCAAGATTAAGATATAGTAAATTTTTCGTTATGTTTAGGCACTTAATCTGTTCAATATACTTTGTTAGATACTTCTACTAGATATGGTTTAATCTAAAATTTGTTACCACCAAAAAGGAGTAGTCAAAACAAAAGTCCAAAAATATTCCTTCACGCTTGGGAACAGAATAAATAAAAATCAAAATTTTGCTCTTTTTTTACTGGCATTTGACAAAAAATTAATATGCATAACGCATAGCGGAAAGAAAAAATAAACTTGAGAAAATTTATGCAGCGATGAGTGAAAAAGGATGCTTCTTGGTTCTGTTTGGATCCAACTCAACCCCAGCAGAATCAACAATAACACGTTCCCTTATCGGAACCGGAAACGGTTCTCAAGAAAGAGAGGCGGAAAGAGTCCACAAAGTCACGGTGGCGTATGTGACAAGTCCTTTCTAATGAGCAGGAAGAATACTCGGTAGACAAGCGAGAACCTACTGCTCAAATCAAGCCAAGAAGTCGCCTTCAACTAATAAACTTCTCCCTGGTCCAAAGTCAATTAAAAAAGGAACAAATATCGTACGTGACACCCAGAGATAGACAGCCCAGAAAAGGCATGGCAAGAAATAAGAATGGAATGAGTGGCTCCTTAAGCTGAAATACTTGAACTAAAAAGTCGCAGACTGTCTTGAAATTAAAATTACACGACGCTTGAATAACTTTGGCTGTATTTCCACCCCACTTTCGTTCCGCTGGCAGGTAAATGCTGACAAAAGTTTTTGAGGTAGCATTTCTTTTACGATTCGCCAGAGAGTGGAACCAGCTAAGAAGAAGTGCCACTTGCTACGTTTGTGTCATTAATTTTGTATATCATTGAGTTTTACGAGGCTCATAAATATGAAAACGTTTAACTCTTGCTGGCTGAAAACAAAATTCGGCTCGAGGGGAATCCCAACAAACTTCCTTGCCGCGTTTTATATGAGACAAACTAATTGTCTTGTACTTGTAATGTGTTTTTAAGCGCAGCCACGCTTCCCACATGTTTTCACAATGTTTCCCTGATAAACAAGGGGGATTCGGGATTTCAGTGAAGGAGTTTTAACAATTAGTGGGGTGACTTGAAGGGTTCGCCTCCTTTTCTCGTGTGCAACAGCTTGAGGTAATTTTCAACTTTTACTCTTTGTTTTGGCGTTGACAAGAAGCGTGTTGTTTGTTTGGTTTTAATTAAAGCCCAAAACATATCAAGTTAAATGTATGGGGTCTTTGAAAGAACACCCGCTCCTATACAGCTTCAGCTTACGATAGAGAAATATATATATTTGTGGAAATGAGGTTTGTCATGCGAATTTTTGTAAACTTATTCGATTTGTCTTTAAGGCTTTGCATTTTTCGTAACTAATTTTAGATGGTAACAATTTTTTTCTTTTGTCCAAATAGTCATTTTAACAAGATAATGAAAATTAAAGGATATAACACAACCTGATACTATAATTTAGATACCTTTCCATAGGGAATCATTGCCTTTAGCTTCAGTTTTTAAATGTAAATTCTTACTTAGATTCGCTTTGACTAACAAGAATAAAACATTCTTACTTTTACATTTTTAATTAGTTCATGTTACAAATGACATTAACGAAAAAGGCAACGGCAAAGATTTGTGGTCGTATATTTTAGCATTTCTTAACGAGATTTTTCGAGGAGAAAAAAAAAACAAAAGACCAACGGAATTCGCACCTTTGCATACACAAATAGCGACAGGGAAGTTTTTTGCATGGGAAGTGTAGAGAAATGCGGATGGGGTCAGGAGGCTGTGGTTATAAATTTTAAATCAGTTAAATTAATGCAGCAGCTTTCTTTCGTTTCTCCGTTCGTTTTCTTACGTGCCAGAAAGTTGCGAATAAACATCGAGCACGTTTCTTGATTACATTAATTATTCCTTTATTGTTTGCTAAAGTTTTCACCTTTCTCCGCGGTTGCGTAGTTATGCTTTTGCAATACATCTAATTGTAATTAATTATAAAATAGTCTACTTACAATGTATTTTTTTTTGTTTTTACAGCGGTCCCTTTAACAATAGAGTGGTAAGTACGGAAAGACTTTAAAAAATGTTCAATTCTAACCAACCAAAACGTTGTAGTATACAAGTTATAATCAGCGGCATTCACCCTACCCGCGATCAAACTACGGAAATCGGGAATACTCTGATAACCATAACTCAAATCAAAAACGCCAGGAGAGAGATTATACCAAGAGAACTGATTTTCAGGAGAGAAACCCCAGATATCCCAATGGAAGCTATTCCGGCAGATACAAAGATCATCACAACAGGGACCATTACCACAGATATCAGCCCCGGAGAAGTAAAGATAATTCCTCTAAATCGCCTCATAATAATGAAGATAGTGAAGATAGCTCACATCTAAGCGGAGTCACAAGTGACATTAACAAAAATAAGGAAACAAACTGTGAACCGAAAAGTGACGCTTTTAAAGCTGATCAAATAGAAGATAATTCAACTGACAAACATCGTAGGCAAACTGAAGAATTCGATTTTGAACTAGTATATGGCAAAGGAAACGCTACAGAGAAAATAACGGTTGCCTCAATTAAAAAAAGTACAGTTACGTCAAAGTGTGATCAGGCCACAGAAGTCAATGGGTTGAATGAAATCAGCTTGCTTATTAAGCCAAACAGTGAAACTTTAAAAGTTTCTGAAGCTAATCAGACAACATTAAAAACACCTAGTGAAGATAAGGAAACGAATCAAACCCAAGAAGTACAGCCAACCGTCAATCGATGCCTAAAGGAGGAATTGAATCTGTTTAAGTCCAGTGAAAAGCCATCTGAAGCAGAGCCTAGTCAATCATTTCCACGTATCCAAGTGAGACCGCTCACCCAACTACTGAAGCAAGAGATTTTGGCAGTCACCCAAGAGAATCGTCTGTCCAAAATACCTTTCCTGAGTCCACAGCCATCCGCTTCATCGGCCAGTCCCAGCCGGCAGGCCTTTAAACCCGCCCTCAAAAGCCGGCGGCGGACAGTGAGCAATTGTAACCATATTGCGGGGAGTTCCAATACTAGTCAGGCAGCAGGAAATGAAGCAATCATCAATAATCGCATCGCTAGTATGGACAAGGAGAGTCTTAAGTACATAATCAATAATAGCGACACTATATACGACGAACACTTAAAGCTTCAGGCCCGGAGGCGTTTACGCGACGAGATTCGGCGGCAGCTAAAGAACATCGATTTGGATCAGCCTAAGGACAATCCGGTAAAAGAACTGATCGAAGACGAAATTGTGGATGCTATCAAATTGCCTGCGCTTCTGCTGCAGGAGATCGAAAAGTGTTTCGGCATAGACGTATCAGAGGGTCAGAAAGCCAATCCTTCCGAAGTTGATAAACCAGATACCACAAAGAGTAAAAACAATGGGAAAAATCAAAGCCCTGTAGGAGACAGCAAGGGCTCAGAAAAGGAAATTTGTACAAGTTCAGACGTTACAAGACCAGAGGTCCCAACCGAAAGTGGAACGGGCAGTACAGAAATAACAACGAAAGGTAAAAAGACTAAAAAGACTATCAAAGATAGCAAACAGTGCATTAAAGGTAAGAACGGTAAAAACAAAGAGCCAGAAAGTAAAATTGAGAAGAAAGAAAGCAGTGATCAAAATATAGAAGCCGAAGAGCTTAGTACAAATAGCAAATCGTTTTGTAAAGATGGTAACGATAATCGAAATCACACTATAAAATCAAAGGAAAGTAAGAAAGAGATCTTACAAGAAAATAATAAAAAGAAAAGTCCTAGAAAAAAATTCAAAGGTTCCATTACGGAATCGGGTCAAAATAAGAAAAATATCAGGACAGAAGTCGACCAGTACAGTCTTGAACAAGAAGCCCACACAGAAGAACCCTCCGATTCGATGAAGAGATCAAAAGATCTGATGGCAAGGCTAAAGGCAGCCGATAAAGTCAAGCCAAACGAAGAGTTGCGACTTACTAAGAATCGCGCGCCCTTGTTGCCAACTCCAACATGTGGAAGGATTACAAATAGCTTAAAGAACACGAATATCCAATGTGAGGAATTTAAACCAAGCAAATCACCAACAAAAAGTTCAAAGAATATGTCCGCTACAAGTTCTAAAAAGGCAAATCAACCTGTAGGTGATACTTCTGAGATCATAATACCCGTTATCAAAACGGAAATCAAAAGAGAACTAAGCAGCTCCCCAATAACAGTGAATCCTTTACCTTCAAAGGAGGTTATTGAGCTTCTGAGCTCATCTGATGAAGAAGACGACATGGATTTGGATGAAACTGAGGAAGAAATTGTGGCGCAGGATAAAGAGCAGGTTTCGGATGCAATCCTAGAACCAGATCCGAAGATGGACGATGTTGATAGTGATCATTCTAACAGCTCCCAGTGCAGCAGCGAATCTACGAAAAGGCGCAGAAAGCTGAAGCTTCAAAACGATGCTGAAAACGTGGTGGACAGTTTTGAGAAGCTGATCCTTCCCCACCTTCGGGAAGCTCTGACAGATCGCTATCGTCGCCAGCACTCTGGTAGCCTGCAGAGTCGACTACACTTCATCTCCTGTGTGGTGACAAGCGCCGAGCACAATTCACAGAGCTTCAGCAAGATCGAGGTGGCCAAGATGCAGATGAATCTCAAAGCAGCCGACAATCGCCAATCCATCGAGTTTCTGTTAAGGGAGATTGTCAACGTGGTTAATCTGCAGAAACAGCGACGTCGGGAACAGGAAGAGGAGCAGAAGTTGGCAAATGAATTGAGTCCAAAAAAAGCTGAGTCCCCAGTTAAGAAAAACTCTAGAGCCTCACCATCACCGCCAGTGCGCCGGAGTTCGCTAGTTTTGGATAGCCGCCAGAGTTCAACAGCCTCTCCCGCTCGCCAGAGCTCCCCAGGCATACCTTCCCGCCAGATTGCTCATTCTTCTCCTGCCCGCCAAAGTGCTCAGCCCGTGGCTGCCCGTGAAACTGCAATACCTCCCCTTGAAATTTCTCCCCCTGTGGTTAAGCCCCAGAATCCCGAGCCCTTTCCCGTTGGGCTGCCCTTTTTAGCCCACCTTTCTCCCGCTGCTTATGCACGTTTAGGCGGTGTGACAGATAAGGCCGAGCCATTAGGTCAGTTGGGCGACATGGTGGCCCAAAATCTGGTTGATATCGATCGCCGCCTGCTGGAGAACCAAAATCGGCGAAGCATTCTCGAGGAAATGATCATGAAATTTCAGAAGGAGAAGTCCGATCTGGAGATGCTCAGTCTGGAGCTGCAGAGCCGCAAGTTTCTGTTGATAAATTCAATGATTTCTCGTAGTCAGACGTCATCGGTGCCTGTCGTTAACCCTAGGAACTCACCGCCACCCAGTGTTACTGCTCAGGAATCGACGCAGGAGGAGAATGCTGGCAAAGGAGGTATCGCCAGGAGAACTAGGAGCAGATTAAGAAAAGCTGTAGTGGTAAAACTAATACCCAAACGTCAGGTCAGGGTTCAGAAACGAGTCCTTCGAAAGCACAAATCAGATGAGTTAATATCACAATTGCGTCAAGAAATTGCTGATCAGGAGGAGTCTAATAAAGCGAGCAAAGAGCCATTTAAAGAAAAAGAATGTGGGCTGAGCATTCAAACAAACATCAAGGAAGAGCCATTGGATGAGTCCGAATTCAGTCCCACCGCCAAAGTCACGCAATCGCGTCCTAACAAACCGAAAGTCTGTGTTTCAGCCAACCCGACTCATCAACCACTGGCAATAATACCACCTCTACCACCTCCACCACCGCCACCGGAACCGATCAGTAACATGGCCGAAAAAATGTCCCGCAGTTTGCCCACGGAACTATTGTCTGAGCCTCAAAACTGGACAGAACTCAACTCCCAAGAAAAGAGCAGCGTAGGCTTCATACCCATGGGGAAATTGTACAAAGTTTTAAGTCCCATCACCCAAATAAAGATCTACAGGGAGTACGTGATAGCGGCCGCCGAAGATGGGGATATCTATATGTTCCACCTTATCAGTCACAAACTTGAGCGAAAGATTACAAAACACAGCGAAGCCATTACGAATATGTCTCTCTGCGAGAAGGAGTCCGTTTTGTACACCACATCGCTGGATGGCTTTTTCAAGAAATCTTCGCTGGAGGTGGGTCACAGTTTTCTTTCAGATAGCCATATAATAACGTACTACCATTAAACTTTTATAGAATCTTGAGCGGGTCATAGAAACGGTGTACTTCAAGGAGCCCCTGCAATCGATTGACATCTGTTGGGGATTGGCCTTCATTGGCAGCCGATGGGGACTTATCTCTACATTCAATGTGGTGGTGAGTTTAAACAGAACTTAAATGTCAATACTCTTTTTAAAAGATTACAAAATATTTTCGTTGCAATTCATATTATCTTTTATTTAAATTCGTATTTTGACAATTTATTCTTAAAAGAACTACATTTTAAAGTCAACTATTAAGCAACTTTGGTAACCTTCTTCTTAAGAAATTCTTATTCCTCCTATACATTTTGCTCTTCAATCATACCCTATGCCATTTCAATAAAAGTTCCCATAGAAACCCATAACTCATTGGACCTTCCATCGTGTGCAGGTCAATCAATCGTCTTTCAATATATTTTCCCCACTTAATTTGACTCATTAAATATTTATCTGTCAAACAAACACTTCAACAATTTCAATTAAAATATTGAGCTCCGACTTGCGAGTCCTGCCAAAAGGACAGCCACACACAGGACGATTCCACACCTTGCCTTCGTGCCAGCAACAACACCAGAAGTTAACGAATTGGCAATGAGCAGAGCCAAAAACGAAAGTCTAGACAATGGAAATCAAATCGAATTTATTTTTCCTTTTTTTTACTCTCGCGAATTTAACAAATTGGATAGTATGGAGAAGAGATGGGTGGAAAGGGAGTTCGGTTCCGAGCTGATACTTCATTAGAATATTTCAAATTGGGGGTAGAGTGGAGCTATAAGTCTTAATTCTGGCAGAAATTCGATTTATGGCTGCGACGTGCTGATAAGTCATGGCTCGAATTTATACTGCGTTTATTTCTTTTGTGCATAATTTTAGGGTTTGAGGTACTTAATTTTTTTGTGAAGGGAACAATTTTTTTTAAACTGAGCTAGTAAAGAAGGAAATGAGAAGATAATATTAACAATAACTAAATGTATGACTGAACTGTGGAAGAATGTGGTTACTTCAGTTTAGAATGCATAATGTACTTTTCCCAAACCAAGTTTTAGAAAAAAAAAAGTAAACTAAGATGGAAATAAATGCAATTATTAGTTATGTTATTGGGGAATCACTAACAATTATGTGGGGGGGGACTATCATATTCTATTCAAAACATAAAAGGGCGGAGACAAGTGTCCTATTATTTATTGAACTGGGGGCAGGACATCTACGTTTTTAACTAATCCAGAAAGTGAGTGGCTGTACCTGCAGCAGTATTGCAGATGGAAGCAACTGTACTTCCGTCTGTAGGGTAGATGGTGGTCACTGTACTTGAACCCTTGGTAGGTGCAGTCAGATGCTTTGGTTATTTGGTAAATATGGCAAGATGCCACGCCCCACACGGCAGGAAGCACATAGAAGGCGGTACTGGTATTGCAGTTTTGGCCAGCCTTACTGCTATTGCTTGATATTTAGCTTTGCCTAGTGTTTTGTGTTTTATTGTGTCGTGTTTGCTGCACGTTGTTTGGCCGAGGATTTCGAGCTCTACGAGTATATAGCGTCCCTCCTGAGACAAAGTTTATATATATAAATTGTATATAGTTCCAGGGCAACCCCCAGCCCCGAGTTGCAACAAACAACAGCAAGCTGCACCACTACCATGCGGTCTCGCTCCCACACTCATTGGGTAGAAAAGTGTTGCTTCCTTGCTAGCTATCTCTCTCAGTCCCTAGTGCTCTCTATTGTTGTTTATTTAAGTTTTTATGTGTGCCTGTTTAGTTAACGGTATATATTGCCGACACCAACTCTCCCTCTCCCTCTCTCACTCGATTTCTTTTTTTCTGCGCATGTCCTTGCGCTGCACTTTACCGTTAGTTGCATATAGTTACTGTCATTCGTTAGTTTTTTGGCAGCAGCAAATAAAATGTTTATATGCTATTTACCCACAACAATTTTAAATAAAATACAAGCCGACGATTACACTACGAAGCTCTCTCTTTCCAGTACTCGGAGGAATAACGGGGCTGCGCTCTCATTTGCTTTCTCTTTGCTGCAAGTAGGAGAGAGCGCCTTCCAAGGAGCTGCAATTGGAATTGTCTTCGTGCCTGTTGCTTCTGTTCTCTCTTTCTCTTACTTTCTCTCGTTCGTCCTCGTAGGTCCTGTTTTTGTTGTTGTTGTGCCGTGGGCTTTTCTTGCTGGTTGGCTCCTGTTTTGTTGTGTTGTGTTTCTGGAAACTGACGCCCTGTCTATGGCTTGTTGTTGCTGGTACGCTCGTATCGCTCTCCCATTGGCTGAATCGGCCAACTCGGGTTGGTTGTTTGTACCGTTATATGTGGCCTGCCCCCTCCCCAAGAGACTGTAACTCTTTTTTCGTGTTTATGTGAGCTATTCTATTGTTGTTCGTCGTGGCAAATTGCACAGGATAGTTGGATGGGTGTGGCAATGTGGAATATCCCCTGCAGGCTGCAACCACTAAATAAACTCCCTCACTCAGCCCCCAAAAAAGAAATTTATTTGTATTTTCATTCCTTGCACTTTGCGCCTGGACGCCATCTTGCCGAATGGTTAAAGACATAACGGTAGATAAAAGTGCAGTACATCGCTCCATCCTGCTCCATTTTCAGTACTTCTTGTCTGTATGTATGTTTCTATCTTTTCTATTTTATGGCGCTTTAAATGGTATTTTTCTTTGTTTAAAAATTATATTTGCTTAGAATATGCGTTTTTTCAAATGTTTAAATAAAGTACACAAAACATAAAAAGTTTCATAAAACAGTGATTAATCAAACAATAGGTTTTGAATTCGATTAGGAAGTAGAGTTTGAATCGCTAAGAAAAAATAAGCCTAAAAATGTTTTTTTTTAAAACTCGATTTTGGGAATGTGCTTTAGTACCGTTTTTAGATTTATCAATTTGGTGTTGGTAAATTTGTATTCTAAACTTTTCAAACTTTTTTGTTTTGATATAATTTTATATATTTAAACTGCTGCTCTAAGCTATTTTTGAATTGTTTGTTTCGCTTATCAGCTAACTGGGTCCATCGTGAATCCCCAGCAATCATTACCTTAGGCAAGTTGTTCCCCTATGGGGATTCCTATTTGTAATTGTTATCGCTGCAAGAAAGGCATATAAATAGGCGCGTCCGATGATTCGCAAGCAGAATAACAGAGAGGCAACATGAAATTCCTGTCAATTTTTGTGATGATGGCGCTCATCATCTGCGCTGCTTGCAAGAATCACGAGGAGTGGAAAGGACAGCGACCAGGGGATTACGATCGCAGACCATATTCTAACCCTTATGCTTAAGAAACTTGTGAAAAACTTACGACTAAAGGAAACATAATAAACAATTAGAATGAGTTTAAAAATGTATACATATTTATAAACACTGGCGATGTCCATTTTTCGAGGAATAATTTCCCAACATTTTTTCATTTGAAAATTCCAAATTTAGAGTGGCAAATGAATTCTAGCAAAATAAAGCAAAAAGTAAAACAATTAGGTAAGCGTTCTGTATAAAATTACAATAAACAATTTTGTTATGTAAATAGATTTCACCCATCAAAAAGTATAATGTAAATTTCACCTCTAAATAGAACTTATAGATAAATGGCTTATCTAATCGTAAGCATATAAATGACTACACATGCATATACAAATACATTAAAAATAGTTTCCACAAGCAGCATGTCTATTTATATTTTTAAGGTACAACAAAGTTTCTTTCTTTCGACCGTTTCATGTTGTTCGATTTGTACGTACAAATTTAATGACAATGCACTTCGGGAATTTTAATGAGCTCGTACTATGGTAGGTGTTTAACCAAAGTCAGTAAATTTGTGACCACACCTTGTGAGTGCCTCTAAAAGAGGTGAATTCACAACGGGGATGTAGCTCAGATGGTAGAGCGCTCGCTTAGCATGTGAGAGGTACGGGGATCGATGCCCCGCATCTCCAAAGGATATTTATTTTAATTTGTATTTCGTAAAATTTTTTTTTACGTAAACGGAGCCAAACAAATTGTCTTAAAATTGGAATTACATGTCCCATTCAGTTCCAGCTTTTAAAACAATATGTTGTCTTTTCAAAAAACAGATTTAAGAAACATCTCCAACAAATTTATTTAAAAAAAAATATTAAAAACTACTACATTTTTTATATATGTGCGTAGTGCAGTTAGTACGTATCTACTTTTTTTAAATAAATAAATTTAACAAAGTTACTCTCCGTATTTTCAGACCAACAAGGTGATTGATAAGCCTTTAGTTTCAACCGGCCAATCCATTATTGCCATTAAAGCCACCAAGGAAGGAGTACGAAAGATTCTTGTTCTTGGATGCAAGGGAAACTTTGTGCAAATGCATGATGCTGGAAACGGATTACTGCTGCGTCGCGTATGCATTCCAGAAGGCTTAAATGTCTACAGTTTGCTTTTAAATGATGAACACATTTACTGTGGCACACAAAAGAACGAGATCTATCAGTTGGAGTTTGCCGTAAGTTGTTTTCGATGATTAACAGTCGTTCCAAATACGATTCTTCCACTTTTCCCTTTTAGACTGGTAACTTGATTAACAAGTTAAGCTGTGGAAATGGTGCTGTATCTATAGTGGCCTACAAAAAGCGTTATTTGCTGACGGGCTGCTACGATGGTTTCATTTATGTTCTGGACAAGGTAACAGGAACTCAAGTGGGTCGATTTGAGGGAGCTGGCCGGTTGGTTTTGGCCTTGGCAGTAGCAGGCGATAAAGTAATTTAATCAATATAAAATTTGAAGCTTTAGTTACATAGCTCATTCGTTTTTTACAGATCGTCACATCTTCGAAAGATAACTCGCTGGAAATACTGGAAGTGCCCGCAGCCATGGTAAACGGCCATTAAGACGCTTATCATTACTTGTATAAATCAGTTTTAATTTAATAATTTTGCACACACACTTGTTTGTATAATACAATTCAACGAACTTTATCCTGGATCGCGTAATAAGGATTCCGTTTTCTGTATTTACAGTTGAATATGTTATTTTTTTGTTAGCTCCCAATTGCATTTTTGCAATTGATCTCCTTGAAGAATATTTCTTCGTCTTGAACAAATCATTTCAAAATAAAAAGAGAACCACCATTAAACATAAAGTAATACGTAAAAATAATGTGAAGTTGTCTTTAAGGAATTTGCGGAGACCTTACTGGTCGCACGTTTGTCTGCATTTGGTGCAGCTTCTGGTTGAGCTTGTGGGTGTGGTCCCGTAGATATGCAATAAGGTCGGCCTGCTTCTCTAACAGCTCGTCGGTATCGCCTCCGGGTTGCATGAGGCCCAAAGAACCACCGGCTCGATCCGCACCACGCAGAACGTCGGGGGATAGCTTGGCGTTGTTAAATTTACGCACCTTGTCTGCAATAAGTATTGAGTACGGATACGGGTAAGAATGAGTAGGCTGGAATAAATAAATCCTTGCGAAGTACTTGCTTATACTAATTAGGCTCCTGTTTGGATTGTTTTTTTTTTTTAATCTAACATTGAATTATACCTTTAACTAATGTATAAATGGATGATCTCAGTCCAACATGTAATAACTGTCAGTTAACTTAATTGTTTATTATAGAAATAACTCATTTGTTGCAAACACGAAAACAAGGTATTTAGATATTTTTAGACCGAATAGTGAGTACCTGTTCTTAAAAACACTTAAAACTAGTCACTGTTTAATTGCCACATGATGTGGTTTTTTAAATTAATTGATTTCTGACCACATTTCCTTAATTTGTTCACCTTTCATATAAGGTAAAGGCAGAACTAAGTTGTTTCCATGCAGCAAATATTGAAACGTTAGAAAAAGGAGTTGTTAGGCATCAAGTTGATTTTGATGTTCAACATTTTTGTAAAATAGAATATAAAAATCGAGGTATATAAGGTATATAGGGACCAAATGTTACTTTTACTGTTACAATCCTTACCAATATATACGCTGTGGGAGACGGCCAGCACCAGATTCTCGGCCACGGTGAAGGCTGTCACATAGCTGACCGGCGACAGCCATCCGGCGGCGCAGTGCTCCCAGAAGTTCTCCGCGTAGAAATGGTGGATCAGGGCCTGGACGGCCAGCAGCATGGAGTTCCACAGGGAGACCAACTGCAGGGGAATCCCCTTTTGCATGTTCGTCTCGCGGTGGAAGTCGTGATAGCCCTGCATGCGCAGATTGTCGTGTTGTTTCTTTACAAAGTGATCGAAGATCTGAAAACGATTGACATTGAGGCAGGTCGGGAATGAAAGAGCTACAAGTATTTACATATGTAATGACCCAGAAGGTTGCCCGTAGGTAGAGCATTATGAAGTATGCATCGCAACGACGATCCGCTGGAAACGATGCTGCTAGTACGATGCCCACAATCGAGATTACGGTGGAGATAACGAGGTGAAGACTGCGGAAAGGCGAGGAATGGGTTTCATTATGTGCATTATCGCCAGTTTGGAAATGCGATGGATGATTCACTGCCGCCGGCAGAAGTCTCCATTGTCCCCACCAAAAAAACCCTTTCCCCCCGATTCGCTCACCTAAATGCGGGCACTGTGTTCAGCTTGAAGCTACAATTGTCGTTGGAGAAAAGTACGGGGTCCAGTAGCTGATCCGTATCCTGGATGTGGGCGGGGGACACGCCCGGTTGGACAGCGGCGCTTTCTGTTGACGGTTGCTCCATTTGCGCTTTCCTGCACGGCGTAGTTTTCAAATTTGTGCTGCTTTGTTTATTATGGCCGCAGGAAAACAACTCATATTTTCCCTAGGTGGCAGCACCAAAACATTTACAAATTTTCACCCGGTGGCAACCGCGTGACGTAGTTGAGTATCTTGACAGCCCTGTAATGTTAACATTAAACTGACTGTTACAATTTGAAAAAAAAAAATCATATCTTTATTTAACAAGTGTTTTTTTTATATTCTGCTCTACATATTTTTATCCAGATATCTCGCCTTCTGTTTAGTACAACATTTGAAAGAAACGGTTATTTTTTGTAATAATTTTTAAATTTGCATGTATTTTTTTAGTATATTTTTTAGCGCCCTCTGTTTTTTTCAAACTTTGAGCTCCGGTCACACTTAAATTAAAAAACAAAAGTATTTAAACCTAGCATTCGGCTATTGGATTTATAAGTTTGTCGTGTAGAAAAAAAGAAATTGTAATATGACCACGCCTGTGCCGCGCCGCACCAAGGACTTGGTGGCACTGGGATGGGCTTCCGACTCTGAGGACGACTTCAATACGCCATACCGACCGCTGCGATCGCGGTCAGCGGCTGAAGGAGAACAAAAACAGCAGCCGGTGGCGTCTTTCCAAGTCCAGGCGAGGGGCAAGGAGAATGAGCCACATCCACAACCTACCTCCTTGGATATGCTGTAAGGACCGGGTTATCATTTGGGAAATTTGGTATACACTATCCACTACTACGTAAATTACAATCAAGGATCTTAATTCACTTTAAGGGTTTCTATTTCATTGCTTTACCCGCAACTGATCAGTCTTCTTTAATGGTGACCATATTCTTAATTTGATTTCCATTACCAAAATCCGAAGGTCGAACTACTCATAAGTATTATAAGATCATAAACATTAAAGATTAAAAAAAATTACCCAGTATTTATCAAGAATTTTACCTAGGTAACTTCCATGGTCACTGAAAAAAAATAGTTTTTAAAGAAAATTTAAATTATAAGTACCTTAAAATATAATAAGTACCTTAAAATACATAGGTATTTTGTTTATTTGTTTATTTTATTTTTATTTATTTATTTAATGTACCAAGTGCAACTTTATTTTCAAGAACTTGTAATTTTATTTACCAGATTTGTTCAACATTTTTGCATTCTATATTTTTTAGACCCCGCCGCGTGTCGGAGTTGACCATGATGGATTCTGACAGCGAGGAGGAGGACGTGAAGAGCAATCACAACCTGAACTGCGCCATCCTAAACGATTCCTTCGTGCTAAGTCCCTCCCAAGAGTTAACCAACAGCAACCCCGCCGTTCCTCTCAAGCAATCCGATTCGAATCTGTCGTTCCTGGGAAGGTTTAACAACATGGGCATCAATTGCAACAGTCAGGGTTCTCCGTCTGCGAAGTCCGAGAAGCAGGTGGCTAAGAAGCCAGTGCCCACCATTCAAGCTCTGTCCGAAAGGCGTCCACTCCAGGCCACTGAAACGCCACTGCGCAATGAGATCTCCTCCTCATCGAAACCGAAACAGGATGCGGACTTTATCACCCCTCAGGTGCGAACCGTGGGTTCTTCGCTGGCTGGAAAAAGTCGAAGTGTTGTGTCCAACGACTTCCGTGCGCAGAAGGTGCTCTTCCAAACGCCCATGACCGTGAGTCGTGCTGCTCCCGTTGCCTCTGATAGCATAATCTTCTCGCTCTGCGACACCATCAGCGAGAGTCCCGACATTCCAGAGCCCCCAAAGGCAGATCCTCCGCAAAGTCATCATCAGTCCAAAAGGTCTCTGGACAATGTATTCCGGGAGTCAGATAAAGATAAAGACAATGTTCAGGTCGTGGAGCCCAATGAATTGGTGCCTGTTCCTCCCGTTGCCGTACCTCCTGATCCGCCTAACACTTCCTCTTCAACCACCTCTAGTATTCTGAAAATCAAGAATCACGAGTACACGATTTCCAAAAAGCTTGGCAGCGGCGGATCCAGCTTGGTTTATTTAGCACGTCGTTCTGACTCGGGAGACGAGTATGCCCTAAAGGTGGTGGATCTGCAGGCCGATCCCCAAGTGGTGCAGGGGTATCTTAACGAAACCAAGCTCCTGGCTAAACTTCAAGGAAACGTCTGCGTGGTTGCGCTTTACGATTAGTGAGTTTGAAGGTTTTAATATGTTAACTAATAACTTAGCTACCTGAATTAGTATGTATAGTTGTCTGCTTTGATCACCTGTCCTCTAGCTAAAACTATCTTAGCTTATATCTTCTAATGAAACTCTTTTTTACAGTCAACTAGTACGGGAAGAATCCAAGCTGTACATGGTAATGGAGAAGGGCGATTGCGACCTGAACAAGATCCTGCAGAGCTACACCACCAACCTGCCCCTTTACAGCCTGATGAACATCCTGTACCAGATGCTGCAGGCGGTCAACTACATCCACCAGCACGGTGTCATCCACTCGGACCTCAAGCCGGCCAACTTTCTAATGGTCAGCGGGAGACTGAAGCTGATCGATTTTGGCATCGCCAGCAATATATCTGTGGACTCGACGAGCATCATCAAGTTTTCGCAGGCGGGTACTTTCAACTACATCAGTCCGGAGGCCTTGACGGACACCTCCACGGGCAACAGTCCGATGCGCGGAGCCAACCAGCCCAAGATCAAGATTTCGACCAAGTCGGATGTGTGGTCGCTGGGCTGCATCCTGTACCTGCTGCTCTACCAAAAGACGCCCTTTGGCCACATACGGAACATCTATGCCAAGATGAGTGCAATCGCCACTCCGGGCACCAGCATCGAATATCCTCCCATTCCTCCCTACTATCCCGTCATGCTGGTTCATGTGAGTTTGGCGGGCTTTTTATAATTCTAAACTACTATTTACATTAAAATCCATTTTAAAACAGCATTTAAAAGAATTGAAGATTTGATTAAAACAATGTTTGATTGAACATCGTGAATAGGTGGGACCTTGAAGTCTTTGTCTAAAACTTTCTCTTAAAAACGGGGGATTTTATTAAAATGCGACTAAAATAGATGTGTTTAATTATCTCGGCTCTATTTTCAGATGGCCAAGAACTGTCTTCAGTTGAATCCCAAGAAGCGGCCGTCGTGCACTGAACTACTACAGTATCCATTTCACATGGTCATTCCGCTGCAGAATCTGCAAATTCCCAGCAGAGCCGCCACCAGTAATTAAGCATCAAAGCTCAACTATTTATTAGTCAAATGTCAAAGGTCAAATGTCTTTCTCATATGTGTGTGTATATATTTAATTCTCATTTATCGTAAATTAAACATCATAAATCCTTACAATGCAGCTCATTCTTTTGTGTTTGTTGTGGTCGCTGATGGACTTGAATTTGTTGGTTTCTAATTAATTTGTTAATTTCTCAGTATGTCGCATGCAACAGGTTCCCGACAATTAATTGCTAGTTAGCATTCGTGAGTTTAATTTGCGTTTACTTATAAGATAGTTTCTCATTCAGTTTTATATAAAAATAGTTATTTTCTTGTTTATATACGCTTAATTAATTGTTGCTGCTGCCGTTTACTTTTCTTGTGTTTAAATACTTTACGCTGCTCCGCGGCGGAAAATTAAAAGTACATAGAAACGGAAAACAATTATGGAAAACATACAAAACATACGTGTTCATACACTCATACTATTTAGTTTGTTTTATTTTTGTGGTTTCTCCTTTTAAGTAGATGGGTTTTAAATTCATTTGCTTAACATAAGATACATATACAATTGTTTATAGCGCTTTTTTAAATGCAAGTGTAACACAAATAATAATAACTGCATGCGAAGTATTGGATAAATAATAATTATAAAGTAGCAGCAGCAATGGATTTTGTTACTGTTCTTCCGGGTTGCTTTTAGTTTTTTTTTTGCGGTAGGGCTTGGGTGGAAATTGCCTGCTTCTGTGTACAGAGTCTGACTTTTCCTTTGCTAGCGCTTCTTCTTTTCTTCTCGTTTAACATTGCACAAGTTTCGATTGTTATCATTATCTTGCTTTAGTTATGTGTGTATAATTTCTTAAAGCGTTCCGTAGTTCTTCATTCTTATAATTGTTGCTTTTCGCTACTATAAAATGTTTAATGTTGCTGTTGTTGTTGTTGTGGGGCATGCTTTAAGTTTACATAATTTTCCTCGCCCTTATCCTGTTACTTTAACTTTAAACTTAATAAATTGTTAGAACTGTTTGTTTTTTACTGTTGCTGTTGTAATGGAAGTTGGACAAACTCTGCGGATGCTTGTCAGTTTATCGTCGTTGTTGGCCTCCCTTCCTTTCCTCCTTTCCTTTCATCTTCTGTCTCTAAGACATTAAATGTCCTGAAAGCATTATGAAATGTTTATTAAAGTTTGTGGAAGTATATATTGATTTTATAGATTTTCTTGGCTTTGTAGTGATAGTGGCTGTTTGAGAACAACCGCCTCTATAGCCATCACAATAGTTAACTTAATATCTCAACAATCTACTGCCAATCTCCCAGTTATTTTTTAAAACAAAATAAAAGAATCTTACCTGTTCTCCGTTGGAGGCATGCTGCTGCAGCATAAGGATCTGCTGCTCTTTCTGGTCGACGATGCCACGCCAGTGCTCGTCCTGCTCGCGAGCACGCTCCTCCAAGTCCATCAGCGTGTTGGTCTGTGCAAATAATAGACAATCAATTTAGAACCACATTTAAAAAGGATTTTCGATTGCCCTAAAGGTCGCTACTAATCCATTTTAGTGACCATGTCACTAGGGACGACTTACCGTCTTGGTGACCAGCTGGGTGAGCTTGTCGTTGCACTCGCGCAGCTGCAGGATCTGTTTATGCAGCTCCTGCTGCTCGGCGGCGGAGGAGGATTGGCTATTCGAACTACTATTATTGCTACTAATATTGTTGTGGGTGCTATTGTGGTTGCTACTGCTACTGTTGTTTGATTGTGTGGACTTATGACTACTGCTGCTCTGTTTCTCTGCCTTCTCCGCCTCGAGCTTCTGCCGCAGCACATCCTGCTGCTGCTTGACATGGGTGGACAGGACCTGTTCCAGCCACTGGTCAAAGGATGCCTGCAGTGCATTGCCCGACTGCGCTTTCACTGCATCGGGATACAGGCGCTGGTAGAGGTCGCGGATCCTCTGCTGCTCGCTCTTGGCTGAGCTGGCACTTCCGCCTCCATTGGCGGCCACTGCCTTTTGTTGCTGCTGCTGCAGCTCTTTGTGTTGTTGCTGCAATGATTTAAAAATGCAATTATCGTCACATGGTTTTTCCAGATAAAATCATAAAGGAAAGCAGAAGGTGCGGGCCGAGATCATGCACTTACGCCTACGGATTGCACTGTATTTGTTTTCGTCTTAGCCGTTGCCTTAGCTGTTGATGCTTCGGCATTTTGCAACGCCTCGATCAACTTCCAATTTTTCATACGCACGTCCTGACGAAACACAAATACGTGGCAATTAGTAAAGGATGCAGTAAAAAAAGGCGAACAAGTGCGGATGCAAAAGACAACAGAAACTTTTACACTAACAATGCGAATGTAAAGCCATTAGTCAGTTAGATTGGAATCCTTTCTCAACTTATTATTCATAATTGGTATATCTTTTTATTTTAAGACTTAAATGTACTTTATTTCATTGTCACTTGACAAACACTTAATTTTGGTTTAAGATTTGTATGATAAATATTTTATTTTAATGTAAAAATAATTATGGGTGCTAAAAAAATTAACTTAACCAAACTGAAAAGAAAAACCATATAAATAATATAGTTGAGGGGAAAGATCTTGCCGCTATGGCTGACATCTTAAGTTATAAATTTTGACTCTCAGTGTACATTAAAAAAAACATAATTTATAAACAAATTTGAAAGTTTTTACTAAGATTATAATTGAGAATTAATAAACGAAACGGATAGAATCAGAATGATTTAAACATCAATACAAACATACAAAATATACAAAGCTGTTGATTACAGCTCCTAGTTTCTTTTCGTTTCTACTTACATTATTCTTCTCCCGCTGCTCCTGGAGCTCCTGCTGCAGCTGCTGCTCCTTGGCCTGCAGCTGCTCGGCCCGCTGTTGCGCCTCCTGGAGTTGCGACTGCAAAGCGGCGGCCTGCTTCTGCTGCTGGGCCTGGGCATCCGTCAGCGAGCCCACCTGCGAGCGCAGGGCAATCAGCTCCTGCTGCTTCTGGGCCAGAGCTTCCGTCTGGACCTGGGCCTGCTCCGACTGGGCGGCCGTGGCCTGAACGGCACTGCTGGCGGCCTGGGTGAGCTGCAGGCTAAGGGCCTGGTTACTGGTCTCCAGGGTGGACGCCTGCTGGCGCAGCTCTTGCAACTCGGCGGCGTGGACGCGCTGTAGCTCCGACTGCGCCTGCGCGACGGCGCACAACTCCTGCTTGAGGTCGGCGGTCTCTGCCTCCAACTGTTTGCGCTGTTCCAGCTCAAAGATGCTGTTATTCTGACGCGCTTCAAGCTCGTCGCGTTGCAGCTCTAGGGCCTGCAGTTGCTGCGCCTGCTGCTGGATCACCTCGTTCTTCTGCTGGGTCTCTGCGTTGACGAACGCGGTCATCTCCGCCAGGCACTTCTCCTTGTGAGCAAGGTCCTGTTGCAGGCGCTGCAACTGCACAAGATCCTGCGAGTTGGCTTGCTTCTCTCTCAAGAGTGTCTAAAATAAAACAGTTACATTTAATTCATATCTTAGCAACCGAACATCATCTATTATAATGCCAAATTTTAAGTTTTAAGTATACTTAGTCCCAGATAGTTAATATTGTTATGGACTTACGGCAATTTTAAAACCTAAAAGTTATTAAAATTAATTGAAAGTCTTAGTAACTAAACAGTTTGCTTTCCTAATGACTTTACCAAATTTAAAAGAATTTGAATTAAACCGCAAATCGATTTGTTTTCACCTACCTGGAACTGCTGTCGCTCGAGCGCCAACTTGTCATTCAGACTGGACAACTCCTGGTTAAGGGCAGACAGCTCCTGCTCTTTGCCCTGTAACTTATCGTTGTAGGCCTGGATGCGGGCGTGCATCTGGGCGCGCTCCGTGTTGACCTCCTGACGCAGCTCGCGCAGCTTGGCCTGGATGCCAATGGAGGCCTCCTGCTCCTCGGCGAGCAACTTTTCCTTTTCCTCCAGTTGCCGCTTGAGCTTCTGGCAGATGTCATCCGACCATTCCGAATGCGAAGAGGGCATATCTTGTTGCTTGTTCAGCAGATAGTCGATGAGTATCTGAATCTCAGACCGATTTAGCTCGGCACGGGAAAACACATTCATCAGAGCATTGACGCCAATGGTCTGGTTCTGGTGATCGGCCAGTTTATCCAAGGCCTGAGCCAAATCCTTGGCTGTGAGGGTTTCCTTCTGATTTTGTTTTTTGTTTTGCTGCTGTTGCTTGGTCTTGTTGTTGGCCTGGTTGTGCTGGGTTTTGGGCGAACCATTCTGCTGTTGCTTGAGAATCTGTTTGGCCACAACAGGTGCCTCAGCTTCGCCAGCTGCTGGCTTCTCCTTTTTGGCCACGCTACCACCACCATTCTTCTTCTGGGTTTGCTGCTTATTATTGTTATCCTCCTTGCGCTCCTTTTGCTCCTGTTTCTTAAGTTCCACCACATCCTTGGGTACCTTGGTCTCAAAGTTATTCAAAGAGGGTGTCTCCTCGGAATTGACTGGAGCTTTGACGACCACAGTTTCGTTTTTGTTAACCAGGATACCGGCGGTCTTATTGCCAGCGCCGTTGCGCTTATCCTTTTTGCCTTTTTTGCCAGCAACGGACGGCTGATTCTCTTTTTCGGCAACGCTACTGGGTCGACGTTGCTCATTCAGGATCTCTGCATCGGGTTCGAACTCAACATGCTGCTTGGACAGACCAGGTTCCTCATCAGCAACCGATCCCTGGCCCTCGGACTGACCGTCGGAGAAGTCCTCGGGCTCTTCAGGTTCCGGTTCGTTGTTCACATCCCGCTGCTGTTCCCTCTGACGTTGCTTCTTCTCGCGTTTGAGTTCCTTCTTCTTGGGCTTCTTGGTAGCCGCTCCACCGGCTGCCTTGTAGAGATTGGCACTCAAAGCACGCTTCTCGGCCACCACCTCCTCGAAAGTCTTCCGCCGGAAGATCTTGTTGATAAACAGGAACGAGAGCAGCGAGGCGCTGAACACACAACCGATGACGATCAGTATGTGGAAGTCCATATTTGCATATCTTTCCGGTTCAGGCGTGGGTTTTTCTCAAGGATCTCCTTTGCGAAAGCTGTCAATAAAATAAAAGGACACTTATTAATTTTTCGAGCACGACTATCAACATATATTAATTAATCTTTTGAGCACGATTTTCAATATATAATTTTATTGCGATTAATTTAATTTAATTTTTTACTATTCTACTTAATAGGCATTCAGCACTTATAAATAAAAAATTATGGCAAAACAGATTTTTGAAGATAATGCGCTTCAATAAAAGGGGGAAACCCACAATTACAGCCACGTTTTCTATGAATCGTTGCTAAATAAACCGACCAACGAAGCAAAAAATAATCTCAAGTGTGGAAATGTTAGAAATGCTTTTTGGGGTCACTCGTCTACACATTTGCTATCAAACAAAATTGTTCAACATGGCTATAGTTCCTTAAACATTATCAGCTTTAGAACTTTTACTAGTGCCAAGTGATGACGTGGGGCTCAAAAACCAAAAAAGTGGCAAGAAATGTTCATTGAGCGGCAGATCAACGACAATGTTCAATAGCAATTATGCTATATATAGTCGGATTGTTTGAGTACGTTGTACGTGCTTATCAGTTTACCGGCCGGGGAATGGCACCAAAACCCATACAAAAACTCTCTTTTTGTATGACAACGTTGTTATTGCAGTTGCCTGTGCTTGCCTGACATGATATTAATAAAACGGTACGCGGTTGATAATTTTATTTTTATTCGCTGAGATAAACAAATGCACTGTTGGGTGGCTCAATTTTCCTGGAATCCGGTTTATACAGTGGACATCCGCTTGGTCAACTCGGATTCAAATTAGGATGAATTTCAAATTTAGTCAAAAAGGTCGCTTGCATGAATTTAATTTGACGTGGGATGGGCGATAAGAAACTCAAGCTGATATTATTGAATTCTCCTCAGAGCAGAGACTTAAATTGTAGCCCGTAGGAAGCAGACAAAGAATAAAATTAGCTTACGAAGCAGCTGCTGTGCAGCCTTGAACGAAAGTTAGTAGTCATTTTCTGCACCCGAAGGTGTTGACGCAGATTAAAAAGTACAAAAGACAAATCGAAAAAGAACAACAACTTAAAATAAAGCAAAAAGTCCAGATTCTGACGCACACGTATGCAAATTTGACGATTGGCTCACTGGAAAAAATATAGCACTGGTAATCTTCACCGTAAAACTCCGCGGACACGATGCGAATGGCAAGAGGCGAGTGAAAAGATTCACAGCAGAGCTGGGTCGCGATTCGCAATCTTCCGGCTCTCCCACTTTATACACTTCAACCAATTTTATAATCGATTGGATGAAAGATTCGTCTTATATGTTCCCTTTATGTCGTTATGCAACTTTCAAAACGTTGATTGACCATATATATATAGGTTTCTTTATACAAAAACTATTTTGACTATTTTAACTATTACACAATTAAAATCTTGTAAAACAACCAACTACAATTACAAAAAAAAAACCGAAAATGCAGGCCCTTTAAATTTCTTATAAAAAAAAAACACTTATTCGTATGTAGAATTAAACATTTAACTTTGGAGTATTTTGGTAAAATTTATTGTTTGAAAAATTGAAAGTTTTATTGGTACTAGTTTATTTTCTGTGTGTTATCGCTCTTTCTCAGCTTGTAGACTCTCTGCCACTTTTTCTCTTTTCTCCCACCACAAACAGTTAGAACAGAACTTGAAATTTCGCTGGCTCCACGAGCTCAGTGGAAGAATTCACAAATTGCAAAAATTTCAATTCAAGGTTGTTGCTCTCATCGCTTGCGATAACTGGCAACTGGCAGGTCGAGTATTTCTTTTTTTTACTTCTTATTCCTTCTGCTTTGCTTGCTCGCGTCATGTTTCTGGCTAAAAGATTCTGACTGTGTTTCGGCTTTTTATCCACATTTAAACCTACGTGATATTTTGCAGAGAATCGCAAAAACAGCAGAACTGTAGGTTCATTTATTTAAATTTAGGTCTATTCACAGAGGTTTTAAATTGCTTAAATCTACTCACATGAATTTTAAGTTTTTAAAACCACTCGCTGAAGCTTACAAATTTTTAGTCAACTTCTTTTAAATTATTACGGTATTCACATCTTGAACTGTTTCAAATAAATAACAGTGAAGGTATTTTTTTTGAACAAAGAAAATCTGGGTAAAGAAAGTTCCTAGGGTCTTCTTTGTTAGCCAGTGCAACTTCGACAAGTTTGTTGTAATTACTTGAGGAAATTTCAAATCCACTTGGGTATTATTTACCCATAGAATTTTTTTGTTTGCCTATTTGCTTAAGACTCGCGCTCTTTCGTTTCTTTTCTTCGGATGGGTGGGCTGTCCAAATACCAACGTACATATTTGCGCTCTACAAAGTTCAATTAATATTTAATGACAATAAAAACGGGTTTCCGTCAAACAAATCGATACCATTTAACGGAAAGTAAGTAAGCCCGTACAGCGAATTCCGGGCGTAACGTAGCTAAAGAAGCAGCAGAAGAGAGCCAAAGAGAAGCACAATAAAAACGCCGGTAAAGGTCATCAACCGGAAGAAAAGCGCCCGTGTGTGAGTGACTTGTCAGCGGCTGGGGGCGAGTAAGTGTGTCTGTGTGTGTGAAAGTCGAAATCTTGCTGCCAATTATCATTATGGCCATCTATAAATAATTATGTATTATGGTCGGGCAGCATGCAAAACACGCTGGCTGCCCGGCCTCGTTACAACAGACCGACAAACTGGCATCGAACTGCACAGTTGGCCTAATTTTCCCGTTTTTCCTTCTATCTTTCTGTGCCGTTGTTTCGTTTTTCCCTCCCCTCCTCGCCTTCAATTAGCTGCCTGCCACCGCACACTTACACACTCGCAGTCGCGCGCTGGCACATGGAATTTCTCTCCTATCGGTGAACACCGGTCAGAAATGAGAAACTGACTTTTTTAAGTTTATATAAAGGCGGATGTTTGAGGGTCAAGTATACGCCCCATGTAGCATCTTTTAATGACGACTTCATAAATCGAAATTAGTTGGTTGTGAAATAATTCGAATTTCTTGCGTTCAAGCTCACAAAGTGTTAATTTAACATAATATATTTCAAAATTCACAACAAAATGTAATAATGCTGTCTTTAGTCTTGGGGCGGATTCTGATTGGAATATAAGGATTATGTCATTGTATACAAATAGCACCTGATTTGGAAAATGTTAAACAAGCACAAAACTTAAAAAAGTACTTTTGGTATTTTAAAATAAATAACATTGGGCCAGAAATCTTTAGATACTTATTCTTTAGAATCTCAATATTCAAAATCGATATCTCAGTCTTGTTCACTGTCGGTTAAAAACAACTTTACTTCAGTACAACAAAGAAATCTTATCAATAACAATTTTAACGAATTTAGAAGCTGGACGTTTTATAGCTTCCTTTTAAAGCAGCAGCACTGATAACGGTGCAAGTGATTTTCTTGCTCTCTTTTCCACTTTTAGCGAGAGCGTACTCGCATTCATTCATTATTTTTCTTATATTTATTCATAAATGCATATTTTTTGCCTCTGCTATTTTCAGCGGCTCAAGAGTTTTAATTTTAGAAAGCTCTGTTCCCTGTTTTTCTTTTTTCCTGTACAATTTATGCAACATGCAATGCTGTTATATTTTTCTCGGTGCAAAAGAGAGCATGGCATGTCGTTATTTATCTGCGTGTGTTCTTATTATTCCTGCGTGGGAGCGTCAAGTTCGCTTCCCTAATTTTTGGTCCACAGATGGAAGGTTGCTCTAAAAACGGGTGACTCATAAAGCCTATTATTAGGCGAACTGATATTGTCTAAAGTTGACGGCTAATGGTTATTGATTGCTGACGTAGACGACGGCATTTGTTGATTATCAATTGGTTTTCCCGATGACGAACATTTTAAAGTCTATGATTTATTGGATTGCAAGCCGCTCTCTTTTGTTCTCTTATAAGCTCTCCCTGTCTCTTGCCTTTGATAAGCTCGCATGTGTGAGTGGTGAGGTCAGCGCATCAATTATGCTCATTTCTAGCCTTTTCTTTGATAAAATCGCTAAATAATGAGGAAAGTTTGCGGGGTAGCGGGGGTTAAGAGAAGGCCAGACGGTGGCGCCCGAGTTTTTGGCAAACTAAACAAGTCACCTGTCCCTTTAGCTCATAAATCAGCAATGAGAAACAGTGAAAGTATGTCGGCCGCTAATTGGCAGCTTGAATAATTGGACACCGATAAATAATTATAACTTCCTTTTGCCTCTGAAGACAAAAGGGCGTCGCACCGCACTTAAACCTTCATGCACCGCTCTTCATTTCCTTCTGCCTCTCTCTGTCTCTCTAAAGGCTGTTATCCCGATTAATAAGTCACTTGCAACGTCAACAATTTTCACAACATTTCACATTTACTGCAGTCTTTCTTTTTCCTCCGTTTTTTTTTTCTTGAAAACGCATCCGCCATTTGCAAGCCATTTGTGTATGTGTGTGCCAGAGAGTGTCGTGTCCCTGTGATGCATCGTTGTCGCGTCGGCAGTTTTTCACTGTTTTCTGGCCTTTTTGCGGCTTTAACAAACCACTTCTTACTTGCAAAATAGGGCTTACACTTTTCCTTGGCCTTTCGGCTTCGACTTACACTTTTTCGTTTGCGTTTAGTGGGAAAATTGAAACATTTACAAACTGAGTGGCCGTTCCAATATATTAAAATAATCTAGCAACTCCCAAATAGTACTAAAGATAGACGTTTAGCGAGGGAACAAACCATCTTACATTAGAGAAGGGTTGATACCTCGGATAAATATATATTTTTGTCGATGGTATCATGGTCACACTAACTATCTTACTTCCAAACGTTGACTGAAATTTTTGTTTTCCCTTGTAACTAATAGTTTTTCCACGATTTTGATGGCAAACATGGCTTCGGTTTCAAAGTCCATAGTGCTTCTAGTGTCCTTGGCCACCTTTGGGTATTCTCTTTACGTGGTGGGCCGCCTGATGATGTTCCTCTCGACACCCCGCTCCATTTCAAAGGCTCACACCTGGATTTTCAATTTGCTGGACAACAAGTCGCGCCTGGAGACTGCCTATGGGCCCGTGGTGTTCGACACCCTCTACGTGATGGGATTCATCTTCCAGCACAGCTTCCTTAAGTCAGCGCTGGTCAAGAAACTGCTGGCCAACTTGGGTTTGTCGGGGGCAGAGCGTACTATTTATAGCCTGACGTCATCGCTGTGTTTACATGTTTGTATACCCACGAATTGGGCAAAAATAGCTCCTAACTATGTCTTTGGATATTGCAGTATTTAATTCTCAACTGGCTGCCGGCACAGTCGATTGTTCTGTGGCAAATCGACGTGGACGAAAGTGCTCCTCTTTGGTGGACCTTTGTTATAACCCACGGACTGTGTTGGGTGGTGATCTTTGGCGGAAGTTTGGTGATGGATCTTCCAGAGCTACTGGGCATCAAGCAGGCCTACTACGACCTGAAGACCTATGGTCCGCCCATAAACTACAAGTCTGGGGAACTGCGAAATCTGTATGCACATGTGAGGCATCCCTCGTTTGTGGGTTTGTCGGTCATTCTGTATGCCACCAATGTAATGAGCGTGGATCGCCTGGTTCTGGCCCTGCTCCTGACCACGTACATGTACCTGGCCTGGTCCACCGATCACAAGGATGTCGCCTATCAGAAGGTGCAACTGCAACGCAAGAAACTCGAGCTGAAGGCCCATTAAACTTAAACTCCATAATGTTCTCCTAATAATTAATTGTAAGTTGACAAAAGTTGTATTAAATAAGGGTTTTTCTAACATTTTGATTTCAAGAATTTGTTTTATTTGATTTATTTTTATTTATTTAATCTACTTTTTTCCGTTAGCAAATGCTAAAGCAATTGGAATCTGAACATTATAAAAATCTGTAAATCTGTAATTTTGGGTCAGAATTTTTTTATGGTCGGCCACTAAAAATTACTACCACTTACCACAAATCTAAGCTTACTTTGTCATTCTTACTAAAACCTAACTCATTCTTACAATAGAAGGATCAAAAGGCTGTCCTTTAAAGGGGGAACCTTCAGCATCCCAAGCAGTTCTTAAACGATCCAGAGTTTTATTTTGTTCGGGGTTTGAGGTCTGGATTTCATTTTGCTTCTTATCCGCTTCCAATTGCTGCATACGAAGCTTTTCAATGGTGGCTTGGGTGTCCTCTGGTAAATCATCTATATAGCGTTCGCACTCAATCTTCTTGGCATCGATTTCTGGATCCCCTTCGAAGAGACGTTCCCACCAGAGTTCCTTGGCTTTATCTGGGGCATAATGAGCAGAGGTTTGTTACATTATTTAAAGGTAATTTGAAGCAGTTACTAACCAAAACTCATAAGCAAGCGGTTCTGATCAATGGTCCATACAGCCTCGTTATGTTTGATCCGCTGGCTGAGATCTCCCTCGAGGATTACTAATTCAGGAACTTGTTTGTTGCTTACTTTTATGTGCTGGGCTTTGATTGAAATGCTGAGCTTCTTTGCTGCTTGAAGGTCTTTGGGAAGGTGAACCTGAATTTCCACATCTTTCAGGGTCTGCGACCAGCAATGGGTTTTGAATACATCACCATTTTTGTAGTCACTGGGCGAGAATGTGGTCTGTTCTTTGGATTTTGGTTCTGGGCCGTTTCTTATGGGACGTTTATCTTCCTTCTGGACTACATCTTCACTTTTCAAGACCACTTCATCAATGGCAGGGGGAGCAGTCTCGCCATCATCACCTGCGGCTTCATCTTCGGCTGTCATGGTTTGGAGCCAGCAATCCGGATCGTAGCGCTGCATGGCGCCATATAGAATCTGATCCCTCATGCCTTTGGGAAAGCCTATTTTGTCTGCTTCATTACGCTTTGTGTGGTAAAAATCGGTGCTAAATCCAAACAAAAAACATTCAACATAATTGAGTTTCAGGTTCTGAGACAAAAATGTGTACTTGCGCCGCAGAAAACCGAAAATAGAGTCTAAAAATCCAGTAACTGTTTTCCTATCCTGCAGAATTTCCATTAGCATAGCATCGTTTCGCTGAAAGTCCATTTTATCTCAAACAATTTTGAACCGGCTTACAGTTTACAGCTGTTTTGTACATCGATTAAACAAATGTGGACATAGCTATAAAATAGCTATGCAGAAATTTCCTAAAATATTAAAGATTCCAAACTATGAAAATGTAACTTAAAATATTTTTTGTACTTCAAGAAACTGTATCAGGAAAATAGTTATCTATTTATTTAAAAACCATAATTGTACAAACCATGGCTTGTACACTTATCTGACATAAAAATGATAAAATTAAAAAGAAAATTATGAAAACTAGCTAAATTATTTTTTGTGAAAAAAATCAAGTTGTCAGCGCTGCGTTATTACAAATTTATCGATAACAATCGTGCCGTGAAGTTGCTTTGGAAATCCGTTCCCAAATTAAATATCTCTAAAATACTCACAAAATGATCGGAAGACTGTCTTTTTGGTACAAAGAAAACGTTTCCAACGAGGTGGATTGTGTGGCCTGTCGTTTGATCAGTGGAATCGGTCTTCTTGGGATCGGTGCATATATTTTGGCGCAAGCGAAGAAGCGCCCAAAGCCCCTTGAGAATTACACTATGAAAAGTCTGGCTGCAGGTAAGCCACTTAATATGTCATATAAAATCCGGTCTTCTGATCCGTCTCTTCCGCCCCAGCCGTTGGATTACTGGGCGTGGCCCGTCTGGCAGATGCGAATTTCCTGAAAGCAACAGTCGAGGAACCGAAAGAACAGGAGCCTAAGACTTCGCAGAGCACCAGTGATCATCAGTTCTTTGCAAGACGATAGTTTAATAAGCTGTTTTTATTTGTAGTCGCAGAAAACTCATTTATAAGCATTTTGGTATATGCCAACTGAATGTTACAATATCAAAATTCACCTTTCTTATACATAAACATTTAAACTCAACAAAGGTTTTGGGTTTTTTGGGAAATTTTAATAAGTCTGTATATTGTTACCTATTGATTTTTAGTTCATGCTCACAAATAACCTAAGATGACTGGCGATCTAGGCCTTTTGACTGAGGACCTGGGAAGAATAATCAATAATTAAGGCCCTATAACCATAAGTTTGTATAATTTTTATCTCTTTAAAATGTATAATTGATTTACTTAGGAAATAATTTTACAGAAATTGATAAAAACCCAAAACTTCTTTAGAGTTAAAGTTTTTTGACCATCAGCAGAAGTGTTTTACATGTAAATTGATACATGGGCCTATTAATTGTTGCTGATGGGCTTCCTGCACTTTAAAAATACCTAAAATCCCACCTTGCCCAACTTGGTGTCAGTCTTTGGATTGGCCGTGATATTCTGCACCGCCACAATCGTTTCGTTAATATGCGTTTGCAGCTGGCGCAGGCTCTGGATCTGTAAAAGGCGCAGGATGCGCATGGGTAGGTCCAGGGCAGGATCGGTGGACGAGACCACATCGTTGCCCTTGTCGAATGGGAAGGGTGTGCCCAGAACCGGCTTCCGTCCCTTGGCGGCGGGTGAAAGGCGTTCATGCACCACCCTAGCAACGGCCTCCAGTTGCAGTAGGTGGTTTGGGTGGTGCGGCACATTCAGTTTGCTGGCCAGCAGGCGCACACCATCCACAAACGCCTTATCATGAACTGGGTGGAAGAAAACAGAATGATTACTTAGTGTATAATTTTATGCATAAAATTTTACGTTTCTAATTGATTTACTCCGTAATAATTCATTTATTGTAAATGTTGTTTACAATAGAATTATACTAGCTTCAAAATTTAAATACTAATATTATATGTATTCTTTGAAATAAATTAAAATCTTGTTCGGAATCAATTGAATTTCGTTATTGGTCGAAATCATTAATTATAGAAAACATTGTACTTAAATAAATATATTTTTCACTTAAACTAATTCTATGGAAGTTAAAGGTAATTTAATCAACTAAAAACGGGGAGACTCTTACCATTGATCTTTCCTTCGAAAATAGACTGGACCTTCTGGTGGGCCTGCTTGCCATTGCTTTGGGGTGGACCCTGCTTGCTGTTGATCGCAGCAAACTGGGCCGGATCGTCCAGGAACTCGAGGCGCACGGCGTGACTGAGAATCCAGGCCAACTGCTCCTGTTGGCTTTCCAAAGGCGGCATGTTGAGATCCGCACAGTACTTTATGTAGCCCTCCTCCCACATGGTTGGGTTGTCTATGTTACGCAGCTTTTCGCGATCCTCAATGGTATAAAGTCGGATTTTCTGGTCCTCCACCCAAAGGACTGTGCTGGCGAATTCCTTGCGGTCTGCGGGCATAGAGGAATGAGCCCATAAATTCGCTTTTTGCAAGCCAAAATGTAGCACTTACTGCTCAGCGCCACATCACTGGGCGTGGGATGTCCCAGGGCCTCAAGTTTCAACTTAAGCATGGTTTCCGATTTTTGCTTTTAATACAAAAATCGATTCGCTATGTTTAAATCTACAAAATCGCACAGCCGGTGTTGCTTCTTCTTGCCCGTTTGGATTGGTAGTGATGGGACATCAAGGACGTCAACGCTATCGATTTTTAGCTTTAGGGCTGCCAACTCGATCTAGCTAATTTTCAAAATGCGGCTATTTATAAATGTATAATATATACATTTATAAATGTATAAGCCTTTAAATTGAATTTAGTAGAATGAAACAATATGTTTTTTGTTAAATCTATATTTTTGTACTGTTCACTAATAAACTAAACAATTTTAAACTGATATATTTTAGTTTACTTACTAGCCTAATTTGGTTCGAACTTTATTTTTTTAATTTTTATTTAGAATTGATGTAAAAGAAATACACTTTTATTTTACATTTTAAAATATGTAATTATATGAATATATAAAATCTTTATATACAACAATATGACAGTATCAAGTGATTAACGTTATATTATTACATTATTGTACTAAGATTTAATAATATTTTGGTTTTAGTAATCAACTGCCTGACAAATAAAATGAAATCTTGAAACATCGCATGGCCAACTAGATAAAAGGCGTCCACGCACAGCAACGCAGAGCCCGCTTTGTAGCGAAAGGAGATGGTTTTCCTTATACCACTTGGAAAATGTGACTGGCTTTCCAGAGGACACAGAAACGAACTTTCCAGTTTTGGCTTGATCGTTAATGCCAGTCCAGTAAAAAGTATCGTTCTTAAGTATCTCGCGGATGCCGACAAACTCCTCTTTACTCTGGAAATCCACCAAATGGCATCCCTTTTCCTTGCAGAAGTTTTCAGCTTCATTCCAATTAAGTTCAATTTTATGTTCAATATAAAAATATCTTTTCCCGATCTGCTGAAAGCCAGGCGGTGGCATTTTTTTCTCCTCCAGTGTTTCTTTTTCGATCGCAACCAGCTTCTGCGGTGTTCCGTCAAAACTGGTTACTTTTCCTTTTTGAGTGCTGCCCAGTATCGCCAGGATTTCCTTCTGTGTCGCCAGGATACTAGTAATGTCATCGTAAAGTGGGTGCAATGCCGCATGAACAAAGGCACCGCATTGCAGAGGAGCGTCTGTTAATATACACCGTGAGCAGGCATCGTTCTCCGAACTAGCCATTCCGTACAGGTTGCAGGCAACAAAAGCGTACCAAAAAAAATGAACAAATTCAAACATTTTAAAAGTGGGGAACTGCAGCATGCGAATGTTTGAAAAGGACTGACACTAGATTTATAAGTTTGCACCCGAAGAACCCTTCAGAAAAGTTGATAAAAAATGTTTTTCACAATATTAACAATAGGTTTGATAACTTTTAAAAACGGAAACACGTTTCCGGTCTGCCTTGATAAGTCCCAAATAAAGAACCAAAATTGCGCTTAGGAATAAAGTTTTAAGTAGAATTAAAAATTTGCGCAAAGTAAGAAAAACAAATTCAACAAAAAAAAATGGAAACTTGCTTTAAACGCCGATGAACCGGGAAAATCGATTAGTAGTTAACGGGTAATCAAATGATTTAAATTAAAACCGATTCAAAGAACTGAGACCAATTTTCCCATTCTCCATTCGCGACAAGAAACAACAAAGACAAAGGCTGTATTGTATATCATATATGTATGTATATTAATTAAATAATTAAATTAAGTTTGAGGGACATACATTTACATCCTAGCAAATTATAGACTAATAACTACACGTTATATATCGAGATGCTGAGTTATAATATTTGTTTGCAAACAACTACACGAATACACGTATCAACAGCAGCACTTTCCTATTATCTCTCAATCTCTTGTAGTTCCTCTAGAACTAGGCAATCGCCCCGGAGTATGGGAGGATTACTAGAACTAGAGGCTAGAATCGGGAGATCGACAGTTCATGTTCGTTCTCTTATGTAGCACTTTAGTTATATGTGAGAAAGTTTAGTATACAAATTGGTGCACCCACCCATATATATATGGTTTTGCTTTAATGGTTTATTGGTTTCCTTTCCTAACGCCAAGCTTTTTGGGTATGGGTGTGTTGTTAGTCGTTTTTGCGTGCTTCTCTACAGCTTTAGTTCGATTTGCTTTGCTTTGCTTTGTGTTTTATAGCATTTTATGGTTGTGTTTTGTTTTGTTTTCTTGGTGTTATTTATTTAATATTTTAAATTAAGATTAAGATAAAAACCTAATTATTTATCTTGTCATTTACGCCTTAAGTAAGTTCAATATAAAATAAAATGAAGCAGCAGCACTTCCAGCAAATAATACAGTTAACATAAAAATTACAGCATTATGGTGTTCCATTTTTCATCTTTTTCAATTTTTTTATATATGCAATATATGTATGTATATGTTATGTATATTTATATCACCTAATTTGATTTTAATTTAAATTGTTTGTTTGCCTTCATTTGTCGGTTTGTTTGTTTTTCCTTATTTTGTTTCGATTCGCTTTCGAGTTACGCGATTAAAACTAAGAAATTGGAATTTTCGCAGACCATCCACACAACATACACATAAACATAATACGAAATGCAGTGCTGCCACTTACATGTGCCTTGTAACATTGCGTAAAAAAAACAAAAATACAGTGAAATTTACATAATAGTTAAGTATGTACAATTGTTTTAATCACCTCACATTCTTCATTTCTCTGCGTTGCCCTAGTCCACAATAAATCCATTAAACTGCAATACAATTGGGCATATTCTGGGGTCGCACAGTGGATTGGTTGGGTTTAATATTTCCTTATGCTTTTTTGCTGCTCAGTTTGTTCAGTTTACGAGTTCCTATGCTGCACATTGTGGTAATATGTAGGTATTAGTAAGTTGTAGAATTTAAAAACTATTCTCTATATATTTATATATCGATGTCTATATGTACGTATGTATGCATTCATCCCTTTTACATACACAATTCATTCTCATGTTGTTAAATGTTAATTTATGCATTTATTTATATATATATATATTTAATATACGATAAACCATAGCGTGCGTATGCATATGTATGTGTTAGTTACTCCTCTTTTCTCGTCCCTTCATTTTTATTAAATTTAATACAATAAGTATGCTGTGTGCTTGAATTTCGCTCTCCCCATCGCTATCTTCCGCGTTATGTTCGTCTCAATAATAATCCCCGATCGGATCGGATCGGATCAGCTCGGATCGATCGATCGGTCTGTATCAGTTAAACTATTCTAGTTTTCGCCGTGAACAGTTTACGTTTACGATTTCGTTTCCGTTTCATATTATCATTAATTTGCTGCTGTAATTGCTTAATGCTTAGTGTTTAGTTATAATATTTACTATTTTTAGATTTGAGTGAAAAAATATACAGTTGTTATTGTATTGACTGTTACAGTGATGGATAGTTGGAGCCAATCCACCTGCTGCTGAGTTCCCCTATACGTATCCTCGGAGCTCGGACACGGCCTTCTTCCCTGTCGGCGCCAATTAAGTAAATTTACATGCCTCCTCTACATCGGTTTAGGGATCATCTGCTGCCCGTGCGCCTCGGAGCCGCTCCTCGGCGCGCTGTTACTCCATCCAACTCCAGCTCAGTCGACTGCCCCTCGGGGGGTACGTGGCCAGTAGTAGGACGCTGGCATCATTGTCGTATACTACGCAACGGCTGTCGTTGTTCCTGCATTGGTTGGCGGCGGTGCCGCCGCTGGTTGGGCCACCGCCGCTCCGGCGGACACACTCGTCGAGGACGTGGTGGGCGGGACAACGGAAGCCGCTGCCGCCGCCGCAGCTGCTGCTGCCGCTGCACTGGCATTGCTCAGGGCCGCAGCGGCCGCCACCGCTGCAGCCGCCTTGCTCACCTGCTGCTGATCACTGGCCATTGCTGCTGCTGCTACTACAGCTGCTGCTGCTGATGTTGCGGATGCTGCACCTGCTGATGCCGCTGACGCCGCTGCTGATGTGGCTACTGCCAACGCAGATTGGCTGCTAATCGCACTGCTGCTGTGACTGCTGTTGGTGGTGCTGTTGTTCGTCTGGTTGCTGCTGACTGTGCCGCAGCTGTTGCTGTTGGTGCTGCTGTTGCTCACATCGTTGAATGTCGCTGCCGGCGGCAACTGCTGGCTGCTGTTGCTGCTCTCATCGTTTACCACTGCGTTCGTGGCTGCTGATGCCGGCTTCGCTTCAACGGAACTCGTTTCCGCTGATGCCGACGATTCCGCTTTCACTGAAGCACTTGCTCCCGAACTGACAGCTTGTTTCTCCACCGCGCCGGGACGCAGTTGTTGCTGCTGGCGCTGCTGCAGCAGGCGGAACTCCACCGAGTGTATGGGCCCGGTTCCGCGCGACACTTGGTAAAGCACCCGCGAAATTATCAGAGCCACCTGCTGGTCCAGGATGTGCGACATGACCAGGCCGAGCAGCCGCTGCTCCTGTTGCATGAACAGCGACCGGTTGTCCGGGTGCTTGGCCAGATGGAGCAGCGTTCCGGCTGCTCGCCGCAGCATGTCCAGGCTGGTGCCCATCGAGTCGGGATTCTCGCGCAGGTAGTTGATCCCATGCTGGTTCGCCACACCCAGCGCCGTCTGTTCGGCCTGTTCGATGAAGGCCACCAGATAGGAGATGCACGGCGACTGCAGCGCCACAGTGCGAGCCATGGCGCTATCGGCGGCGGCCAAGTAGTGCAGCAGGTTCACGGAGAACTCGCGCAGCACCTGGTCCTCGTTGCGGCACAGATGCCGGGTGAGCACGGCGCAGAGCTTCTCCAGTCGCGAGAACGGGGGAGTGGCAATGACCAGGTCGACGTTGGCATCCGTCACGCACAGCTTGCAGAGCGCCTCAAGGGCCAGGCGCTGCGGCGAGAGCGCCGTATTGGGTCCGCACGACGGGAACGGATCCTGGCCATGGGCACTCGGACACACGGCCCAGTGCAGCAGTCCGTCGATCAGGGGGCGGGCAATGAGCTCGTCGTAGCGCGAGAGCTCCAAGTGCCCGGCTATGTTGGCCATGGCGACCAGCATGTTCTCCCGAATGGTGATTAGGTAGTCCCACCACCACTCGCGCTCCCCTTGCAGCGAGCTGCACGAGTCACTGAAGTCCGTGTCCTCCTCACGGTCGTAGTTACGTGTCTTCGGCGTGCGCCTCAGGTGCTCGTGGTTCAGCAGAAGCAGTCGTCCCAGCACCGCCAAGAACCTGGTGGACTTGGCCAGCACCGTCTCGTTGCCGGGCACGAAGGTCAGGTTGCGGAAGATGTTGGAAAGGGCGATGCAGCGCCGCGCCAACGAGTCTTGGCTCTCGTTGACCAGGTGCAGCGACGCCTCGTCCCTGGTGTAGCACTCGTCCTCAAAGCTTGAGTCACGCCTCCGCTGCAGCACCTGCGCCACATCTTTGGCCGTTGTCCGGGGATCGAAGACGGCGGGAGTTGAGGCTGGGCAGGCTGCAAGGCCATTAGTCAACCTTTGCTGCGGTGCTTCGATATCCATGTCGACGGGGCGACAATCGCTGTCCGCCGAGCCCGGCTCCTTCTTCACATCAACGTTTGGCTGGGCAAATTCCTCACTCGTCAGCTTCGACTTCTTGCCCTCGGCGGGGGCTCCACTGCTGCTGCTGCCGCCGCTGACCAGTCGCCTCTTCTTGTTGAAAGCCGGCTCCTCCGAGCTGTTCTCCTCCAGCTTTATCTCCGCCTTCCTGGCCGTGCTCGCCACTTCTGTCCGCGTTTTTCCCTTCTTGTCGGAGCGGACGAAACGTGCAAATGGAATGTTAACAATCTCCGATTTGAAGACGTCTATGATGCCGTCGAGGGGATCTGGCTCGGTGAATCCGTACGTCCAGGCATCGCTGCCCACGGGCTCCAGCTGTTCGTACAGGCGGTTCGTGTCTATGTCCCACGCCTTCTGGCGCTCGTCCACAAAGATGTCGTGATCGGCGGCCTGGATGCGCACTGGCACTCCCTTTCTCGTGACCATCGTGTAATTGGGCGTGAAGGAGAGCAGTAGCGAGCGCTCCTCGGGATTGGGTTGCACACGCACCTGGCCCAGATCAATTCCCTCGTCGGCATCTTCTGAATCGCTGCCGTTGCTGGCGCCGCCCTTTCCGCTGCGGTCCATGTTCTCATAGTGCCGCCTGCGGTTGTAGCTGCTGATGCTGTGCACACAACGCGACTGTCGTCCGCTGGTCCGTAACTTCTCGCACATCACAGTGCCGCTGTCGGCATCGTCATCTGCCCCTTCCTCAGCCAGCATCGAGGCTTGCTCCTCGTTCTCCCGGTCGTCGAACATCTCGGCGAGATTCTTCTGGAAGTGCTCTAGCAGAAGAGTCAGCAGGCCAGGCAGATTCGAAATGCCAAAGAACTGCACCGTAGAATCGTCGAACAATAGCACGTTAAGCACATCCAGCGCCCAGGTGCATTCGGTCAGCAGACCGGATCGCATGGCCATAAATATCCGCCACGGATCCACGGGGCACACATCGGCCTTGGTGAGCCGCTTCCTTCGATACAGCACCGGCGTGGTGGACTCCACGCTGTCGTGCGGAAAGATCAACTCCTTCTTCACCAGCTGGCCACCGCCACCAGGCATTCCGGGCGGACCGTAGCCACCGCCCGGTGCCGTCTGACTGGGCGGCATCTGATGCGGATGCGGGTGCTGCGGATGCTGCGGATGCTGGTGAGGATGCGGATGTTGATGCGGCGGAGGCTGCTGCTGCAGTGGCTGTTGCTGCATTACCTGGCCCGGCATCGGCGGCTGTTTCTGAACCATCATGCCGCTGGGTGGCACCTGACCCACTTGCTGACCCACACCCTGAGATGGTGGCGGGGGCATGGCGTACGGTGGCTTCACCATTCCACCCGGTCCCGGCGAGGGAACGCCACCATGAGTAGCCTGTTGTGGCGGTGGTTGCTGGACTCCGCCCTGTTGCTGTGACTGTTGCTGCTGCGGCGGCATTCCGGGCATCCTCTGCTGTTGTCCTGGTCCGGAGGGCGGACGCAGTGGCGATCCGGGTGGCGCTATTCCTGGCTGCGCCGCCTGACCAGCGTTCATCTGGGCCCACTGTGGCGGCGCCTGTGGCGGCTGTTGTCCAGGGGGTCCGGCCACCTGCTGGTACGGCGGTTGCTGCTGCTGCTGCTGTGGCTGCTGCTGCTGCTGAGGAGGCGGCGGCGGACCCTGCTGTGGCGGATAGCGGTGCTGATCCCACTGGCCCACTCCGGGCGGCTGCTGCAGTGGCGGGCCGTGTGGTGCGCCTGGCGGAGGTGCTGCACCGCGAGGCGGAGCACTTCCCCAGCTTTGCGGGGCAGGCGAGGTTGGATATTGAGGCCGATACTGCTGGGTACCGCCTTGCCAAGCACCTGGTTGCAAAAAAAAAAATAAAGAAGATAATTATTACCCAACTGTTTAGGCAAAGAGTTCTAAGGCAGAACTTACCATAAATTTGAGGCCTAGCATTGTATCCTGGATAGGGCTGTGAGTCTTTGATGAAATCGGGATGCCGACGTGGCTGTGGACTCTGCAAAAGGTAAACATTTCAATTAAAATTGAGTTCTATTCGAAATAGTTTATATTAATTAAGTTAAGCCAAATGCTTTTCTAATAGATTTCGGATTGCTGAATTTGAATCTGGCCATGGTTTTAGCACTTTATCAAGTTATCTTTAATCTTTAACAGGCAATAAATAAATATCTTTCGAAAGAATTTTACAATAATTTCTTTATAAACATTTTGTACGAAAATTAAATGGTCGCATACTTTCACTAAAAGCTCCCTTAAACTATGTATTGTTCAAAAGGCAAAGAGTTGCACTAAACCATGTTGCGTAAAAAATTTAAATAATTAATTATTAAGATTAAAAATATAGATATAATTAAATTTTTACAAATTTAAGGTCCACACGGGCTCCGTAATCTTTGAAAAATCATCATTTCTTAAATGAATGTTGTAAGAGGAATATTAAATGTCTTTTTATTAATCTATTATAACGACTTACTTGATCTGGTGGTGGTTGATAATAGTCCTGCTGGGTGGGCCTACCCGTCGGATAGGCGCTGCTGGGTGGTGCTCCTGGAGCTCCGCTGGCCGGCGGTCCACCCGCAACCGTCTGCGCCGGCGGCTGAGGTCCGCCCGGCGGTGGCTGGCTGTATGGTCGGTTGCCATAGGGACCGTACTGATTGGCACCGGTTGGAGGACTGCAAAAGAGTGGAAAAAACAAAAAAAATCGGAGGTTAGTGAAGCTTTTCTCAGTAATAAATCTCAGCTTGCGAGCTCAGTCCAGTGAGTTCATATCGGGTGGCTACAGTACAGTACAGTACAGAGGGTGGTGAGTGTGCATGGGGGTCTGGATGGATGTGATGTCGTTGTGTGTGGGGACTGATGTGGGTTAATTGGGGTGCACTCACGCTTCCCCCTCCGGCCCGTAGGGAGGGTACATGTTGCGGCTCTGGGGCGGATATTGTCCTGGACCCTGTCCGAATGGCTGGCCGGGCGGCCCTGTGGCGTTGTACTGATCGCTCGAGCCGTACTGTCCGTAAGCCCCGGGCTGTGATGGATAGGGTGAGCCTGTAAAATGAGTTCATAAAGAAAACACAATGATAAGAACGATTCCACAAAAACTGAATATTGCTTGCGTAACAAAAATATTTAAACGATTGCGAAGAGACGACCATTGAATGGAGTCCCATACGTCTGAAACTAAAACGTTACTAAAATAAAACGCATACCAATATCTAAAGATGGTTTAAGAAAAGTTGTATAAAAGTTAATGTTGTATATCAAAGCTTATTTATATTTAAGAAGTGTTATCTGTTTTACGACGTTCAATTTTGTAAATTACAGTAAAATCATTATCAATCAAGTTTATGAACAAATCAAGTTAATAATAAAAAACTGAAACTCTCTAAGAGGCCTTTAGGTTATCATAATAACCAAATAGTAAGTATTAGTAGCTTAGATTAGAAGTGTTAATTGCATTATAACAGCCATGCAAGCATTACAAACTAGTTAGTATCACAGTCAATAGACAAAAACTAAATCGAAAAAATAGTAGGCAACTGAAAGACGAACAAAAGAACGATGGCACATGAAGGGAAAAACGTGAAAATAAGGTAAAGAAAGAGATGAGGGAGCAAAATAAAAGATGAGTATACCTGGCGTTCTAGACACAGGCGTTGGGTAGCCGGAGCCACCCGGCGGATAAGGTGCTCCGGCGGCTGGGCGCACATGCTGCTGAGGCGACGGCGACACCGGCACCTGACCAGGCCCATGTTGCTGTGGTGCTGGTGGTGGACCACCGCCCACGGCTGGTAGTGGTAGTGGTGGCTGCTGCCCCGGCTGCTGCTGTTGCTGCTGTGGCGGTGGTGGCCCGGACAGACCGTGGTGCTGTGGGTGCTGTGGATGCTGCTGCTGCTGTTGACTGGCCGCCGGTGAATGTGGGGGCGGTGGATGTGGTTGTGGGCCACCGCCGCCCACAGCAGCAACAGCTCCAGCACCACCGGGACCAGCACCACCTGGTCCTGGTCCTGGCCCACCTCCCGAGCTCGAGCCCGGACCACCGGCAGCAATGGGATCCTCGAAGGGATTGCTCACGCTTATATTATCGCCGGCGGCAACAGCGGCGGCGGCGCCTGAGGGGTGGGCAAGCGGCGATTTGGATGATTTTTGGTGGTTTGAATGAATCGAAATGAATGAGTCAATGAATCACACAAATGAATGGTTTTGTTGTTGTTGTTTTTGGTAGTTGGTAGTTGGTGGAGATACATGGAAGCATCGTTGTTGTAATGGTGGTGGTGGTGGTGGTTGTGGAGTTATATATTTTAGTAGTGCGCCCACACAAACGTTACAAAACATAAAAATGAATAAACAAAATACACACATCAAATTAATAATGATTGATCAACATAAACATGTAAATTCGTATACCTAAATACACGCTTATATATATATATATACAGAAAGTTGGGTATTAGGCGAAATAGTTTCGAGAAGAAGCATATCATCTATCAGATAACAATTTAGCAATAATTAAAAACAAAGATACCATAACACAAAGTGGTTACCACAAAATAAAATAAAACTATTATGTATCAGAGTGGCAAGCTCCGTTAAACTTGGCAACAGTAGTATAAATCAAAGAGCTACCCTTTTATAGTATTTAGCTGATATGGTATTCAGTAGTTGGATGTGTTTCAAAATTATCAATTTTAAAACTATGGCAATACCATTTCACATAAACTGGAGTAAGTTTAAACAATACAGGGCAGCTTGGCTATTTCTACTGTGTTGTTAGCAAATACGTGGTCGACGTGTTGCCACTCTATGAATCATTTTGTTTTTAGCAATGAAAGAGTTGAACTGATTCTTACCGGGATGAGGAGTCTGCGGGTTGTTCTGAGAGGGCGGCCGCTGCATCTGGCCCGCAGCCGCATAGTCCGGCTGCGGTCCGCTGGCTCCCGGATACGGACTGCCGCCCGGATAGCCGGGGTAGCCGTCGATGGCCGCGTTCGGGGCGGAGCCTGGCGGGGCCGGGAACGAATCCTGCGAGTTCGACGAGCCTGTGGAATTCGTGGTTCCAGCATCCAAATGTCCACCACCGATTGGTTGCAAATTGTTTGTGCATTCGTTTTGTTCGTTGTCGTTTTTGGACGATTTTGGAGGATTAGACGAGGAGAGAGTGGTGAAAAACATTTTCAACGGAAATTTTCGGGAAGTGTGCAAGCAAAAACGGAACGAAAGAAAAACGAAAAGAAAATTTAAATTAAGCATGGACTGTTCGAATAAAACGGGCAGGACAGCAAACAATCACTGCACTTGGTAGACACTTACCTGGCGAAGGAACCGAAGCAGCCTTGGCCGTCTTTTTCTTGCTGCCCGCCTCCACCTGCTGGATAATGGGCAGGGGATCGATGTCACCTCGGTCAAAGTGGCACTCGAAGGTCAGCAGGTTCTTGGTGTAGTGCTTCCGCAGCGTGTACGCCGCACTGCTACTCGCGCCAATGCCTAGCAGTCCGGCAATGTCCTTCCAGGTCTTGCTTTTGGTCACCTGACGGAACGAAAGAATCGCAGCGATTTTAATTGAGAGCCAATACAGGGACTCCAAAGTTCATGACGCAAGTGTCGATCGAAAAAAGAGTATCAAAAGGTTGCGAGCACAAACAGATCTTGAGAGGATGCATTTAGCAAGTGAAAAAGGAGCCAAGATTCTAAGTTAAACGATAGTCTACGTACAAAACTTGGACAAATGAGGATGGGATAAAGGGACTACAGTATGTTAAAGTTGAGAAAAAGAGTTCCAAATATAACCAACCAAAATAAAAAAAAAATTTTCTATTTTAGCTTCTGAAAAAATATTCAAAAATTAAAACAAAAGCATAAATTGAAAGTATAAATGTGTTAAACTATTTAATAAATAGTATTGAAATTATTTTCAAAGTGGATGCATATAAGAAAAGAACAAAATCTCTTTAATTAGTGACTTTAATAATAATGGATTCCATAGCTTGGATTCATTCTCTATCAAAGTACAAGCAACTGAAAACGGATAATGTTTACTTGAATTTTAAATTGTATCTTTGTATCTGAATATTGTATTACAAAAATTACTTTTGAAAAAACAAATCTGAGGACATGCCTGGCGATATACAGTAGTTGAGATGAAAATAATTAGAGGTAAAGTTGTGCTTGGATTCGGCATAGAGCATTCAATCTAAGGGAAAACCAAGGCTTTACAACGATTGCTTTAGATTTTTCCCAAGGAAGGCTTGCCCCACGGTAAGCTAAACTAAACGCAGGATGCAGCTACAATTTGGACACATGACACATGGATCAGAGGCTGGAGCTGGGTCAAAAGGTTGCTACAAAAGTAGCTGGAAGGCTTGACTTTAGGTTGCTGTTTACTGTAGCCAAATCACAATATTGATTTTTATCTATATATGTATGCGGATTGTTCTTTTATTTGGATTTGGTTTTGGTTCGTGTTAACTACGTTGGTGGTGTTTTGGTTTGGTTTGGTTGATTTGGTTTGGTTTTGCTAGTAGTAAATCTAAAAAGAAGTTAGTAAAAGGAGTTACTACGGCACCTTGCATACCTCGACGAATCCGCCACGTTCTTTTACATAAATATATAACCTATATAAATCGAGTGGCTGTTTTGAGATGGTGGGGCAGGCGGTGATCGGAGTGCGCCGTTCCTCCATGAACGACCGCAGCTTGTCCAGCCAGCCGCGCCGCTCCGGATTGTCGTCCATCTCGTACAGCTTGCACAGTGAGTCCGACTTCTTGGTCGTGGTGATGGTGCTGCGGAAGGGCTCCTGCGGCACCGGAACATGGTTAAACACCTGCTGTTCGAAGAGAAATATAGATGTTCATAATATTGCTTCAGTTTGAAGAACATGCTCTGTTTACCGGGCTTCCAGTCGGACGTGGCCAATTGGGTGGCGAGCTCATGTCGTACTCCTCGCCAGGGCCACCGCCGCCTGGGTGCATTACGACCGGATGGGGCGACGTACTCGGCGGGGCTAGGTGACTTTGGCTATAGGGATCATTCTTGCGCGACTTTGGTGTGGTGCATTGTGGATCTTCGCCGGATGCTGTGTAAAAACATAAATTAAGTCAGTCGAAAATGTCTTAAGGGCAGCAGTCCGGCTTCTACTTACCCGCTGATGCATTCGAGAGCGTGCTCTGCTGACTGACGTCGTCCATGGGCGCGCCATCCGGTCCGGTGGTGACCACCGCGGTGACTGCATGCATGCCCGCGGCTCCCGTCGGCCCCGAAGAGCTGATCCCATTGTCCTGCGATATATGCTCCGGGCCTCCACTTTCCGGTCCCGCAACGGGTCCCTGTCCCTGCCCCTGCGGCTGTCCGCCCTGCAGCATCTGTGACTGCGGCGGTGTGCTGGTGGGCGGGCCCATGCTGGTGGGTCCGTGCGGAGGTCCCATGTGGTGGGGTGGCCCCATCGGCATGCCCGGATGCATTGCGGTCGGTCCGTTGCCGTATCCCTGTGGCCCCTGCGGCGGCGTTGGACTTCCTCCGTAGCCGCCCTTGTGCTGTAAATGCTGCTTCAGATAGTTCAGAGGTCGCGGTGACCCACTGCCCTGCGGTGGCGGTGGTCCACCCACAATCGGCGGTGGCGGTGTGCCCTTGCCCTGCACATGATTGCCGACCATCGCGCCACCGGGTGCTCCACCGGGTCCCGCTTGCTGTAGCGACGGCGGCACCCACTGATACTGCGGATATTGGCCAGTGTGGTTGGGCATGGCCCGACCCGGATAGCCGCCGGCCTGGGCTCCCGAGGGCATGCTGTTGGCTCCGCCTGCTCCCGCTTGACTTGTGGGGGGTGGTGGTGGTCCGGTGGCGTAAGCGCCAGGGGGATACTGTGGGCGTGGCGGGTAATTGCCTGCAAGTAAACCAATGGTGAGGAGTGCTACTACAGAGAATTTAGGAGAAATCTGGACAAGCAAGCGAGTTTTGCCACAAAAATAACAGAACTAAATATACAAATTTAAAACTTATTGAGTTTAAACATTATAAAATTACATTGCTTTAGGTTACTCAAAGTCGTATATCTTGGTTTTTAATAAACCATACAAGTCAATAAAAGACGGGCAATGGATAAGCAGACTACAAGAAAGGATCTTAATCCGTACCTGGTGGATATTGCTGTGGCTGCTGCGGCGGATATCCCTGGGCACCGGGTGCCTGGCCTGGACCGCCCATCTTGTAGCCGCCGTGCATGTGCGGCGGCATCGGGTACCCTCCGCCCGCCCCCTGTGGAGGTGGTGGGGGCGTGGCCATGTTGTTGACGCCCTGGTTGGGCGGCGGTGCCGGTGGCGGCGTCTGCTGCGGCGAGTTGCTCGCCGACGAGGCCGAATTCGATGCCTGTTGCTGCTGAGATTGCTGCTGCGGCTGGGGCGGGCCTCCTGGCATTCCCGGATGCGGTGGCATCGGCGGTGGACCTCCCGCCCCAACCGGCGGCTGTTGCATTGGTCCGCCGCTGCTTGACTGATTGCTCGCCGGACGCGAGATTGGATGGTTTTGGGCTGCAGCAATACAAGCGGTTAATTAGCCGTCTCCTCAAAATAGTGTATGAATCAATGTTGAGTGTACTCACCCACTGCCGGGGACATGGAACGCGAACCGGAGGAGCCGGTGGGCGAGGGTGTGGGTCGCATCACCTGCTGGGGATTGGGAGTGCCTGGTGGACCAGAGCCCATGCCACTGTGCGCCCCACCGCTGGAGCTGTCGTTGCTGTTCTGTCCAATTAGCTCCTGGAATGGCAAAAGAAAACCGGAACCAGTTCCGCTATGAATGTGCATTCAGCATTCAATCAAGTGCAATGGCAGCAAATGCCGGCCGGCAGGTGGCATTTTTGTAGTATTTATTTATTTAAATGAAAGTGATAGCTACTATGAATTAGCCAAGCGGCAACCGCAATTAAGCAACTGCCAACGCACACAGATATGAACGCGAGCATATGACTGAGATTGAGTTGGTATGTTCGTCGTCGCCGTCGCCATCGCTTTCGTCCACGGTAAACATATTTATGGCAATCAGATGTTTTGGGTGGGTGTTCGGACCCATTCTGATGCCAAATGTTGTTGCCAAACCATCCCGGTGGGTAGGAGTAGCACGGGACAGCAACGGCTCTGCCCCGCTCGTCCCGCGACCTTTCCTGACATTGCCAGCGGAATTTGCGACTTCTTCACCCCTGTTCCCACTCACCCGTAGCTCACAATTATTGTAACCCGGTCAGGGGGGAGGAATCCGAGTCCGAATTCATAAACGCCAAGCTGATCGAACAATAACAACTCTTGAAACAGTCTGCAGGCACCAGAAACTCGGTGCGATGCGACACGACTTTAACTTTTTGCCGCCTATAACTTATAAGAAAATCAAGAAAAAGCTCCACACAAACAGCCCCAATCTTACACACACACATGGCAGCAGCTACGGCTACAACAACAGCAGCAACAGCAGCAGACGTTCACATAAAGCTTAAGTCGACAGCAATTCGAAACACTCACACACAGGGCCATGCTAAAAACCCCAGCGGAGAGAGAGCTCAGCAACAGCAGGAGCTCGCTTACAAGGGGGTTTCCTCTACAGCACTTCTAAAAACATCAGTTCATAAAGTATATTTTATGTAACTATGCACTTCAACTATAGTATTTCTTGACAATGACAATTAAACCGATATAAAAAATCGAATCTAATCAATTTTAACTTTGAAGACTTGATAATATCAAATAGTTATCACATTAAATTGTGATATTGGTGTTACTTCGATAATGTGCAACTTATTTTAGTGGAGTTCTTAAACTTTTTGTGAGTAACCAAGTATCCAAGTCATTTAAACCAAGCATGAGTCTCTGAGAGTTTTGAAATTTTCCTGCTAGTCTTGACCCCCCTAGAAATATATTCAGACTAAGCCCCTGAACAGCCACAGCGGCAGCAGCAAGAAAAATACAACGAACGAACGAACGAACGAGCGCTGTTCGTTTTGGTATCTGAGAAATTAAGTGAAGTGAAATGAAATGTACGACGACGACGAACTGACGGCACAAGGCGGCGGCATGGGATGGTATGGTATAGTATGGTGTATGGTGTTGTATGGGATGGGGTGTGGAGACGAAGACGGAGACGAAGCGGAGCGGGGCATAAAAGCTATGTGGAACGAACCGAGCAAGCAACCAACGGGCGAGCGACAACGGCGACGGACGGCTGCAACTTGAAGCGTTCAAAGGGGGAAGGGAGAGGGGGGTTCGAAGGGAAGTGGGTAGCGGACGGGGACGGAGACGGTTGCAGAGGCTACGACTACCCGGGGATCGGGCAAGTGGCTGTGGTAGTTATGGCGCGCTCAAAGCGAACGAAAGGCAACGGCAACGATGACAAAGACGTAGATAAGGAACAGAAACATGCACACACAGATACACACCCATACCGAGGCACGTACACTCAAAATGTTGGAATATAATAAAATGAAATAAGCAACGGCGCGGCGGCACTGCCAAGAGACCAGGGGCCATTCGTATTCGTATTCGCATTTTAGCGAGGGGCTTTTTCAAAAGGGGGTACACCGGTACCACTTGAGTTGCGGGACGATGACGAGAATAGCAAGCAAGCAAGCAAGCTAGCAAGCTGGCAAAATCAAAAGCAAAAGCAGGCGGGCGGCAGAAGCAAAGCTAAAGGCCAGGCCGGATAGAATGCTTTGTGCAAAGGGGCGTTGAGGGGTTAGTTGTTATGGGGGGGGGCCCACGTTTGTTGTCCGTATTTTTGTGTGCGCTTGTGGTCGCGTAGAAAAATTACTTGGAAGAAAAACAAGCGCTGCGGAAACAACAACAATGAAATCATTTATAACGAAAATAATGCGAAGCAAACACAAATAAAAAAAGAACAGATACCAAATAAAAAAAAGAAACAACTCCCACACCACTGCTCTTCGTCCCCAATCCCACCAATTCATCAGCTAAATAAAGTTCAGCCAAGATTTGCGCGCCAAAAGTGTTGTGTTCGATTTTTGGGCACGATTTCGGAGAAGGGGAATCGCCCTTGGACCCCACTTCAAAAACAAATGAAAAAAAAAAAAAAAAATAAAAAAACCCATCATCTCTCATCTTTCGTTCTCAAGATGCGATGATGATGTAGCAGCATTGGGCCACAAGTTCGACTTTTGGCCCTCAAAAGCGCACTTCACCGCTCTTTATGCCGTGTCATCTGCGGACGTTCATTTAAATAAAGAATATGCATGCCTACATGTTGGTAGGTAGGTATAGGTACATAGGTGTAGGTATGTTTATGTCTGGCTGTCAGCTGCTGCCGATGGTACCGCCGGTTCGGGTGGCTCTGGTGGGACCTTTGTGGCTTATCACCTTAAAACCTTTAGCGATGAATGTGGCAAGCGAGTGCTGCAAAAAAGCAAACGAATAAAAAAGTCGGCGAAAACCGAAAACAAGGACTGGCATACATGTGCTTGCTATGCGGCGAACGAAGAGATAAAAAATAAGAGAATTAAATGCACAAAGGAGCGGCACACACGGCACACACAGCACACACAGCCCACAACGGAATGGGCAGCCGGGAATTTATAAACACAGCCAGCCAGTCGGAGAGAAAAAGTAATAAACTCGGGGATATCATAAAAATGAAGACACGAGGGAGGGGCCAACAACACATTTTGATCGTTGATTGAAATACCCTTGCTATAAGGTTTTGCCATACTAACTATTAAGTTTTAAATAAGGAGGAATATGGTGAGGTATAAAGTTTATACTTTAAACTACTGCCCTTTATTCAAATAATTGGTGAGGGGTTCATTATGGAAAACGAAACGCTTTATCATTTTTAGGCAATTATTGCTTGGTCATTCTAATTAGTACGTTTTAAATTAAATTTTTTAATTATCCAATTATATAATCTAATTAATTTAATCCATCTAAACCTTATGATAAGAAAATTTCTGCACAATCAAAATTATAGTACCCCATGCAAGGGTACAAACCTCAAAAACTTTAGCAGTGAGAATGTGAAACAAACAAAAAAAATAGTTCACCACATCCCGCATGGTCGGTCCTCGGAATCTCCACCCCCTCAAGTGCAATGGTTTTGGTTTTCATTTTGCACAGCATGTACGGCAGATCGGATGGGGTTTAGCCCCAGAGCCAGGGAACGGGAACGAGTTATATAAAGAACACACAGCCCAGCTGAGCGACAGTCAGTCGCTCATTAGACATCCTCAAAGTGTGGGAGAGGGCGGTCTTCGTCTCCGTCTGCTTCTTGGTCTGGTCTGAGTCGGAATACGAATCTGAATCCAAGCGTTCGAGTCCATCCTCATGCAATTTCTGTTTGTGCTTGCTGGAAATTTTATGAGCGAATTGAAAGTTTGTGCGATTCTGTTGAGTGTGCATGGCGCACATTGCACAAGGGAACTCAGGCAGCTCCACAGAACGCAAATGAGTATACAGTCTTACTTCTCTAAGCTGATCTTAACAAAGTCGATATTTGTTCAAATTTAATCAATTTAAAAACCTTTATATATTTAAATTATAACATTTTCGGCGTTGTGAAACAGTTTAAAAATAGTCAAAATTAAATATCTCCTAGAACTAATTTAGATATTTGAATTTGAATTGTTCAAGAAATTTTTTTAATAATTTTATATACTAAATATACTATTATTATTTTAACAAGGGCGGGGCAATCAGTACAATGTAAAAAATCGAAATTCATTATCAGAACAACATACAAAAAACTAAAAGGGTTTGAGTTATTGTAGTTCGACTGTATATTCGTTTACCAGCAGCAGAAGTCGCTTTGGATCTGCTGCTCGGTTCGGTTGGGTTTGGTTTGGTTCGCTTCGTTTTGTTTCGTTTCGTTCATTTGCTGGTTTTGCCAGCAGAGCAGTCAGTCGCCTCCAATCCCCAGCCCTTCGTGTCCCCCTGACCACTTACGACATGGCAAACAGACAGAACGACCGACAGTCCGCCACTGCCAGCAGTAAAAGCGAAACACCAACAGCCAACGCTGGCAGTCAACCACTTTGAGAGCTCAGACAAATGTCCCATGAATCGCACACTGGGCTCCAACCGAAAACACACGGCCCAGAGTCGGAGTCGAAATCGGCCGCCAGTCAGAGTCGACAGAACCGGCAAGAGCCAGAGCCAGAGCCAGGGCAAAAGCAAAGGCAATGGCAGTGGCAAAAGCCAAAGCTCCGGACCGATCCAATCCGAACCGACTCGTTCGCAACGTTTCGTTTCGTTCGTGGTGTGTATCCAAACGAGTGAACTGAAAAATAAGCGCACAATCACACAACTCTCTATATAGAAATTCACAACGAAGCAGTACACAGAAAAGTTTTTGCATGAGCTAATAACCAAATATTTATAGAATATATAAATACAAATATTTTAATTTATTTAGGTGTTTTATAACTTGGAATCAAGGAAGGTTTAAGCTAAAAAAAACTTTTAAGTAATATAACATTATTAACTTAATTATACTTGATTTCTTTCTGTGCAGCAACGGCAACTGAAATGAACGTTCTTTTTATTTAGTTTTTTATTTTTGCCTTTTTTCCTTGCTGCGCCGCCTGTTAAAATGAAAAACGATGATGATGCCGCCGCCGCTGCTGCCAACAATAACAGCAAAAGCAAAAGCAACAACGACAACGACAACGACAAAGCTGCAGAGTCGCCAGCAATGAGTGGGGCACTAAAATCCCAGTAACAACGGACGGAGAAAAACCGGCAAAATTGTTCATTGGCAGTTGGCAGGCAAACTGGTAGAGGGGCATAGCATACAGAAAGGCCGGGCCATGTGGCTCTTCTGGGGGCTTTGGGTTCGCACTAGCACTCGCATTCGCATGCCGGTTGGTTTGAGTTGAGGCCCAAAGCCCCAATCGTGTGCACTGCACCACACACAATTTCGGGCGGCATTAAATGAATGCAGCAGTTGTGCTGGGCCGCAAAAATTCAGATGCTGATAGGCATGAAGATAGTCATGCCAATTGCCCACAGAGAGAATATGACGCAGAACAGTCTTGAAATAAGTTTATAAACTAGGACACTTCTATGACCATCCATATGCTCTTGAAAATCAATGGAAATGACCATTGTAGCTTTAATAATACGCTCAATGGTGTGCTTACTGCAGGGAAAACGGTTAAATATATAGTTCTGCCAGTTGGCTTTTCTTCTGCAACACAGCTTTTGCTACCTCGCAGCACAGGGCGAATTTAAAGCAGCTTACAAAATGCAATACGAAAGCGACCAGCTTAAACAACAATGGTCCGGGAGGAACTTCCCCCACTTTGGAGTGGCTTAAATGTTGGTTGCGGCTGATTACTGTTTTAGTTTCGTTTGGTTCGTTTTCAGCCGGTTCAGTTTGAATTGGCAAGAATTGAGGATTTAACCTTGCACACCCAATTATAATGCTAGGGGAAACGATTGGTTGGAGTTTTGTACAGTAATTTGAGTACCATGGATTGAAATATACGTTTTTAATTGATTTTTGTTTGCAATTCAGTCTGTAATTTGTTTTTAAAAAATATTAATTTGTATTATTTGTATTGTGTAATCCCTATACTTATCTTTAAAATACAAACATAAGACTGAGTAAAGAAGAGGAGCCACCGGATCGGATCCGTTTTCAAATGAAGAGTTTAAATTGAAAAGTTTTCAGATACATTTAACAACTTTTTGGTTTGTTTGATTGTCCAATTTGTGTTTTGTCTGCAATATGTTGCAACCTCAGGTAAATAATCGCAAGAGGTGGATTGATAGCGACTAAAGAGGACCTGAAGAGTTGATGAATCGCAAGTTCAAATTGAGAGTACACATAAAATGTAAACAACCCGCTAAACATGGGCAACACCAACAACAACAACGATGCAAAGGAGATGGAGGAAAAGCAAGAATGACCTTGGCATTGACCCAAATATATGGTAACAGACGCTTTGTGTGTGATCTTGAGTGTAGTTGTGCGAGTGTGTTGGTTGCATATACATGCCACATACCAAATAAAAAGGGAATGAGGGGGAAAAAACCGAAACACAAAATAAAGAATTGGTATGAGGCACAGGAGGATTGTCGACCGAGAACAAGGGTTGGGGGTGGAGGAGCAGAGGTGGCGGAGAAGGGGGTAGCCACGACGGCCGCGGACATGCTGAATGAATAAATGGGGTACAAAACAAACGCACACATCTGCAGGCACATCACAGGCACAGCTGCGGCCAAAATAAAAGTTCAATTCTTTTAAAAGAAAAAGTACTATAACAAATATTTGTATAAAGATTTGGCAGAGGTGAGCGAAACAGGAAAGTGAATGTGTTTTTTATTCGAATATATTTTTTTATGTTTATAAAAGCAAAGACCTCATTCTAAAGAGGTCGTTTTCAGCAATTAACAAAAGTCTAAAATGTATGCTCATGCTTGTATCCATAACTCAGAAATACAAAAAAATGTCATATTAAAACCCATAAGCGCATTGCGATACTTTTTAATTCATGATTGACACAAAATTGCAAAGAAATCAATCCGCAAATGCTGATGACACGTGCATAAACGAATTTAAAAACATAAGGGTAGGGGACCAGACGGTCGGACGATGCGAAAAATAAACCAAAAGACAAAAGGGGAAAGGGGAAAATGCCGCCGACGAAAGAAATAGTAATCAAAACAAAATAAAAATCATTAAAATTCATAAAAACAAATCAAGTCCGTCGACGACAACAACAAAAGCAACGATAAGGCTAAAAGAAATTTTATAGTTAAGGTAAAGGGGGTGACATGCGGATGGGATGCGAATGCGATAGCGGTTTAAATTCAAGGGAGAAACGGGATGTGTTTAGTTACAAGTAAAAAGAAAAAAAATCAAATCGTAAACCCACACAAAATATTATCCCTAAAAGGTGTCGGATGAAAGGCAGGAAAAGCATAAGGAGAGTAATCTCAACCCAAAAATGAGTGCGAGTACCGGGGATAAGGGAATGGGTACCAGCATGAGTATGAGTATGAGTACGAATACGAGTGCCATGGCCAGGCATAAACATTTGACCTGAACAACTGTTGTAGACTGCCTGCCTCTTGTTGGGTAAGGAGAGGAAACCACTGGGCTACGCTTGTTGTGTGGAGGGAGGGGGGGAATCGCAGGTAAAGAGTGGCGACGCCAACGTAGACGTATGTGTGACGTCACGAGTCAAGTTCACGTGCTGTTCACGCAGCACAGTTTATTGACCCACTTTCGATGTGTATTATCTAGAAAAGCTGCCAACCCGGGCCGTGAATGGGGGACTGGGTGGTCCCACGGCTAAACATCCATTGAATGTGCAAATAGCAAATGTGCTTGCCCATATAACGCTGTTATTATCACAACATAGCATGGGTAATTATATACAACCACGTCCGATTAGAGCTTATTTATTGAAGCTTCTTCTTTCAAGTATACGTCATAACTTAAAAGATGACTTTTGAAAGTACGAAAATATCAATGTCATTGAGGGTCTTGTCTGTTTTGTTTGTGTTTTATCAGTTTTGCAGTACTGGACTAGGTACTCCAGATGAAAGCTTTTCATTATGATCAGACTTAAATCAATCGCTTACCTGGTGCGGCGAGGGCGACGCCTGCGATGGCTGTGGCGATGGACTGGGCGCATGGCCGGGACTGCTGCTCGGCGGCGGTCCGCCGGCGGTGACGTGCGGCGGGGGTGGCGGCTGCTGCTGCAGTGGCGGTACGTGGTGCGGTGAGGCGGGCGGCAAAGGATGTCCAGGACCGGGACTGGGCGAAGAACCGCCTGGCCAAGGTCGATTTGGTTCGGGATACTGCAAGGATACAAACGATCGATTAATCCTGCCTTCAGCAGATCCATTTTCTTAACAAGCCTCACCTGGTGCGTCGAGTAGGCAGTTCGATGGTTGGGTCCGCTCGCCGGCAAACCCGGCGGTGTCGGATAGCGTTGCGGGTACGGCGAATATTGAGATGTTGGCGGTGTGTTTTGCTGCGGCGGCTGTTGCCCAGCGCCTGGCGGTGGTCCGCCCGGCACAGGACCGCCGGGCTGCTGTCCCGCCTGTTGTTGCTGCTGCTGCTGTTGTTGTTGCTGCTGCTGTTGCTGTTGTTGCTGCTGCGGCGAACTAGGATAGGAACCTGAATTTTGACCGTGAGCTGGCGGATAGGGTGACTGACCCCTGGAAGTGTTTGTCTGTGGATGGAAAATCAAAATAGGATCAATAAAAGGCGGAGGGGTGTCATAAATACCTAATGAGTGCAAATGTTTAACCCTTTGCATGCCTTTTTAGAAGTCCTCTAGCGATAGTGCTTATATCATCTTTATAAACATACATTTTTAGAAGACTATGAACATTTAGAAATGATATGAACAGTAAAAAAAAACAAATTTTAAGAAATCTTTTAAGCTTACAAAACTTTTCATACAATTTTCCCCAACAGTTTCCTATCAAGTTGCGAAAATGTCACGTGGGTCTTCAGAGGGTTAATTTGAGGGTGCGATAGAGACGGCACATGGGTTTTTAATTACAGACATTTCGCTCTGTCTCTCTTCGGCTCTCTATTTATATCCTCCCACACTATCCCCCTTTGCAATTTCATCAATTATTTGCGTTTGGCTTCGCCGATGTTGTTCGTCTGTGTGCGAGCACTGCACATTTCATTTTATTGTATATATCATTTTAATCGATATTCCACAACCTATTCCCGTAAATGCGCGCACAAATACACACCCTCGTGCACATGTGTGTGCGGTAGTACTACAGTGGATGTCCTCGGATTAGGACTCTTCGCATTGGAAACTTCCAGTAATTAATATTCGATTGTGAAGCTGGGAAGGAAAACTAGAGGATAATTGGAATTGACCCGGACTGAACAAGTGCTCCTAATTATTTGGCGCCCACTGTGGCGTGTGTGTACACCACTCACATTCCAAGAGGGGTGGGGTGAAAAGAAGAGACATCGACGCACCCTCGGGTGTGTTGTCACTTGACAGTCACAAATGCGCAGATTAAAAAGAGACAGTTCAAAAAATATGCTACGAGAGGAACCTAAATGATGGCAATAAAAAGTTGAAATATTTACGGCTAGATAATACAATTGAGGGCAGAATGGTTGTTTTACCGACTTTCCTTCTAAAGTATAGAAAGTCATTACTTACATAATAGATTGATTGTATATGAAAAACCATTTTTTAAAATATAATTTTAATATAAATATTTTATTTTAATATAATATTATATAAAATATGATATCATAATAAATAATTCTAGTTTCTGAAACTAGATGCTACGGTTTTTATGTTAACCAAACATTTATTGAGAAAGTTGTTCAAAAACAATTTTTTTTAGATGTCCAATGATTAAAAAAAAAAAGAAAAACATATTATCAAGAATTTTCAAAAAGGTTTGGCAAACAAACTTGAGAAATATCTAAAACTCTATAATGGCGACCAGAATTGTGCTTGTCCTTCCCAATCAGTTCAAATTACGAAGCTCTGTCCTGAAGGAGGACGCATAACTTGAGGCAGGGACAGAGTAAAACGGAGCAGAGACCAGGCCAGTCGATTGCCTGACGCTCTTGGCTCCTGCTCCTGTTTCTGGATCCCTCTGCTACTCCGTGACCCGTCAAAGTACCAGAAGAAGAAATCCACTTGAGTGGAATATAAAGTGAAACTTACAGACGCACACACACACACACACACATGTACATGTGCAACGACAAAGTTGCAACAAAACCAGGGAAAAGGAGCTCCGAGACGGAGAAGACACCTCGCTGCGGAACGTGGCCTGTGCAGCAGACAACTGGAGCAGGACGAGCAAAAAACAGGCATGCCATGTGCCATGTGGCGGTGTCTGTGTGTGGGAAAGAGCTTTGGATGCCATTAATGAAAGGATTTTCAACTTGACGTGGTGCGACAAGGCAGACCAAGTCGCAGCACATAGCACACAGCACAGCGACCGTCTGACATGGCAAGTGGAGAGGCGCTTGCGAAGCTAGCAAAGACTTACAGTCACACAGACTTACATCTCGCCCTCGCAAACACAAAACCCCACAGCGGCGTACACACAAATGTAGCTGGGCAACAACATCGCTGCGAATGCCACAGCCCGGAGTAAAATGTGGCAATAAATCTAATGGAAACTCACAGCAATGAGGGAACGAACGAGAGTTCCAACCAGCAAGGGTGTGTTGGCAGCTCAGCTACTTTTCACGAAAATCTGGCTATATTTTGCACCAAATAACGAGGGATACAATGGGTTAAATAATTTCTCACTCAATGAAGTCAAAAATACTAAACTATTTTTTATTGTTTTTACGTAAAGAGCGCTTTTCAAATTTAAGATAAAGAATGGTTCACTTAAAACTGCTATGGGTTTTCATGGTTACCAATGGCAGGTACGTAAAATTACTTTTTAAAAGCTGTATAGACAAGTATGTTTTTGAATATAGCGTTCGAATCAGGCAAACAATTTGCCCTATGCAACATAAACAACCAATTGATCTAAGGATATTTTATGCTTATATGTTTGGTAATGTCAATTTCTACCTATATGCAATACCTTTTATGCAATATCTACCTATGACAATAAATAAAAATTAAAAAAAAAGGGTTTGACTAAAGCCATTAACATATATTCTTTTTATTTTTTGGTATAGTTTGTCAAATTAGCTAAGATTAAAAAGGCTATATTTCAATCTGAAAAAGACAACACTGCTACCAACGGAGCATACATAGTTAGCTGTCCTAAAGGAATGGAATGGTAAGGCAAGGCAAAGGAGCCAGAGCCATAGTCGTAGCCAGAACCAGAGCCAAAGCCAGATACCGTCGTTCGGGCAACGAGGACAACAACTACAACCATCGGCAACGACGACGGTCGGTCGGTCCACTGCAGGGTGACAGGAAACATGAATGGATGGTTTTCGTGCTCTGTTGTGTGTGCGTGTGTATCTGTGTGCGGAGCGAACGAACGAGGCAAGGAGAAATAAAGTTAAAAAAAAAAAAAAAAGGGAAAACTCATCATGGATGAAAATCAAAAGCAGAAACGGCAACGGCGGGTAGAAGCTGAAGTGGAATTTGAATTAATGCAGCAAGGGTCGTACGGTGGCACAAACACACACACACTCACACAATGAGAGTAACGAACGAATGACGGTTGGAACGTCGGTCGGAATTACGTTCTAGCAGGGGACTTCGGGGGAATCGAGCAGGAACAACTGCCTGATGGTGGTTCGGGTTCTGGGTCCAATGGTGGTAGGTTTTCCAGCTAAAAGCCGGCTACATGTATTAAAATATCGCGGGAACAAAAACAAAGCGCAGCAGCCAAGGGAGTGGTCCTGTTCGTTCCTTCCCTTTCTCTTCAGCTCTTCTTTCTCTCTCTCTCTCTTGATCCTGGGTTTATAATTTCATAACCAACAGACACAGATACATACAGATACCCACACCCACAGGCGGGGGGCGATTGCATATAAATTGAGCGAGGGGAAAAACGTGGTAAAAGCGATTTCGCTGCAGTAAAGGTAACGCCGTCAGCGGCAGTTGTTAGGCTTGTGTGTGTGCGTGGAGGTGAATGAGGGTGGTAATAAGTAAATGGGACAGGGGAAGGACGTATCTGCAGGCTGCTGCTGCCGGCAAATGGGTGGAATTACGTGCACAACTCTCAAACGGGCGCAATTTTTAATACAATGTCGCACTTTTCACGCAAGCCCATTCACAGCAGTTGCGGAAAGACAAACAGGGCAACTGAAAGAAACCAATGCATTTCCCGCTGCCCAACTGTCGCTAAATATTGCTATTGTTGAGCGATTGCTAAGCCCTTGTTGTGTATTTTATAAATTTGATATTAGACCTATTTCATAAGTCAGAAGTAATTATGATGAAAAGTTATTTAGATATGACTGCTTTTGCTCAAAGAACCAATGTTAGTTTTATCATGTTAAGTTCTTATAAATCTTTCTCTTATCATTGAATAAAAACGTACTTTCTTTATACAACATAAGACAAATCACTATTAATTTTTTAAATTTAAATTGAATACATGACTTTGACTGGTTGAATTAAAGACTCGCAAAAAGGTTTGATGTCTTAAAACAAGGAACAGATTTTCCATTAGGCGCATCTTGATAAAGAAAAAAGGAAGCGTAAAAAAAGCATAGAAAAGGAGGTAAAGGCAGAAGAAGAGGAAGACCTAGGGACAATAACAGTTAAGGCAATGGCAACGGTTTTGTGTGCTCCACTTTTTGTAGGTCAAACTTTAAAGGCACTCCAATACAAGCACGGCAACATATACTTGCTAAGAAACAGCATAAACAAGCCGGCACACAGACACCAACTCTCTCTCAAAAAAAAAAAAAAAAAAAAAAACAGAAAGGAGGCGGAGTAGGAAGAAGGCGAAAAAGGAACAACAAAGACACAAGCTGAAAGAGCGGTAAATGCAATGCCTTTTGCCTTTCCCCCAATAACAACACACCCGAAACCCCAAAATGAAAATAGGCCTTTAAGGAAGGCTGTAATATATACTGTTTGCCTTGCACCTGTTGACCTCAAAGGAGAATCAAACGTCAAGGATATATGAGAAGTATAACGGGATGCAGCATACTTGCACTCAAAGAAAAGGAGGGATATGGATATGGTAGCGAGGGAGTGCGAGAGAGCCAAGGCATGTCATCATCATAGTCGAGCCCTCCTCCTCCTCTCTTTTGACTGTGCGCGGTTTCACTTGATTTTCATTTTTATTTTGTTTTGGTTTCTGCTTCCTCCACAGCTTGCCGGCTAACCCCTCCTCCTACTTCTCCTTCTACCCCAAAACAGAGAAAGGGAGGGCGAGTCAGCTGTGACAACAACAAGTTTCTCTGTTATTGCCTTTGATTACGGTGCCTACTTGGCCGTTGTTGTTGTTTCGGTTGTACCTATGTATGTATGTATTTGGATGTATGAACTACTCTGCGGGTATATGTATTTTTTGCATGCACGCGTAAGTCACACTCAGCCGGCAATTTGATTTCTTTGTTTATGCACACAAGCTCACAGAGCGAGTCAAACAATCAAACACATGACATTGGATAGTAGCGGTTTGTACACTCTTCTTTTTTTTTATCTCGCACTACCCACACATATTCACATTCACCATAAACAAAAGCTCTCGAAGGTCGCATCGCACCGCATCGCACATGTCTAACCCTAGCGGATCGCTTTGATTTGTGTGCTCACATAGATTTGTTTATATTTCTCTGACTAATCGTCGGCATCAAAGTTCGTTGACTCGTATCCGAGCCATCTCATCTACATACATCCACCCCCTCGCCACACAATTCATGAAAATAAAAACAATCGATCCTATTGCAGCGACATCAAATATGGCAAAAGCATACCGATGACTAGATACGGATTCGCAGTGATATGAGTTGGTAAGCCCCCAACCACCGTACTACCCCACTAATAAAACAATTAACCGGTTTCCGTTTAAATCAAAACGTGAAATCACATCACGTGCTTTCATGGGGCCAATAAAAGAAACATTAAACACAACAAAACCCCAACCGCATTATCGCTTGACAAAACTGATAGCAAACTCTCGATATAAGGGGTTAAAATAACACACAGAGCTGTTTGATATAATATTGGGGTCTTTCACCTTAAAATTAGATAGTTATAAAAACCCATTTAATAAACTAGAAAGTCCATAGATAAAACTTCGAAACTATTGGATTTAAGAACTTTTTTTCATTAAAATATCATAGTGTGTTTTTTAAAAGATACAAACGGGAAGTAACATAAATTAAAAAACCGTATCTTTCAAAGAAATTATAAGGAAATTTTTATGTTGCTTTCATAAATAAGTTGCTAAGTTATATAGACTCCGCAAAAACCACCAACATAAATTATGCTTGAAAAAATTGTAAAACTAAAAGGAAAATATAGAAATATATTGCAACCGAAACCCTTTACCACTTCTGTCAACCCATTTCTATTTACATTTCCTTTACTTGCACTTCAGTGATTAACATTTTAAATTATTCCAATCAGATTCAATCCACAGCCATCGATAATGTTGACAAGAAGAGAAAAGAAGTCCCCAAAAAGCTTTAAATATGTGAATGAATGCCTCAACATTTTTTGTACGAAACTCTTTCTTGGCCTACCTCTTCCTCTTCTTGATTTCACCGTTGGGCTGAGGCCTTTTGTTGTTATTGTTTTGCGGCGGCAAGTGCCGGTTCTTTATGTCCGTCTCCCTTACTCACCAGTCTTCACCCAACATCACCCGGCACTTAAACAGCGAAATGTCAAGGGATGGGGGATATGCAGGAGGGGGAGAAGGGGAGCAAGAGAGTGGGGACAGGCGAAAAAGGCGCGGAATCTCTGTACAATGTTTTACGTTTTGTGTGTCAGTGTGTCTACGGCTTCTGCCTTTTTTCCTTTTCCTTCGAGTGGGACTCTTGGCAAATCTTCAGTGAACTGAATGAAGGCGACCAAGATGAAACCCTAAAAAGTAACAGTAAATATTGCAGCCTCCCACACACTCGCACATACGAATACATGTGCACAAAACGTGACGAGCCCCTTTCCGTGGAATGAGTGGGCAGTGGGTGGGAGGGGTAGGGAGATAGCTAGCACAAAGCCACCAGCGACAATCACAACAACAAGAAACACATGCCGAGGAGGCCTGCACATGGAAATGTTTCAGTGTGTGTTGTGTGGGGTCGATGGAATCAAAATCAGTGTCAATGTCAAGACAGCTCTAAAAAGAATATGTAAGGAAACCTCGGGCGATAACGTTCCCGGCATTCAGTTTTAAATTTATGCTAAAAGAAGAAGGTTGCCTCCAGGCACTTTGGTTTAAATTATGCCAACAACTCCAGCGATTGCTAACATCCGTATGTTGGTGGAACACGCTTTAAATTTAGTAAAACTCTACTTGTGCTATGATAAATACTGTTGTTAAATTAAAGTTCCCAGGAAGGTCTTAGTGGTCACGAAAGTTAGCTTGCTACTTTAAACCAAAAGTTGCAATTCAACTTAGGAACAGCAGCCTTCATATCCTCCAAGACACTTAAGATGGTTAGCATCGGATCGAGTGTTACCAAAAAATACCTGCACGTAACATTGGAGCGTAATTTAAGGCACCGGTCGAAAATATAAATATAAGGCCCTTAACTACTAATAAAGTTTTAAACTTTCAAACTGATTAACTTTATATTTTCATAACCAGAGTAATAAACTAAAAAAGTTCCACTGGATTTTTTATTTTTGTATAACAACTTCCTACCTACCTACCTACCCAGGTGAAACCCCTTTTTCATCAATAAACGATCTAATATTAGCATAAACCGCCTAGCTATACCAAGAAACCAATTACATCTACATATATTTATAAGAGAATATCTCCTTAACCTTATAAACACCCAGTTGACCACTTACCGGTGGAGGTGTCCTGTACTGCTGCGACGGTCCCAGCTGCGGACTGTAGGGCCTCGGAGGCGGTGCCCAGCCACCTTGTTGCGCCCCGTACGGCGTTGGCTGATGCTGTGGAGGCGGCGGTCCGTGCCCTGGAGGCGGTGGTCCGCCAGCCTGTTGCTGCTGAGCCGCCGCCGCCGCTGCTGCGGCCGCCTGTTGGGGATCGTAGGTGTTGGTGTAGCGGTGCTGCGGCGGTGGCGGCGGATTAGAGGACTGCAGCAGGGAGTTCAGCGTGGGCGTGGGTCCCTGCGGCGGTTGTCCGGGTATGTAGCGCTGCTGCGGCGGGCGATTGGGTGAACCGCCTGGCCCAGGTTGTTGTTGCTGCTGCGGCGGTTGCTGTTGCGGATGAGGCTGTTGCTGCTGCGGAGGCTTGCCACCTGGCAGCGGTTGGCCATAGCGATATGGATCCATGTTGGGATCGGCGTGGTAGCGACCGTACGCCGGATGAGGATGCGGCGGCGGCAGGTGGGCGTACTCCTCCTTGACGCCGGGCGCATGCTCAGGTGCTCCTCCGGGCGGTGGCGGTGCCGGTCCGCCGTGGTGCTGCTGCTGCATGTGGGGTGGTGGCGGATGCTGCTGCTGTTGGTGCAGATGGTGATAGTGCATGACTGCAGCGGGATCCGGTCCTGGTGGTCCTCCAGGGGCGGATCCTGGGGGCGGTGGTCCGCCATATGGATGTGGGGCAACATTTTGTTGTTGCTGGATGCCAGGATCACTGCCGTTGTTGCTGTTGTTGTTGGGCGTGGGAGGGCCCGATGTGGGCGGCGTGGCACCACCAGGAGTCGCTCCTGCCGATGGGGGCGTGGCAGCGGGAGCAGGAGCTCCCCCACCCTGCTGCTGCTGCGTTTGCGGCGACTTTATTTTCTCATTCATGGCTGCTCATCGGCTGCTGGCTGTGCTCCCGATCTTCCAGGTTTGTGGCGGCTACTGATGGAGCACCGGTAACCACCAACAACAACAACGCTGACGCTGATGATGACGACGACTGCAGCGGCGAGTTTGAGGTTATGTTAGCTGCAAGTTATCAAAAACGGGGGATTAGCAATTGGCAAGGGGCCTAACTAAATAGTGGGGCTTTCTATGTACATCACTGGGCCCAGATCGGGTGGGTTAAACATAAATTATTTGTATTCGTTAATGGCCTGTTGTGTATTGAGAAGTCCGCTACTAACACACACACACATGCTCACTCATACCACAACAACCTTTTATTTTCCGCCGTGTACGGTGGGCAAATCGCAGTGCGTTGACAACCCTGCTGCTGCCGCTCTCGTAGCTTGAGCGCAGTCACTCGCTCTCGCTGGCGCGCTCTCTCTCTCTCTCTTTTCACATTTGGCGGCTATACACGCACACGCCGTATCCCTTTCCGTCCCACTTGCACTTGCTCGTTAGCCAGGCAACATGCATATGTCGCTCTCGTTCGCTCTCTCGCTTTATTAGTTTCTGTGTGAAACGAATGAAACGGGCAGCACAGTAATGATTTTTTCGTAATTATTTTCTATGCCGATTTTTCGCGTTTACACAGCACTGGAATGGCCAAGGGGCATCTCACAATTCATATATATTTCTCAGATGCTGCAATTGTTTAACTTTTGGAGGGGCCGAACGCTGGGGTTTATAAATAATTGCCGCCTGCCTGGCCGTGTTTGTTGCGCGTTCACACTTTGCCGCCGCCGTCTTGGGAGGCTTTTTTTTTTAGCGTTTTCTGCGGTTTTTCGCAGTGTTGATGATGATGATGATGCAAGGATCCGACATCCAATCATTTGCATATGTATACACACGCACGAACACACACAAACAGCCTCCAAGTGCATCGAGAAGAGAGAAACTGAATTTTTCACTCGCCCTCGGGCGAAAGTCCGGCGGCAGATTGTTGTTGGCTAAAACTCTATATATTTTTGAGGGGCTTTGGATTTGGGGCTTTGCTTTTCTTAACCAGAAATCTACATACACGCACACCACTTACACATAGAAGAATATTCACGCATTGACGACCGTCCACAGACTGGCTATATATACTAAAAACGAACTCGCGTGAGAAGACAGGGACAGGGCAGCAAACTCGGTATACGAACGGAACGAATGAAACGATTCAAGTAGTAGTGTATGCAAGTCTTGTCTGTCTGCGCCTGGCGTTCTTTTTTTTGGTTTTTCGCCAGGCTGGGGCGCTGCCAAAACGCTGCTGCGGCGGCCACAATCACACGCGGCTGGTCGCCAGTTGGGCTCTGCACAGGCTGCACATACTTTTCACTTTTAATGCGCTGTATTTCACTTAATTTTCGAACAAATTGGCAGCATGACGAAGAAGCGAAGCCTGTACAAAATAGAGGTGGAAAAACATCGATGCCACATTGTGCGGATATCGATATATCGGTGTTCCAAACAATCGATGAGACAATCGATTACCAAACAGAAATGTTCAAACACGATTTTCCTAACAGAAATATGCAAAATTAAAGGTTCCTAACAGAAGTTGAAAAAGCTACTTTTTTCCAACAGAACTGTTAGTTTTCTTGATTGTGGTGGAATAACATCGATGCTAAAATCATTAATGTCGATGCTTTTTACGCTAGTTTAATATCGATGTTTTTCCATCGCTTACTGTGGAGCATGTCTTCGCTAGACGGTGAGTAAATCTCCGGTAACTCTTAACATGAAATTTATTGCTTGCGCACTGCTTGCTTGGAAAGGCACACTGCACACATGCGCTTAACAGCACCCTGTTACAGCAACAACAGCACACGCCAAATCATTATTTGTTTGTTATCGAATATACATGTAATGGAATGGAAAATGGCGGCATTTCAAGTTTTTTTTTTAATACGAAGAGGTTTCGGTTACGCTTTAAGTTTTTTAAAAAGTGTTTGCCAGACTATGTTTAATTAAAATCAATATGAAACGCATTGTATTTATTTCACTGCTATTACTTGTCACGCAATTTGTCGAATCGCAGGCGGCGGCATTTTCTGTTCGCCAAAACCGCTTCGATGAAGTTCCAGACTTACAAACTCCAGCACCAGAGGCCAGTTCCACGGAAACTACTGAGAAATCTGAAAAAGGTGAACAATTAACAAGCTAAAAGAAAAAATACTATTTAACCTAATTTGTATAATGATGTATTGGATAAACGGTACCGTCTAAGCAGCCATCTTTCTCTTTTGCCTAGGTGTTCTTTTTTAACGGTTATTGTTTGTTCGCTTCGCTCTACACTGAAAAAATCACGATTTCATTTAAGTTTTCATTTTTACATATTCATATATTTTGTCTTTTTATTTAAATAAATGAAATAACAGATTAAAATCTTAAGAAAAGTCATTTATTACATTTTTAAAAAATTATATTTAACATTGCTAATATAATGTTTATATTATATGCATTCGTCTTTCTCTGCAGCCACAAGCGGTCTACTGAAAAAATGTGAAAAATGTAAGGAAGGCATAAAATGTGTGCCCCAAATCCAGTGTCCTGCCCACGTTCGCATGGAAAGCCATGAAAAACCGCAGATTTGCGATCTGCCGGCTGGGAAATTTGGCTACTGCTGCCAGACGGGACAGAACCACACCGGTCCACGTTTGGAATCATCATCCAAAGAGAGGCGATCCGGATTTCCCACCATCTTGTCCCCTTCTGTTTTGGATGAGGCGCGTCGCAATTTCGAGCACTTGATGCATGGAGTGGCACAGATTCCTGTTCGGCGAGGGTTTCCCGATTTTGCCCACGGCCTGGTGTTCCATTCGACGGCCAAGGATGATTTGCACAATTTTGCCATTTCAAACAGTGCCATCGAACAGGTGATGACCACTCAGTTGTTTGGCAAAAAGGAGCAGGTTCCCGTGGACGATTTTATTACCAACAATGTGCCGATCAAGTTTACGGAAACTCCGTTGGCTCAGCACTGTCAGTCGAATCCGATTTGCCGGGACGTCCGATCAGTATATCGCAGTTTCGATGGCACCTGCAATAACCCCCTGCCCGAAAGGTCGCTATGGGGTGCTGCTGGTCAGCCCATGGAGCGCCTACTGCCCCCCGCTTATGAAGATGGCGTCTGGACACCGCGGGCCCACTCCTCTGATGGAACTCCTCTGTTAGGCGCCCGCAAGATCTCACGCACTTTGCTCACGGACGTTGATCGTCCACATCCCATGTACAATCTCCTGGTGATGCAGTTTGGACAGGTCCTGGTAGGTAACCATGTGTAAACTAGGCGGAACATTTAACATTTTAATTAGACTAAAACGGTCATTTTTGTACAATAATGCTTTATTTTATTAACTTGTGATACAAACATAGTTATTATATTCCAAATAAAAACAAACCGAATTTATTATTTAATATTTTCCACAAAATTTCTTTCTTAAAAAAGAATAAGCTAAACCATTACAATTTTTCAGGCACATGACATTTCTCAAACTTCTTCGGTGCGCCTCGAGGATGGAAACCTGGTGCAATGCTGTTCCCCCGAGGGAAAGACCGCTCTGAGTCCACAGCAAAGCCACTTCGCCTGCATGCCGATACACGTTGAGCCGGATGATGAGTTCTTCGCAGCCTTTGGAGTGCGTTGTTTGAACTTTGTAAGGTTGTCGCTGGTGCCCAGTCCAGATTGCCAACTGGGATATGGCAAACAGATGAGCAAAGTGACGCACTTTGTGGACGCTTCGCCGGTTTACGGATCAAGCGATGAGGCATCTCGTAGCCTGAGAGCCTTCCGGGGCGGCCGTCTGCGAATGATGAATGATTTCGGACGAGATCTCCTGCCCCTGACGAACGACAAGAAGGCATGTCCCAGCGAGGAAGCCGGAAAGTCTTGTTTCCACTCGGGTAGGTCAGGAACTTATTAGTAACTTGCATTTTTTTTATAAATTTATACTTGGATTTCAGGAGACGGACGCACTAATCAGATTATATCTTTGATTACCCTTCAAATTCTGCTGGCCCGCGAGCACAACCGTGTGGCAGACGCGTTGAACCAACTTAATCCATCTGCCAGCGACGAATGGCTTTTCCAGGAGGCTCGACGCATCGTTGTTGCCGAGATGCAGCACATCACCTACAACGAGTTTTTGCCAATAATTATTGGGCCGCAGCAGATGAAGCGCTTCCGTTTGGTACCACTGCATCAGGGCTACGCTCACGATTACAATGTCAATGTGAATCCGGCTATAACCAACGAATTCTCAGGCGCTGCCTATCGCATGGGCCATTCCAGGTAGGAATATAATACAATTTCAAAACATTCTCTGGTTTTAATTTCGAATCCTTTAAGTGTCGACGGCAAGTTTCAAATACGTCAGGAGCATGGACATATCGATGAAGTGGTTAATATCCCGGATGTGATGTTTAATCCATCGCGGATGCGCAAACGCGAGTTCTACGACGATATGCTTCGCACTCTTTACAGCCAGCCCATGCAGCAGGTGGACAGCTCAATCAGCCAGGGGGTAAGGGTTGTACTTTTTTATATTGTTAAGTTGTTTTCAAGTTGGTTTTACCTCGAACAGCTTAGTCGTTTCCTGTTCCGCGGAGACAATCCCTTTGGCCTGGATCTAGCTGCTATAAATATTCAGCGAGGACGCGACCAAGGACTGCGCAGCTACAATGACTACTTGGAATTGATGGGGGCGTCCAAACTGCAGAGCTTCCAGCAGTTTCCCAGTGAAGTGAGTTAGAGCATCTCTAGCTCGCACGAAGACAACTGTATAAATTGTATACCAAAGCTCATTTATAATTTTGTATGTAAATGATTTGCATATCTATAGATTGGCCAGAAGCTTTCGCGCGTTTACCGCACCCCGGATGACATTGACCTGTGGGTGGGCGGTCTGCTGGAGAGGGCCGTCGACGGTGGCGTTGTGGGAGTGACCTTTGCCGAAATCATTGCCGATCAATTTGCACGCTTTAAGCAGGGCGATCGGTACTACTATGAGTACGATAAGGGGGTCAATCCTGGTGCCTTTACCCCACCGCAATTGCAGGAACTGCGCAAGGTGACGTTGGCCCGCCTGCTGTGCGACAATTCCGATCGCCTCACACTTCAGGCAGTGCCATTGGCCGCATTCATACGGGCTGATCATCCCGGGTAAGTAAAGAGTAAAATGACCTAAGAAATGTCTTTAGTGCCTTGCTTATTTCTTTATAGCAACCAAATGATTGGCTGTGATGATCCCAGCCTGCCTGCTGTTAACTTGGAGGCATGGCGCACCTGAAATCATTTTAAAATCCATTTTTAATTTATTTATCGAGCTTTTAAACTGTTTTTATATATGCGAATGTTTCGCCGAATTGTTTATCCCCGTTTTATGTAACTGCGGCTTATCAAAGAAACCAAAATAAAGCCACACTGAATTGGATCACACTCCGCCCGATCGATTAAGCTGATTTCCTTTGCTAATTAAACGCAAATTTTCGTTGTCCCCGAAGAATATTTTTTATATACCCAATCATGAGCTCTCTCTGCCTCCTTTTTGACCCTCTCTGAGCCTTTTTGTATTGTTTTGGGGTATGGCATTGTTGATTGGGTGACAAATATTTTAACAGATAACCCAGAAGCTGTCATTTATTTTCGGCATCTCACTAATTTCTTAATTCAATTGACAAATTTTGTTTTGCACTTCTGTTTCTGTTACTGTTATGATATATGTGCGTGAATATTTATATGTTTGTGTTTGTTACTGGCGTAGGTTCGCTTTGGATTATCTCGTCAATTAGTGGCTGTTCGCATTTATAAACAACATGATATGCAAATATCAAGCAAGTTAAAATGTATAACAGAATATTATTAAATGTCTGTATCAATTCCGCTCCATTTCACAGTGAGTTGTGTGTCGACACGTAGCTGTGAAGTCTTGTTTAACCTTAGATACTCTTTATTTGAGCTTCTATTTTTACAATCCTTACGTAAGTCATGTGAACAAATCAGTTAGCGAAAATATACGCATTTGTAATCTTTGTTAAACAAATTCTTGGGATATAATCATTTTGATTATTTAACTTTTCATGTTGTTAGAGAGAGCCTAATTTGTTTGTTTATTGCCGTATATTTTCCAAATTTATACTTCAATGTCTGGAGAATTTTTGCGACTACGATTAATATTATAAACAAAATCTAAATTTAAATAAGATGCGAGGTTGTGGGTGTGTAAGCGGAATAATACCGCTACTATCAATTCTTATCTATATTTATTTAAAAGTTTCCCTTGCTAATCCACGGACACGGTGTCAATAAGTTTGTCAAACAACTTTGTTTTGATGCACCAACCAAGCCGCCAACTGGCTTGGCCGAGTGCCTCCGAATTTTTAAATTGCATGCTTTCAGAGCACACTTTTGCACGATTTAAACTGGTTTTATCTCTCATATTTTCACCAATTAGTGAACTTAAACACATCATAACAACAAAAGCAATGCCTCCATTTAATTTGTCACTGCTTTAAATGGGACGGGCCATCGATTTGTGAATTGTAATGAAGCCGTAGCCGTGAGTTCACTAGATGTGTTTTGAGCAGTTCAATTAATTTCTGTTTTTTCCAGCGACCGGCGAGAACAGCGGCAAGGGATAAGCGAATGCAATACCCCTTCCAACAAGGGGAAGCACATGCTGTGATAATTATTTTACCCAGCGTGGGCCATGATGACGACGTTGGCTGCTGCTTAGCTGGCTAGGACCAGTCATTTTATTGATGAACTTGCGAATGATGAAAAGTGACAATTGAAACTCAACCGACCACCAAAACCATAAAGAGGGACAAACCCGAAACCGAGACCGAGGCGGAATCGGAGTCGGAGTTGGAGTCTATTGACGTCCATGGACGTTCTCATCGGAATAGGAAATGTAGAGGAAGTAGTCCTTGTCGAAGTGCTCCTGGTACAGTGCTCCCATGGTGGCCGATGTCGGGGGAATCACATTGTTCACGAAGAAGAAGAGGGCGTCGTCGGGACGGAGATTGATGCGCTTGCGGATGAGGAAATAGAACTGGCCCACAGTCAAGTCGGCCGGCACCAGGTACTTCTTCTTGTCCAGCTCGGCGTAGCGGGTCTTCGGGGCCTTCTCGACGATCACGGGCACACGGTCCGGATACTTGCGCCTGATCTTGTCGCCCTCATTGCGGCGCTTGTCGAACGCGTGATCCTTCTTGTACTGGAAGTGCATGTCCATTTGGGCAGACTGGTGTACGAGTCGAAACGAAGCGAAACAACTGGTTTTTGTTTTGGATTTGGTAAGTGTATAGTTGCTGCCAGTTTTTGTTGATCGGAAGTAGGTTTTCTTTTATTCACCACTCAGTCAAGTTTGGCGGATAAGCAAGTGCCTTCTAAGCACTGAGTTATTTCGAAAATTAAAATGTCACTGGAGACTTGATTCTGTGCTAAGGAGATTTGAGATATCAATTAAAAGGGGTTTTTTTTTTTTAAAACGTTAAAACATTTAAAATGTGCTGTGTAAACATAACATATTACACTGAGGTCAAATGTTGATCTTAAAATACTCTTAAAACTTTAAGAGACCTTCCAAATAACTAGTTTAAAGCCCGAAATGTTGAAATGAACACAAAATGACATTTGTGGCTATAACGACATTTTCATCAAAGGCCATGCTGGAAATGACCGCAAGTCAGCCAACAGTTGCCTAAGTAGGACCTCAATTGCGAAAGCTTTCACCTTAACCGACCGCAACAGCAGTAAACGCAGCGCCGAAGCTAAAGCAAATTTGATTGGTGCCGTCGTTACAGCCTGCTCGTCGCTCGACCTGACTCCTGAGCTCTCATTTCGCCATAGCTGCTGGAGCTGCTCGGTTGTTCGCGCTCGGTGAATCGGCTGCTTGTCGTCACACTTCGGTCTCTTGGTTTATTTTACTTCCGGTTGGGGGTCGGAATTAGTACCTTTTCCACATTCAACTGCAACAGGTGCTGAAGACAACCATAAAAAATATAAGATATCAACACATTCGGTGAGCAAAGTGGTCAAAAAATATGCCTTTGTAGATTGAATTGTTTATAAAAAAGAAAATCGGAAAATAATCGCGGGTGTGCGTGTGCAAAACATTACCGAACAAAAATCGCCTGACCAAATTTACTGACAACGCTGAGAAAAAACCATAATAATTTTCTATTTATGCGCCCATGTGATGGCTGAACCCCATTTTTTTTCCGATCCCTTCTTCGCCGGGGAAATTGAGTGTTTGTGTTTTATCGAATTTCGTTCCGCCCAAAATTCACTGTCGATTTAAGTGGCGATAAGCTATAAATATGGACAGCTAATCTATGTGTCTGTGCTTGGCAATCACTAATTAAACTCACGAGTGCGAAAAAATCACCAATTGAATTCGTTATCTGAAAAGTAATCGGCTTAATGGTGTTGCTTGAGTGCATCGAAATATGCAGTCTTGCTACTTGCTTTGCTCCAGCTTGTGGGCTGTGAGCTGAGATTTTATTAAAATAAACTGATTTTGTGATGATTCGTCAGTCGTCTGAATGTTGGGATTACCATGTGCCCGCTAATATATTGATATTAATAGATTTCAAGATTCAATAAGATTTCTTTAAAGCTTTGAATGAGTAGCTTACAATTTAATTAAAAAATTTAAAAGTGTTCTTTATACCTTATGATGAATAGCATACAATTTAAATAAATAGAAAATTTGATGGCCACCCAACTAGAACATTCTAACTCGCCGCTTTCCTCTGGGCTCTAAAAATTCATACTTACGTGTTTTATACTGTTGTTAATGCGGTAATTAACATTAATTCGTTAGAAACGACACCAGAACTTTTGCTGGGACCCAGACATTATAATCGTGTTCATTGGGCCAGAATCATTTTGAATGCCTCCCACCTAATCGTGTGTGCGCCATTCGAAAATGCAGAAAAGCCAATTAGAGGTACATATGTGTATGTATATTTAATGAAATGCAAAACTTCGTTGGTTCGGCTTGTGCGTCAAACTAGATTTAGTTCAATTGAATATTGCTAACTTTACGGTCTTGATTTGAACGCAAACAATCAGCCAGAGCAGAGCTAGCAATCAAACAAAATATTGTGTAAATAATTTGTATAACTCATTTTCTTGGCTTTGTCGAAGGCACAATGAGCGATTTTTGTATACACGAATGATTTTATTATCGTTTTGTAAACCAATTGCGTCATTTCCACGCGATTTTCACGAAGATTTTTGTCAGCCAGTCTGCTATCTGTGGAAAATCTGCTCTTCGGTCCACGGTCGACCATTGGCGCGCATTCCTGAGGCTGAGGTTCACGGCGATTTGCGCATTCCTCCAGAGTTCGCCTAGCCGCAGGTGCTAATTAATTTTTGTAATTTTTTAAATTTTTTTATTTTCCCTTCCCTAAGGTCGGAGTGGCCGGAGATGGCCGCCATCCGATAGTCAGATTGTGCCCTCTGGCCGAAAGATCGCGGCAATAAAGCTATAGCTGGAGCACATGCGAGAACAAATATTGGTTAATTAAAAGGCAGAGACATGGCGCACACCTGTCGGCAGTCTTTTGAGGTCTCAGATAAGCGGAGCAGAATTGAAGTAGTTTGAGGTGCCCAAATAGCCCCCAAAAAATGCGCTCCCAGGCGATCTGGGTTTACGGTACCACTAATTACGCGAAACTGAATATTTCAATTAGCTGGTGAGAACTAAAGTTAAGCACAAACAGAATCGTAAATCGTCATGGCTCGTGGGGGCATTCACAATAAATTTAAATAGGGCCTGAAAACGTGATATGTGGACAGTGAGCACACTGGGTCTAAAAATAATGCCATAGGTTAAATATGCATGTTGTATGCCTGTGATAGCATATGTTAATTAACAATCCTCAGTCGATTCCATTCCTGGCGCATGTTTGCTATTATTCTGTTTGCCTGTGTCTTTTTCCCGAGTCACTGTCCTACTGAGTGTCGAGTGTGATTTGTTTTCCTGCCACAGGCTTCACTGTAACTGTGGTCTTTTTGTTTATATGGTCTGATTGCTCAAGAAATTTGCCGCAAATACTCTTGGTCGGGAGGGCTGACTTCGATTTTGATTTGTCGTTCGCTTTTGTACGAATTTGAAAATCAATCAAACACGCGTCCGCGCCACAGAACGTGACAGTCCAATTCACGGCATGCCAAATATGTGTGGATCAGCCTGCGATGCTATTTAACTTTATCATTCGCCAACTGAACGGGCAGCTTGATGGCTTCGTTACGCAGTCACTGAATCTCCCATTCCCATTCCGTCCCCAACAGGCTCCCCCACATGATGCATAAACGCATCCAAGCTAACTAGAGTACCAACAGTCCCGGAAAATACGGATATTTGGTCGGGGAAATGAGCCGCCCATTATGTACTTAGGATCGGTCGGAGGAAACGATAGAGAGCAATGGAAAAACCCGCAATCCTGGCGCGGAAGGATGTCCTACGGCGCTCAAGGAAGTGCTCGAAGGGTCTAAAGTGCCTGTCATTCGATTTCCAATTCCGGCTGCTTCTCCACTATCTGCTGCTAAGCTCGTTGTCTGGCCCGCATTGCGTATACGCCACGATGGCCGGCAGCGAGGCGCTGAGCGCAAGCAACTGTCACGACATCCACCACGGATTCGATGTGTACCCCAATCCCACTGCGGTATCGCAGGGTCAATCCACGGACACGCCCCTGACCCTGACATTGCCGCCCTCCGGATGGAAGTGTTGCTGCTGGAATGCCAGTAATCAAGTAAGTGACTGATAGATATACTCCTTGCACTTAATTCTACATGTTTGTCAGCGAGGGCAGCAATTTATTGGCCAGAGTCAGTTTGGCCCAGACTTGAAGGCCAGTAGCCAATAGCTTTTTAAAAAAATCGTTCTTATCAAAACAAGTAAATGATAATAATATTTACTAAACTTATGTGTCTTTCTATTGCAAGGAATTTTATATAATAATTTTCAATAAATATTAGTTTGCAAAGGCTTTAATATAAGTTAATTAGTATTATATATTATTTTACATTGTTGCAGCCATTTGATTAAATACAATTATGTTTACGGTAAAAATGATAGCACGTTACACGTTATAGTATGTATAATATAGTAATATACGCTGTACAAGCCACATTCGAGTTGAACTTTAACCTTTTATTGAAGCTCTAAGCCCTCACATTGCACTACACTATATATAAAAGTCTTTGAACTGAAACAAACTCTATTAAATACCACTTTTTTTCGCAGAACGAAGAGGTGGAGTGTCGTTGTGGGGGCGACGGACTAAACCGTGTACCGCAAACGCTTAAGCGGCCCATCCAGCGACTGACCATTGCGTCGGCGGGGCTGCCTCGACTACGTAACACAGGACTGAAGGTCTACGGTTCCACACTGCTGGATGTGTGAGTTTAGGTGGCTTTGGGCCGTGCCCACATATGTACTAATAGTCCTTTGGCTTGACAGGGCCTTCACTGACTGCCTGCAGCTGGAACTGATACAGGACGGCGCTTTCGCCAATTTAACGCTGCTGCGCACAATGTAAGTACTGATTGTAATTGCCTCAAAGTGGCAGTTTCAATTGCGCGAGCCCTTCGTAATATGTTTGTCTTACAAACCTACAGCTACATCTCCAATGCACCGAAGCTGACCTTTCTCTCAAAGGACGTATTCTTTGGCATTTCGGGGAGCGTTGAAATTATGTAAGTCATTTCTCATCGGGAACCCATATGGGACAAGTCAATAAGCACACACAGCTGTGTGATTTTAAGTAGGCCGCAGGAAGATGGGGTTCATGTGGTATAATCGGTAAAATTAGTACCCACACCCATCTACTCGGATACAGATGATAAATTTTTGTGGGAGCAAAACATTTTTGCTTTGCTGTTTGAACTCGTTTTCAAACTGTTGGCAAACAGAAATTTTTGCAGCAGCAGCAGGATTACAATTAAAGTTACAACTCTCGTTTTTCCTGGTAAAAATAGGAAAGCATTTTAACTCATATTTGCTAATAAAAAAAATATAAAAAAAAAATGGTCGAAATATTTATTTGTTTTATATTGTATGAATTCTATTATATGTTTCGCTGTAGCAGACAGCAAACAAATAACGCAGTTTTTGCTCGTATAGCGCAAGAGTTCAGGAGAAATGTGCGTGTAGTTAATATATTCTGTAGTGGTGAACGTGTAAGTGTCTAAAAATAACATTGCATTTTATTCCGACAGACGCATTATAAATAGCGGACTTACCAGAGTACCGGATCTGGGCCACCTTCCACCGCATAATATTTTGCAAATGATGTGAGTTCTAAATATGACAACCATTAAAAACCTCAAGAAAGCGTGTTCCGTGTTTACTTTAAATTTTGTTCTTCATTTCAGAGATCTCGATAATAATCAAATCACTCGAATAGATACTAAATCCATAAAAGTGAAGACTGCTCAATTGTATGTATAAAATGTTTGCACCGAGTAATCTCTAAAGAATGCTAATCTTTATAGAATTTTGGCCAACAATGACATAAGCTACGTCGATGACTCGGCATTTTTCGGCTCCAAGATAGCCAAACTGTGAGTATTTAAAGTAGAAGAGCTCTATAAAACAGATTAATGAGTAATTGTTGCGTTTTAGCTCGCTAAAGGACAATCCAAAGCTCAAAGAGCTGCATCCAAACGCATTTGATGGCATCATAGACATAACTGAACTGTGAGATTTGGATAGTACTCCTTATAGATTCATTGTGATCCATCATGTTTGTATTTCTCCAGTGATCTCTCCAGCACTTCGCTAGTTGGAATGCCTTCAGTCGGACTGCAGACCATCGAAGCATTGTACATACAAAACACACACACTCTGAAAACTATTCCTTCGATCTACAATTTTCGGGTGAGTAAAAGAGAAGTTTTTATAAAGTTATATACTAAATATCTGGGGTTTCATTCTGTAGAATCTGCAGAGGGCCTACCTTACGCACTCCTTTCACTGTTGCGCCTTTCAGTTCCCATCGCGACACGATCCCCAACGCCATGCTCAGCGAATGCTGGAGATTCAAAAGTGGCGGGAGCAATGCAAAAGTGACCACGTGTCCCGAAAAGAGAGGTCCACTGTGGATAATCTTAACAGTATGCCCGAGGAGTTTGGAAGTTTCGGTAGCACCGATCAATCAGCAACGGACATGACCTCCATGACATACGCTTCATTCGATTACATGTCTGATGACACAATGAACAAGGGAACTTTTCATGAAAAGATCACCCTTAATCCAGAGGACGACATAGACGAACTCTGCGGTAATTTTACATTCAGGTGAGTGGTTACTTAAAAAAACCCTTTGCTGAATGTTTTAAAAAAAGGACCAAATTGTTATAGAAAACCAAATATAGAATGTTATCCCATGCCCAATGATCTTAATCCTTGCGAGGATGTCATGGGCTACCAATGGCTTCGTATATCCGTTTGGATTGTGGTAGCTCTGGCCGTGGTTGGCAATGTGGCAGTGCTGACTGTAATTCTATCGATTAGGTAAGTCGTTCAATTGCAGGTTGCTCTGTCGAATAACAATGGACATTAAAATAAATCTTAAAAGTTACCCCTATTTTAGAAATGTTGTTTTTATATCAAGTTTATATAAATTTCATCACCAGAACTTCTTGCATATTTTATATTAATATGTTAATGACAAACATTTTTTTGACTGCTAATAATCACTGTCTATTACAGACCCGAATCAACGCCAGTGCCGCGATTTCTGATGTGCCATCTGGCCTTCGCCGATCTCTGTTTGGGAGTCTATCTGCTCTTTGTGGCCTCCATCGATGCCCATTCCATGGGGGAGTATTTCAACTTCGCCTACGACTGGCAATATGGTGGGTTGACCTATTGGTTATGCTGATGCATGCATTAAACTGTGACTGTATTTTCACCAGGGCTCGGCTGCAAAGTTGCTGGTTTCCTCACCGTGTTTGCAAGCCATTTGTCGGTGTTCACGTTGACCGTGATTACCATCGAGCGATGGCTTGCGATTACGCAGGCCATGTATTTGACCCATCGCATCAAGTTGCGCCAGGCTTCAATCATTATGCTGGGCGGCTGGATTTACTCCGTGCTCATGTCCTCGCTGCCTTTGTTTGGTATCAGCAATTATTCGTCGACGAGGTGAGCAAACTAGGATGCTTTTTCAAGCCGCTGCAAACTGACGCCTTGTTTATTGCAGCATCTGTCTTCCGATGGAAATCCGTGATGGATTCGACACGGCGTATCTGATTGCCATCCTGGCGTGCAACGGCGTGGCCTTCACCATCATAGCTGTGTGCTATGCGCAGATATATCTATCTTTGGGTCGCGAAACGCGACAGGCGCGACAAAATAGTCCGGGAGAGTTGAGTGTAGCCAAGAAGATGGCGCTTCTGGTAAGTAAAATCCTGTTTAGATTAAGTTATTAATGGTCTTACTAGTCCCAAGATATAAACACGTTTCAATTCAAGTAAGTCCAGCAACTTACAATTTGTATACCATTGCATACAGTAGTTTAATTTAAGTCAAAAGTTTTTATATCAATAAAGGAGAATCTCATTGGAAATGGCAATAATTAAATATTTCCTTCTAAGGCCAACATTTGACTATGTGCTTTTGATTTTTATGTGCGCTACAACCTTGTAATTTAATGTAAAACTCCTTTCAGGTCTTTACAAACTTTGCCTGTTGGTCTCCTATCGCATTCTTTGGACTCACGGCGTTGGCTGGATTCCCTCTGATCAATGTGACCAAGTCGAAAATATTGCTAGTATTCTTCTACCCATTGAACTCGTGTGCGGATCCCTACTTATATGCCATACTAACGTCTCAGTATCGGCAGGATCTGTTTACCTTGTTGTCGAAGTAAGTGGCTCAGATTGTCAAAAAACCGGTAATCTTATTGATAAAAACTATATCTATTTAGGTTGGGCTTGTGCCGACAGAGCGCTTTGAAAGACAAGGACGGCTCATCCACCCGTGGCACCACCCGATACACCATTAATGGATCCATTCAGAGGCATGCCTCGCTAACCTGCAAAATGCAGACGGTAGTGGGCGCAGAGACACAAAAAATGCTGAAGAACGGCGAGGATTATGTTTAAACTGAAGCTTGGGTATTCCGCATACACTTCTTCCCCCTGTTGTGATATATACATATACTATTAATGTACGCTCTCTTCTATGTAACACCGTCAGTTCCAGTATTGTTAGTATCCTCTGATTAATGATATTTTAAATATTTAGGTTTGTTTTTCGTTGTTTTCTTGTCATACTTAAGCCTTTTAGTCTAATCTACACAGTTGTACCTAAAAATAGTATTGCTAATTGAAAAGAAAAGAGCTTGTCCCAGTCAAAGTATATATAAATGTAAAATAGTTGGTTTCTACTTGACATACATATATGTATACGATTTTAGATGTGAATGTTTGAAATGTTTAGATAAATGTATTGTCTTTTTTCAACTACAGTTTAAATGTTTGAATAAAATGCTTTATGTCGATGTTAATAAATAATGAAAATGTAAAAGTGTATTTAATTTTATTTTATTTTTTGTTCCATTCATTTAACTTTGATTAAGAATGTTTTGTGTTGAGACCTGAACACAATTCTACATTTTTTTTACAAGCGATTTTACACTGATTTTGTGGCGCCATCTAGATCTGGTTCACTACCATTGAAAATGTCCATTTGTTCAAGTGAAAAGTGCCAGGAACTGTTTTCATCCCTGGCGAACAGCTGACTTCAGAAAGAACCAAACAAGTAACGGGAAAATGCCGCGTCCTGTAATTTTCTTGACTGTCTGCTCAATAATTATTTTTAAATTCGCCTATGGCTATAAGGAGATGCACGGACTGAATGGAAAGCTATTTCCAAAAGCAGCGACTTTTAATTTTCCCGAGTACGCCTATAAGGAGACCAGCAAGAATGTGAGTTTACGAATATATTGATTTTTCTTTCTTTTAATCGCTTTCTTAAAATAAAACAGGAAATTACGTACCACGAACTGGAGGTGACTTGTGACCAGCACGCGCAGTGCATGAACATCGGTCCCGTGGGCGTGGCCAAGATCAACTGCATACGGCAGTGCATTTCGCCATCCTGTTACAAGGACATCTACGCCTTCAACGAGCTGGAGGAGGGCGAAATTGATGCCAGGCTCAACTCCTTCAAAGGATGCGTAATCCAGCGCATGTAGCAGCGACCCCAGTTGTTCAAGGAGTGCTTCATCATCAAATGGTTGGAACTCACTGGGATTACTTATTAAATTCAGATAAAGGACTTGCATTTAAAGGACCTTTGATGGCAGCTTTTAGCTGGCTTATGCCTTATTTGTAAAGAATTAAAAGAAATATTAAACAAAATATACGTTGGAGCTGCATCTGCGATCTTTCTGTGGTCATTTATTTTAAAGCCAAATTTAAAAATAAACTTTTTCACTAATATTAAATGGAGAACTCTAATTTTTTGAAGTAAGGATTAGACCTATATTAGACCCATATTCACAAAAAAAAAAATAGTGTATCTGAGCAAAGACTGTTTCAACAAACCACTCATTAATGACAATAATGAAAATATTATATATTTTTTATTACTTATACGGTTTTGTTTACTGTTTGCATTATGAGAAGAAATCAAAAATGAATATATTTTACATTCATAACTTGATTTTATGAATTAACATTTTTTATTTAATATTAATATGCAAATTTACCGAACTTGACCTTTGTGATCAGACACAGATAAAATGTAGATTTTTCATTACTATTGTAAGCAAAACAAAACAAGTAAAGACAAAGTATTTCGATCCATCCCACGGCCATAAATAAGTGCTCCCGCCACTTAGTCAGTCGAATCGACTTCACCCGAAATGTTTGATTGGAAAGCAATATATTCAATTGCATGTACGCGGAACAAGTGAAGCAGGGAAATTGTAGTGTTCAAACAGTTACTGCGGCAATTTCCGAAGGAAAATATAATTTTACTTTACGACATTTGCGCCTATGACAACAACAACAATTCCAGTTGACTCCCTCCGATATATTAAGCTCCTAGTATTCGTAGATCAATCAAGCCAAATCAAGCGCGTTGTATAACTAAACTACTCAACCACCCACCACCCCACACACACACACGCCCAATGATACGCACACAAGCACGCTTATTTGTGCTAGTGCGGCGTTTAAGTTTAGTTCGGTAATTAAAAGCCAAATGCTCATAAAACGAAAATTTATTAGCCATGGTCTAAGCGAGTGTGTGTTTGTTTGACGAGCATACAAACTACAGTATGTCGCTTGGCGGTGCGTGTGTAATACGCACATGGAGGGGGCGTGGCGAGGGGGTTGTAGGGCGTAAAGGGCGACTACTACATGTGGGTGTTGAAATCCCTATGGATTTTTAATGTGCTTAATTTGAGTGACAGCTCCAAAATGGGCACGATCGATTTCTGTGTGCTAACACAGCACAAGCGAACATCAATGTCCACACACACACCCACACAAAGAGAAAAGGACATCAAAATTGGATAAATTTTTTTTTTTTTTAACTGATGGTTTAAAAAAAAAAACGATAATTTACCACATCCAAACCAAAGTTTAACATTGAATGTCCGGTAGATATTTATTTTTCTAATGATTTCACCCCACTGTTGTACTCAATTTATTTGATTTCAATTAGATTTCATACAATTGCATTTTTATAGGTTATTTTACCATTACCTTAAAAAACAAAGGCTCATTATTTGCATGGTAAAAACTTAAAAAATCTAACATTATTCTAATGCTTAAATATTTTGTTCTGAATATCGAATAATATTAAAAAAAAATATTCTTAAATGTAGTTTCTATCAATTTACCAACTCATTTTTATACTCAAGTAATTGTTTTTAATACTTAAACTATAGTTGGGATTACAGGTTCTTCTGCAAAGTAACCTTAAAACTACACCAAAAACAACTAAATCACTACCATATTTTTAAACTAGGATCATCTGTAAGCTAATAAACGGTAAATCTTCTCTGTGTACCAAGTTGACAATATGGAACTGATAATATTAATTTCCAACACAGTGCACACACACGCAAGCCCTGTTCCTATCAATTATATTTGTATCCATCTGCATATATGCAAAACAATGCTGTATGGTCCTCCAAAAAAGCTAATTCCGCACTGAGTTCAGTTCATCTCATCTAATTTCTGGCTGCTAATTCAGTCGAGTGTCGCGCAGCCTTTAGAATCCTCCTGGCAAGCACTAAGCAAATTCATAATTAATACATTTGCAAAGAGTGATAAAAAAACGAGAAGCGAAATTAACGCGAACGACTTGTACAGTGGAACCTCTTCGTACACAAACAAATGCGCTGCCGTCGCACGCACACGAAAGCGAAAGCCAGAAAGCCAGACGGTGGGCGAGTGGCAAGCGTTTGGCAAATTAGCCAAATGCGTTATTTGGCCCACAAGCATTTCAGTCGCTCACGGAACGTCCTGGCGTTTGGCCGCAAACTCTGAAAAACCAAAGGCCAAGAGCCCAGTGGACTGACCGAAAGTGAAATTCATAACGTTAAATGTGTGAAAAGTGTGTACTTTTATTTTAAAACATTTATAGTTCATTGCTGATCTGTTGGTAGCCAACATCTGGCCGTAATCAACTGATAAATTTGTCAATTAACTTGCTGCTATCAGCCAAAAGCCAAACTAATGAGATTGCCGCATTTGTGTCGCTGTGTGTGTGTGTGTGCAACAAGTCTGCGATCTGACATTGGCCTGTTCTGTTCACCCGTCGCGAACTAATCAAATAAATACGCCGGTTAATTGGGAAATGCATATTAATGAGCGGCAGGCAGTAACTCCGCCCACGAGCCACCCACCTCCTGCAGACCACCGCCCAACATCCATTGCAGAGTTCACTGGCAGCTGTTACCTCGGCGCAATTCACCTTTCTGTTTTTTTTATGACCCATTACTTTGGGCCCCGTTGTCTGGATGGCATCGCCAACATTTTGATGAATCATAGACAGTCGTGCTAGAATCTAATATCCTCGGTTGCGTTTATGTTTGCACTTAATCCGCGGGCTTAGCACTTCGATTAGTCAGTTCAGCCCCCCGCCTTCAGCCAAATGCCTTTTTAATTTTATATCAGAATTTTCTAAATGTTATCCAAGCAAATCCGGCAAATATGTGTGCGGCGTGATAAACAATAGCAACAAAATAAATATTTAAAAAAACATAGGCAAAAGACTAGATCCGAGTGCCGAATCGGGAATACCCTGGTAAACTATATTTTAAGGATTAGAGAATGACATTGTTTAACTGAGTAACCTTTTGTATATATAAAAAATCTAAAACGAATCTTGTATTCTTTATTAGTAGACTATAGAAACTATAGTAAACCCAATAGAAATGAAAAACAATAAAACGCCAATTCTTCAATTAAAATCGGTGAAATATAAACTCCAGCATTCATGAAGGGTGAAACTGTTCCTTGCTTTATTTAAAAACAAAGTATTTTACATTTGGACAAATCGTTGGTTAAAATGGTTGAACTCCGACAAATTATCTATAAGATAACGTGTGTTTGGGAAAGCTTTGCTGGAAGATCTGTGTGTGTGCATTGTCTGCATTTATCACACCCTCCAGCAGGGTATAACAAATAATAAATCCGAAAAGTATGAACAGAAAGAAAAAAAATGTAAAGCATTGAAAAAATTCTCGCCCTGCCGACATTTGTGTACTTTAATCGACAACACAAAAGAAGAACAGCAACAAAAAGTTGAGAAAAAGTATCGCGCATACGCTACGTTGACTATTCTGCTCCGCGTAGAGCGTCGGGTGCTGGGGGAGTAGATGGGGGAGTAGATGAGGTAGTAGATGGGGGAGTGGGAGGGAGGGGGAGAGTGGGTGGCGTTATGGATGGGAGATGGGGGGTGGGTGAAGGTGGGCGCTACAGCATCAGCATCTCAGGTTGGACGGGCCGACAAACGACAGCCAACTGTCAGTTTGTAATCAACGCGTGCCAACAGCAGCGGCGGCAGCTGTGCGTGTGCATAAGAAACTTTTCGGGCCATCAACCTCTCAACCTATCAACTTCTCAACCTTTCGAACTCTCCTCACCCCGGAATCCAGTTCTATGCCGTGACCTTTAGCCCATCGATGGATAACAAATGGCAGCATTACATTGCTGACGAAAACCCATTGTGCCAAAGCCGGAGACTAATCACTTAACTATTTATAAACCAACGCACATGCACAGTGAACACAGAAACAAAGTGAATTAAATGTTCTTTAATTTGCGGAGTGCAATCAGGGGTGGCTTCTAAAGTGAAATCAAAATTTGTGCTTAACAGAAGGGTCAAGCTTACAAGGAAATGCCCAAATTGTTTAAAGAATATTTTATAACAAATTTAACAACCTTTGGACTGTTTAAAGTCAAAGTGATATTAATAGACAAAGTTACATGTATAATACTTTGAAAGTAAAAAGGCAAGAATAAATTATAAAAGTTATAAATTTCAAAAACAAAACACGAGTTAATAGACTTTGCTTTAAAATAAGCCCAAGTTGCTTATTATAATTATTAGTATTATTATTATTATGTGATACTATGTCTATCAAGCATGTTATGCTATTACTTATTTGAGGTATTCCTTAATCTGCGTTTAATCATTTACCATTTATGTCAAGGCTAAAGAACCATTAAAGTGTTATTTCAGACCGCAAAATGAGTTATTTTATGAGTTATCTAGAAATATCTATTTTAATTTGACATAAAATGTTAATCTCATTGGGTTATGGCTTTTTATCTATTTTTAAAATCAGTGCGATATAATCATTGTATTGGTTTAGGAAATAGTGAAGATAGTTTCTTATAAATCTTATACATACATTTTTTGCCGTGCACCGTGAGAGATACTTGTATCCGAGAGATGCAGTTTTGAGTACTCGTATTGTCGATGTTAGATTGTGTGCTCAAGCTGTTTGTCTTACGGGTGTGGACGAGTAGACGACTTCAGCTGGGGAGATGGATGGAGACTGGCTGTAGTTTCATCCGATCGAAGGTCGCCCAGCACTGAGATTCCCATTCCGATTCCGATTGTTCAGCCGTAGGAATTCTTTTGGGGGAACATGTGCCTGATTTATTTATTGCCAAACTTTCGAGCGATCCAAACAGAGCAATATGAAAACAACTGAAAATACGCTGCTCGCCGGAGACTATTTGCCAGCTGGTCCGAAATTGAATTGTAAATGGCAATATTAATTGGAAATCATTTAAATTTTTTTTCTCTCGGTCTATGCATGTTCGGCGGCATAATTTATGGGCGCTAATTACTTTCGCCCAGTTGTATTTCGTATGCTGTCCAAGGCCAATTACGCTTACTTATTGCAATTTATGTGGCCGCAGTCCGGCCGTAATTGGAAATTGTGTAAGGTCGCAGGCAATTCCATTATTTGTATGCAGTTCTGGTCTCCGGTCTTCGTTCTCGGGTCTCCGTTCTCTGGTCTCTGGCGTTTTTTCTAATGACGCCACCGCGCCGGCAACCCAGCCCAGTTTGTGTAGCCATTTGATTAAGTGACCTTATACCTTATACCTTATACCCTATACACGCAGGATCAATTTGCAGATGTCGAGTGCGGTGCGAAGGTAAGCTCCACTCTTAGAGCCTGTGCTATCCGCCGGAATGGCGTTGGAAGGCGGCCTGCAACATGCGGATGCCAGTGCCATGCTGCTGTACTCCAAGTTCCTGTCCACAGCGCTGACTGTGGCTACTGCGAACAACTCCATCCAAACCACGGCGGCCCCAACTGGTGAGACAACCACTAATGGACTCAAGGTGGGTGTGCCCTCGATGAACTCCTATCTGGCGAGCATGGCGTGGCCCAAATCGCTAGCGGTGGTCGTCTTCCTGGTCATCATTCTTGTCACCGTGGTCGGCAATACACTCGTCATCCTTGCCGTTTTGACCACACGCCGATTGCGAACTGTCACCAACTGTTTCGTGATGAACCTGGCCATCACCGACTGGCTGGTGGGAACGTGCGTGATGCCCCCATCGGTGGTTCTCTACATAACAGGTGAGCACACAGCCTCATCGACGGCTGAAGATTTATGGCTCTTGTGGCAGAAGGCAGTAGGCATCAAGGCAAGTGTTTACTACACGCACCTCTCCGTTGGAAGCTCGTTTAGTAAACATTTACCAAAATCAACGGGCAGCCCATTCGTGCAATTCCAATTCCAAATAACCCCATTAAATATTATACAATTTTACCTTTGCAAAAAATTATAACAATTTTCGCTTGCAAACATCTTGCGACTGGTGCAGGTTTTTATTCTATTTATTTCCCGAGAAAGTCTGTGAAAAATCCAATTCATTTTTAAGAAAAAATAGTTGGTTAGAAAGCTCATATACTCAAATAAAGCGAAGGTCTTTTTAAACATTAAACTTTTAAAAGATACGTTTTTTTGTATTTTTATATTATATGGTTAACTAATCTTGATCTTAAGAGCTTGCGCTCAGGATAATAATAATAAATAATAAATTGCTTACTTACTAACATTAGTTATAAATGAATTATTGATTCCGATTACATTTGGTAGTCCTTCAATTCAGGCATCAGTTTTTTTTTTTTATAAAAAAGGATAAGTCTAATCGACAAAATGAAAAACATGTAATAAAACAAGTCAAGTCTTTAAGTCAGCAGCCAAAAATGAGTGGCATTAACTGAAAACAATCTAGGAAATAAGTTGGAGTAATAGTACTTGAAGAAACTGCCAGGATAATGCCGCCTTAATCCAGGTGCCAGACGGAGGTGCACAAACCGAGTCCGGTGAAGCATGGCCACAAATATTTTCTTTCCGCAGGCACTTGGCGCTTCGGCTGGATTCTGTGCGACATTTGGATCTCGCTGGACATCCTGCTCTGCACCGGCTCCATCCTCAGCCTGTGCGCCATCAGTCTGGACAGGTGAGTTGGCCGACGCCAACTAATTTCTTAATTTGTCGTTGATGTCATAGCTATGTCCTCATAGTCCGTGCTCCTAAATCCTGAGTCCTCAGAACTTAGCCAAAGCCAAAGCCAAGGCAAGGTGCAAAAACAGTGCAAAATAATTTATTTGTTGACGTTTTTATTGCTCTATGACCGTTGTCGTGGCCATTGCCAGTACATACCCTTTGAGTGTCCGACGGCACAATGGCTAGGATTGGTTTGGGCTGGGTTTCCATTTCCATTCCCGTTCCCCATGCTTTTGTTGCAAGTTTCAATTACATTTTAATGGCATTTCCAAGTTTTGTGTTGTGGCCCTGGCTCTGTCTCTGGCTCCGGCTCCAACACACCGAGTTGAGCTGATCCAGCTGAGCCCCAGACCGGGGACAGGGGACCATGGACCTGAACCTACACCGACACCAACCGCGTTGTGTTTGCCTTTCTGGTTCCGGGCAGAAAACAGCCGGCGGCTTTGCGTACAATACGTCCGCTTGGCTTTTGTTTTTTCAGTATTTCTCTGGTCGTTTCTGTTGCGTTTATTGGCCCGGCTTATTTATTTCGCAGGTATCTGGCCGTCACACAACCATTGACGTACTCCAAGAAGCGGCGCTCCAAACGGCTGGCCCTGCTCATGATACTCGTCGTGTGGATAACGGCTCTGTCAATCACATGTCCGCCCTACTTGGGCTGGTAAGTGAGGCTCCAGCTGCACAGCAAACAACTATTATTCCAAATCATTCATATACCCATATAAGACCTCTTTTTGCCAAGTATAAAACCACCTTAAAACAAAATTAGCAAGATACGATATAAGGAAGGACATTGATAGCCGAAAATGTATAAAATCAGCTCGAAATTTCACTTTCAGTTGAGTCTAAGAAATCTTTCATAACTTTTTATACTGCTTAAGAAATCTTACAGTAAATAAAATAAAGTTCAAATATTTTAATCGGTTTTCGAAAAAAAAAGAAATTAGGAATCAAGAAACTCGAATAGGAAAATAACAAGTAACATTAAATAAGTAAAGCAAAGTTTGCATGAAGTTAAGTGTTACCGACAAACTATTTAAAAAGTAAATAGCCAATGGAATATTTAAAGATAATTAGTAATAAACACTTATTTGTTGAAAGAAAGTTTTGTTTCAAAGTTTATTTCTTTTTTTTTGTTTTATTATAAACAAATAGGGTAATAGGGTAACTTTTCTTTGGAACAGCTAAGCACATCGCACTTTACATACTGCGAATACGATTTTATCAGTTCATGTTCATTGAAATGAATGTTTTTTTTTCAGTGTACCGCTATCCTTTTCACTATTTTTCTCTTCCGGAGGCGTGACAAATATTTCGTGGCTTTTTGTAGCTTTTGTTTTATTCCTTTTTGGTTTTCTTTTTGGTGCTAATGGCTGTGTGGCCCAGAACAGATAATGTGTTACGAAAGGTCCCGAAACACATACGTTTATTTGTATTTGTGCCTTCAGCTGCGCCTAAAAAAACATTACGTAATTGCGCGAGCTGTTTTTATAGTTGTTGTTGTTGTGATTCCCTGCACCCATTACATTGAAGTTTTAATGAGTTGTTAATGTCTTTTTTTGCCGCGGCGCAATTGCTTTGTTCTCACCTACGCACACAGTCGCACAGTCACACTCGCAACCGAAAGCCGCACTCTTGACTGTTGCATACTTCCAGGCGCCCAAATTAACCAGCACTGACTCACACGCAGACTCTCTCTCACACACACACACCACAAAGTCAGCATGTCCTGAATGCCTTTGGCCATGGCTTAGTTGTGGCCCCCTAAACATATCTTAGAGGGCACATTAGAACTGACTGAGGCCGAATTATAGCCACAGCTGCAGGTCATTGCAAAATTTTCGAAAATTTGCGCTGGGGGAAAATCGCAATTATAACGAGCAGCAGATGCTGCCGCTTGCCACATTTCAATTCTTAAAGCGAAATAGTTAAGTAAAATAAAGTTCCACAAATGCAGCTTTTTGGGTGCATGAAATCCGGATACAAATAATAACTCATCTGTACCACCTTTTTAATTTTCTCTCATTTCACAAAAGTTTGGCACTCAATTGTTTTATATCTTGTAACAAAGAAAATCCCAACTTAAAACAAAATTGGTTTGTTTGCTTGCCAAACAAATTTATTTGTATGTAAAAACTTTTTCAATTTATGCAAAGTGATTAAACGTTGCTGTTTTGCTTTAAAGTTGTTAAATAGTTTTAAGAGTTATTTAAGCTATTTAAACTACCTGCTTACAGTGCACAATATTAACTCCACTCACCACAACCACATTTAAATGGAAATTGTTTTTAAAGTAATTACTGCATTCCATTCGTGCTTTTTTATATACATGCCTGCATAACAATGGAAAAAAAACTGTTTCTATTTTTGTCAGGATAATTTCGTATCGGTACATATAATTAGCGTGGCACAATATTTTATTGGTAACACACATTTACGGTCACAACGGATAATTCATTGCTGCGATAATAGTACTATAGTATAGAATATTTACATTGTGAGCAACTTTTATCTATTGGTAGTGCGCATAGCCAAAGTGCCCATATAGTTGGTAAATCAAGATTTCGTTATTTTGAACACTGTTTCTCCGGTGTATTGATTTAAAGTCAGCTTCGATTTGCGTTGGTTGAATGACCATCACGAGGAGACGTGCATAAATAAAAGGCTTGCAGAAGGGACTCTGACTGGCTTTGGCTTTGGCTTTAGCTTAGGATTTGAATTCGAATTTCGCCCTGCTTAACTGAGCCAGTTGTCATTGTCAAAGTCCCAGGACCCTAGACGCAGCCCCATCCGCAATCAAAACCGCAAAAGCCACCGATCCACCAAACCACCAAACCACCATCTAACATCCCACATCCCACATCCCACATCCTCCGAGCAAGAACCACAGGCAATTCGAACTGGAATTCAATTTGCCATTCACAGGTACGAGGCGGGCAGACATCAGGCGGAGTTCGTGGACTGCCGCTACAACCAAAACAAGGGCTACGTGGTCTTTTCGGCAATGGGATCATTCTTCATTCCCCTCACGGTGATGCTGTACGTCTACGTTAAGATTGGTTATGTGCTCACATCACGGCGACAGCGCATTGTGCGCGATGCGGTAAGCTCCATCACTGTTCTCTATTACCCAACCCCTTCGACGAATGCAATGTCCCCTGAAATTTATCATGTCAAACCACATCCAACCAACTAACCACCCGACTAACTTGTCAAGCACTGGGCAAAATATCTTTATCTGTCAGCAAGAAACCAAGTTCTTTATCCAAGATTTTTTACGTCTTTAAATGTATATCTTCATGTAGAATTAAACACTTATTTAAATGTAATACTCTCCTTTAAATGGGCATTAATTTTTGGAACCATTTTTTTTATCAAGAGTATACCCTTCAATTTAAAGTTCTTATCGCTGTGAATTGAAATCGATATCATAAGCTTTCAGCTCTGATAAAAAAGCCTATTTGTTTAAAACTAAATGATGGTAAAGAAATTTTATATTTTTTCATTGTTTCGGTTTTCTAAAGAAATTCTATCTTGGTTTATTATAATCAGAGCTTTGTTTTATGAATAACCATCGCAAAAAGTATATTGAGTAAAATTTCAATGCCTTAAAAAAGTATTTAAAAAGACACATTTTATTATTATTTAAGAAATCAAAAAAAACCAAATTGAGTAAAATTTCAATGCCTTAAAAAATATTTTAAAAAACACATTTTATTATTATTTAAGAAACTATAAAAATTGGACTTGAAGGCATTGCTCATTAAATCCGCTGAAGACTGATGTGAAATGAGAAAAATTGGAAATATGTAATGAATGCCAAAAAACCCTATTCCCAGACATGCAATCTAAATTATTGCTTACTTTTTTGCCAGTGCTCTCACATTTCTTTTCCCTACTTTTTATGCCATTCAACCAGAACTCCGAGCGCACGGCGGACTACGATGTGGACGGGGACAACTTCATTTCGGAGTCGGAGCACTATCACTGCACGCCAACCAAGTGGCTGCCGAACAGGAAGTCCCGCTGGAGGTTCAGCTCGCTTCACGACCCACCTGCGAACATGACCAAGGGGCAGCAGTCATCCGTCAAGTGCCCCAAGTGCTCGACGCCGGCAACCGGAGTAGCAGTTCCAGCGGCGGCGGTGGCCGACAAAACGCTGACGTTCAAGCACCAGCCCACCTTCTACGAGCTGGTCGAGGTGTCGCGTCTCTCCTCGCTCATTCACTGCTCGGCAATTAGCTGCAAATACGGCGGACCCTGCATGCACTCCACGCCCTCTGGCCTGCACTACGTGGGCACGGATGGTGGTTCCTTCTCGGACACCTGCCTGGGTGCCAGTGCCTCCGCATTGGAGGTCAGCGAGAAACTGGAGGCGGAATCTCACGCCCACGCCCACGCACACGCCCACTCCCAGCAGAAGCAGAAGCAGCAGGAGCAACAGCAGCACCACCCACATGGCCATCATCATCATCATAATCATGGCTCCCAGAGCCATCACAACCATCATCATCGCATGCCGATGCGAGTTTCGACCACGAAACGTGATAGCAAGACCGCCAAGACCCTGACAATTGTGATGGGCGGCCTAATTGCTTGCTGGCTGCCCTTCTTCGTCTATTACCTACTGATACCGTTCCTGCCCCGGCCCGCCGTCCTCGAGGACCTCATGTTCGGCTTCACCTGGATTGGCTGGGTCAACTGCGCCATCAACCCCTTCATCTACGCCTTCTACAATCCGGACTTTCGCACTGCCTTCTGGCGTCTCACCTGCCGGCCCATCTGCAAGCAGAAGCGTCCGCCCAACCACCTGGCCATGTTCCGTGGCTAGTTTCCAGCAGCCGGAGATCAGGGAAGACATGGGAGTCATTTGGGCCACAGTCACAGTCACTAGTCGCACTATAGGAGCTCAGGTTGGGTGGGTTTGGTTTGGTGGCTACTTACAGGAGTTATCTCAGACTTATCTTTCACCCCTTTCTTTTTGCTGCTTCAACAACTTTCAGCTCCTCTGCTCACAAAACAAAGAGGAAAGTTAGAAATTGGCCAGAAATTCTCATGATAATCACATCACAATCAATTAAAGAGAACACGTCAATTTACTTAATTAATAAAAGGCGTTGCTCATGTGTACAACTAAAGTAATGTCAATTAAATACAATTTTAAAGTACATTTTATAAAAATAATAACATTACATTTCCATTTCCTTTTTATTGAAATGTCAGATTGGTAACAATGCCAATAAAATACAATTTTAAAGTCAATTTTATAAAAGATCACATTTAATTTCCATTTCTTTATTATCTGAAATGGCAAATTCTGTTGAAAAAGTAATGGTAATTAAATTCCATATTTGAGAATGAATTATTGTTTTTTTTTTTTGTTGAAACTGAAATTCCATTATTGGTATGTGCTGTTAAGCGCCTGACTGATTTTATTTTCACAGAAAGAATTAACTATCAGAAGCATTATTATTAACAAAAAATCATAAGTTTGTTAGAATGAAAGTGGTATTTGAGCAGATTAAGGCAATTCAGTGAGCTTTGAACGAAATGTTGGCTATTATCTCATGAATTGAGCATATTTTTCAAAGACTTAAGCTTTCCGTTACACCATTTCCACGACAAAGGCAGCTCCTAAAACTAAGATACCTACGGTCAATATTGATTTGGAGAAGACAGCCTTGTTAGGACGAGAAGATACCCTTTGAGGCTTCGAAAGCCTTTTGCTGAGCAGTATCTTTAAAGCCACTTCATGGCAGTAGCAGTAGCAGTAGCAGTATCTTTTTAAACCTAGTGGACTTGGCCGGAAGTCGAGATTCTCTCCTAGACCAGACCATCTCCATTCCCAATCCTATTTAGTATGTTCGTGCCTGAGCTTTGATTGTGCAAAGAACGAAACGATACAAAAGACAAATTATAGTATTTGCGAGTCTTTGTTGCCTGACGGCAACTGTTGACCATCAGGATGAGCAGGATGTGGACGATGCTGATGATGCTGACGAGGCTAGGCTCCTGTCGCCTCATCCGCCTTTGTTGTGTGCGTCTAGTTTGTGTGTAGTGTGCAGTGTGCAGTTTGTAGTAGGAAGTGTGCAGGAGCTGCCAACGACATTTCTGGCGTATCCTTTGTTGGCCAAGTCCGGTCAAGAGCGGCCTAACCCCGCAGGCACGGTACACGTACACAGTGTCCGGCCAACCCATTTAATGTTTTAGCAATCGCACGGCGCTCGGCGCACAAGCGAAAGCGAAAGTGAAACTGTAACTAAAACCGGACGGGCTGGCTTTAGAGCTGCACTTGAGCCTATCTCCACACCCAGACCCCATCCTCTCCACCCTCCTTTCCGACCTCCTATGTCCACACACTCACTAGGCTCGTTAAGCATTTTAGTCCAACTAATTTGTATAGTTGTATTATACATATATCATACTTGTACCCCACTGTGTATGTACTTTATAAATGTTCACTTGAAATGGATCTCTGTAAAGGACCTATCGGCCTGCCGAAAGAGTTCTGTCGAAATAAACTTTAAGTTAAATTCGAAGCTAGTTTTACTAAGCATGAAATGGGGGAAAGCTGGGAGGTTACTATGCCAAATACATAAAATATGCTCACCCTTTGGGCATTCAGCTATAAATTGTCACATAAAAGTTTTATAGACAATTTTGTGAACCATATTTTTCGATAAAAATAAAGGTAGTCAGTGAATGAAAATTTTCAAATATGTAGAACTAATATTCCCATTTTATTTGACTTTGCTTTTACTAGTTCTTAAAGTTATTGCAAAAATAAGACAGTCAACGAATTGTGTTCACTTACAGCTTAGGGATTTGCCAAATATTCTCGTGCAAGAAAATTAAAAAAAAAGCTGACTGCCCCCCCTTTGATAAGTATCTTTAAGTATTTCAATGTCTGAACTGCAGTCCGTAGTTCGGGTGATAAAAGCTTAGCCGTAGCCCCGGAAAAGTCTTTATTTGTTGGTCAAAAAGGGGTGGGGTTGGAGGGAGTAGCGCACTTTCCAGCGCAGCCTTGACTTCATTTTTTTGTGATTTATTATTGGAAGTGGTAACCCGGTGGCCGCCACTAAGTTGTTTACGGCAAAGAGGACGGAAGCAAAAGAAACGCTGAATCAGCGAGCTCTGAGTACGGATACGGCTACGGACTACGGACTACGGACTACGGTCTACGGACTACGGCTTTGACTCCGGGTTCCAGCTGGGGACTGCGGTAGCATTACATTAATTTAACTGGAAATAAGGCGTGAAAAAATATGCGGTCATCATAATTACATATACCCAGGCCCAACCTCCACCCTCACAATGTCCACGACCGCCCACATATGTGACTAATACAAAAGGCTGACAGGCGGGGGGCGGGGCAGGACTCTCTAATGAATTGCAACACATTGCGCTGTCACATTTCACTTTCGAGTCGAGCTCAGCGGAAACGGTCTCCCTTAATGCCCCCTGTCAACGGGCTGGAAACTCCGCCTGAAAACTCAGTGCGCCGTTTCGTAAATTTGGCTTTTTATAGCCGGTACTCGTCGAAAACAGGGGTATGTTGTGCAAAAAGGAAGTATTTGGGGTCCCATTTGGTAGATACCTACTAGTTAATTATGTTAAATGATCGATGGACCTGTAATCCACTTGAGTAAATGGATATATTATATCCATATCATCATGTGCGTGTGTTGAAAACAAAATATATAAACAAAATTAGTAAAACAAAAACTTGTCTAAGATTATTATTTAATAAAACCTAGTGTCTTACCCACATTTTACAAATTATTTAATGCAGCGATGCATGTTGTAAAATTATATTTTTACGCTAAATAAGTTCTGGCTTAGAAGAAATCAAATAAGGTTATAAAATTAATATAATAAATAATATAATATATAAATATAATACTAAATTTAAACAAATTTGATTTAACACCATTTTTTGTAATTTGGTTCTGTGTATAGGGTACATCTCATGCGAAACCTGCACACATCTCGTTGTAGCTTATTTCGCTTGGACCTCTACCTTTCTGCCGCTTTGTTGGCTGATATCGTATAATGTGTTTAATTAAATGGCCGCGGTTTCAGGTGAGAAAAGCCGAAGGACCAAAGGACCAAGGTACCAAAGACGGGAGAAGAGTTGACTGCCAGCCTGTCATCCGGTTTTCCGCTGCCTGTTGACAGGGTGCTTAGGCTAATTTTGTTTGTTGGCCAAAGATTTTCGGTTATGTCATGGCAGCAGTTGTGGCTTATGAGCACCAACACCAAAAACAACAACAAAATACATCGATATTTTTTGGGGAGCATTTAACAAGTGCTCGGGACAGGAAAAGTTTTCGCAAGCCCAACTCTCATGACAAATGCCCCGCAAATGTTTTTCGAATGAACTTTGGTTTTACTTCGCCAAGTTTTGTTCTGTTGGGCAAATAATGAGTCTGCTCAAGTGCCGCCCACTCTGCATGGAAATTGAAATTCAGGGACCTGGTTTCCTGCTCAGCCGATCAATTAATGTTATCCAACTTGGGCTCGGGCTCAATTAGAGTCTTAAAACTCCATTTAGAAGATGTTCGGCTGAAGCACCCACGCGGGATGGATTTTGGTACAGGGGTATATTATGGTGATTTTGATACAGGGGTAAAGAAATAGAGGGGCTTTGGGATGTGGCAGCGGCTAACATGAAATATTCATGGCTGGATTGGAGGGGGGTTAGCTCCACGTATTTATGGTTATTTTGCGCACCAAACACAACTTTACTCTCCAACCGAACTCCTCTGCAGCTTGGGGCTTCTGTTTTTCCGGGGTTTTCCCCTCCAATTCGTCGACTGGCTGGCTTCTGGTTAAATATAAATACACACAAGAACAAAAGAACACAAGAACAGAGGAACACACATGCGGACGACGCGGGGGAGTTGGGAACAGTACACTGTTCAGTACACTGTATCTGCAGTTGCGAATTCAATTTTGAGTCTGATCAATAATTCACGTTCCCCGCACTAACCATTGTTCCTGGCTACCGCTCTCCTAGTCCTTCTCATCTGACACCTTAAAGTGCTGGGGGGGCTTGAATAAAAAACAATCTCCGACTTTTCGAATTGTCTATTTATTTGTTCGGTTCCAAAAAATATTCCGTTCGTACACACAACTATTAATATATATGCAGATTATACGGATTATGTATGTGATATCAGTTGGTTTGAGAGTAGAGAGTTAAGTAATGAGAGTTGAGAGTTGATAGACGGGCGTGCGATGATGAGCTCCATCCGCCGTATTTGCTTTTCCGACGGGTCGGAAGACTTCTCACCCGAAGCATTTGTATCTGTATCTGTATCTGTATCTGTTTGACTTGCTATGCCTGACATGTGGGCAGAAATTCAGAAGGATTGACGCCACCGATTGAAAGCCTCTCGCAAAAAGGATGAACTGGGATGAGCTACAGTGCGTATACGTGTTCGCATGCTGATGAGCGTTCGTCTGACTTAATCTCTATGTCGTAGCATTGGTTGATTGCGTTTATGACTTCACACACCGCCGGCAATGGATGGAGTTAAAAGTAGATTGCTTGGTACAACACGACATTTATTCCTACTTGGGTTAGCTATGCTGTTGATGACCTGAATAAATTATGCCTTAAATTATATACGGTATTAAACCTCATTTGCACATACGCTTTCACTTCGTCACACACACACACACACTCGCACACGGTACTAAAGCTAAGGGAAAACTCTTGAAGTTCCAGCCAACTTCAACTATAAACTAAATCACAGTAACTGTTTTTGACTGGCATTCCGAAAGCTGATTATAGCTAATTCTCGACTTGATCCACCCAAAGGTTTCCACTGATTTCAGTACCTATGTTAAGTAAATGTAAATCAATCAACTAGTATTTTCGGAGTTTATGATGCCCTGATATCAACTATATGATATAGATATCATAAAGCACTAAATTTAAGTGCGATAGGGACCAGCTGCATCGCAAATTGGCAAAGGGAATGCAGAACTCGAGCGGACCGAAAGGTAACCGCCCACCACAAGCACACGGCTGAATTTCAGCGTATGAGCAATGTGCGCACTTTCGGCCAGCCATATAAACAAGTTTTCTCATCCATCTGAGCTGTCTGTGCCACTGGCCAAGTCGGGTTGTTCTGGCGCCCCAGCAAAAAGCCAACATCCAAGGCAATGTTGCCAGTTTAAAGGCGCCGCCCGCTGAGCGGAAAAGTCGCGCGGAAATTACTAAATCGATACGTGCTGCCGCATATCAGATTTTCCACGGGCTTCGCATGCAAAATTCCGGCTGCAAAAATACCTTGAGTCGTCGTATTGCGATTTTTATACAGTTGAACTTCCGTGAGTCTAACTTCTCTAAGTCAATTTTATGTAACGGAAGTGAACTCTTCATAACTCAATAGTTGAGGTTTTTCTTCTTACATATATCTATGATAACTTTTCGATTATGAACTTAATCACTTTTTGTCTTAAGTATGGGTATGTATTATAGATTTAACTAACTAAATAAATTAATCTTTTTCAAGTCTTAGGGTAATTATATAGTGTAATAATAACCTGAGATGTTTTAAGCAATTAATTAGTTTATCAATTTAATAAGATTAGTCATCTAAATAATTGTAGTCGGTCAGCCTAAATTATTACCATAGCTTTAATAGCAAAAATCCTTAGCTGTCTTAAGTAAAATTTAGAGCCTGAGATACTCAAGCCATTAAATTATTTTCTCCTTTAAAAAAGATACAATTTGTAAATGATTGCAAGTGTTGGGCTTAAAGAAGTTCAACTGTGGTCTGTAGAGGTCAACTGAAACCAGTGGAATTCGTGGTGGGCGAATGTAGTCCCTTATGTGGCAAATTGATACAGAATCGGAAGCAAACCCTCACGTTGAAATTAAATATATGCGAGAAACTAGAGAACAATTGGGTGGACGTGTGGTCTGGCGGTGCAATTGCGTACGAACCACACCTTGACTTAAGTTAATGAATACGTTAATGATACGTTATGCGCGGGCAATTTGTTCAGGGCTGGAAAGGGGGGTGAGGATGGATGATGAGGGGGTTCCCCTATCGCCTGATGGACATCGTGTTCGTGGGGAACTGCGGCTTCTGGCCGGCGCTGAAGAAGCGCTTGCAGGTGAGGCGCCAGAAGGCCGCCCGGAAGTCGACACTATAGAAGGCGTAGATGAACGGGTTGATGGCACTGTTGAACCAGCCCAGCCACGTCAAAGCCTTGGCCAGCATTTGGCTGGCCTGGTGCTCGGCCAGAAACGGTGTGATCAGGTAGTTGACGAAGAAGGGCAGCCAGCAGGCGATGAAGCCGCCCACCACAATGCTCAGTGTCTGCGTCGTCTTGTTCTCCTTCTTCAGCGACGTAATCCGATTGGACAGGGACTTGCTGTTGGTGTTGGCACTGCCACTGGTCTGGTTGCCACTGGTGGCGGTCACGCTCGCCTGGTGATGATAATGAGGATGGTGGTGATGGCTGCTGCTCAAGCGATCCCGCTCCCTTTCCCTGTGTGAATACCGAAAGCTGTGTGGACGCGGCGGCTGTAACAGGGATTGACTATGACCCGGCTGCTGGGACTGCCACTGGGCGTCCAGGAGACTGCTGACCGGCCCCATGCCACTGGTCATGCTGGTGATGGTCGACGAGGTCGTGGAAGTGCGCTTCAGCGAGGAGGGCCTTGTGAGTTCGTAACACCCACTCTTGGCACAACCCGTTGGATCAGCTCCGCCAGTTCCTTCTCCGCCGGAGGGCAAAGCAAGCAGAGATTGACAGTGGGTATGGGTGTGGGTGTGTGTTTGGGTCCCTCCAGCGATGGTGGTGGTAATGGTGGCACTAGCTCCTCCCGGAGCACAATTGTCGCTGTCGCTCAGCATCATGTCGTGCAGCTCCTTGGCTATCGTCTGATTGGAGAAGGTACGCGAGTTGGCCTGCCTCTGGCGCTGTCCCGGTCCCGGTCCCTGTCCCTGTCCCTGGCCCATGGAGTTGCCCTGCTCCACCTCCGATAGCTCGTTCTCCACGTCCGCCGCCGTGTAGCGCTTGAATTTCTAGACACGCAAAGTGCACAAGGCGGTTAAGTCAATGCGGATGATAAATAACTAAAGTGAAGTCAATGGGCGGTAAAAGCAGTAAGCGGTAAGAGATGAGCGGGAGGGGTAGGGGGGAAAACCGGATGTCACGCGAGGAAAAGCCGAAGCTTTAAGCACTCTTGTCTCTTCAAGGAGACATGTGGCTTAGCACTGAGTTCTAAGCTCCTTTAAGGCTGCACACACATAAATATCCCACCAGCATTGTTATATAAGCTGTCTGTATGATGCGATAATCTCTGTAATTTAAGGATATGTAACATAGGGCTAGATTTAATGGGAAATGTAGCACACCTTTAATTCAGTGGAAGTGAATTTTAAGCCAATTTGAAATTGCACACAACAGACACATGTACATGCAATTTTCGAAGCAGACTTAGCTATTTAGGGATAAATGTAAAAGACTTTGAAGTCGAAGTTGCGATTACCTTTTTATTTTTTCTATAATATTTATAATTTCACTAACTACTATAAACATTAAAATAATTTATATATAATTGTTCTAATTATCGAGAATACTAGAAGGTTTAAGGTTTAACATTTTCGAAATAGGCCAGGATGGAAAGTTTACAAAGGATTTTGTAACTATTTCCCATTTTAATGAAAGGGTAGCTTAAAACTCATTAAGTTCGCTTCATGGGTGGCCTAAGTTCAAGTGAAAAACTTGCTTTATAGCGGCCACTAAGCCGGACCAACGGAAGCTGTGCGCATACCCGGAAATACCAGGGTATGGTATTTAAATCTGTGTAAGCTCCTGGCGCTTGGGAATTATGAAGCAAACGTGCCGCAGTTTGTGAGGTACGTGGAGTGGCCTTTCGAGCCGGAATGGGTTGCAATGTAGATGACTTTGGGGGCTGGGCAGCTGTTGTTGTTCTTCCACAGCCGCTGTGGTTTCCCAACTCCGTGTATTTGTGCATTTTGTTGGCTTTGGCGTGGAAGAGGGGAATCGTGTGGGGTATGGGGATGAAGCGGGTGTTTTGGATGGCTGCGAAACTTACCTTGTTGTGAACACTTATGTCGGTCATATTGTCGTGCCGGGATGCAATGACACAGGAAATTCTTGCATACACATAAATCATGACCGCCATGGGTATGAAGAAGGAGCCCATGGCCGAGAAGATGACGTAGCCCTCGTTTTGGTTGTACCGGCACTCCCGCAGGTCCCTTCGTCCCGGCTCGTACCTGCAGGAAATGAGCATGATACAATTAATGGGCGACAGAGTCCACTAATGCAGGGATACAGGAAGTTCTCAATTATTTGCATCCGCAGCGAAGTCACAAGGCCAGATAATTTTCACCTAATTATATGCGTTTGTTCAGGCAGGAGTGAATCCTTCTTTTAATAAATGTACTTGCACTCAACCAATTTTACACTGTTAAAGTCAAAGTATTGTAGACTGAATTTTATGACATTTCCAGCTGTATGCTCTTAATTTTATAATGCTTTAATAGACATAAACAAATACAAAGCGTCTTCTAATTATTTTTGTTTGTTTATTTGGGACCTAAGAGTTGTGTTGCTGCCAAGAATTGTAAATGAAATTTTAAGACCTTTTGTAATAAAACTTTGTAATAGGTTAAAGGACTTAAATATATACAAAAGACTTTTAATTATATTTGTTTATGTAGTTAGACAAGTTAGAGTCCGACGACAAGGGTCGCTAGCACAGAACAAAATTACTTTGGCCAAATAAAAATATAAAAAATTGCTTGAAAGTATGTATAATAAATATATAATACAAAAATGTATGAAACTGTTTCAAAAGATGTTAAAACTTGTATTTCTTTTAAAAACAAGTTTTAAATTGTTTGATAAACTGAAACCTTAAGTGGATTAACCATTATTTTTAAAATAGTTCAAACTTATAGCAACTTGAAAATGTTTCTCATAATGTTCTTTAGCAGTTGATAACTAAGTGACAATAAATAAAATTTTCTCAGTGTACTTACCAACCCAGGATGGGGGGACAGGTGATGGCCAGTGCCAGTAGCCAGACGATAAGGATCATGATTAGCGCCAATCTTTTCGAGCGCCGTTTACGGGAGTACGTGAGCGGCCTGGTCACGGCCAAATATCTGTCAGATGGATGGAAAGATGCAAAGACTTACGATTTACGAGTCGGGGGAATATGTATATAGGGGCGCGTCCCGGCGGCTGCTCACCTGTCCACGCTGATGGCGCACAAGCTGAGAATGGAGGCCGTGCAGAGGAGCACGTCGAGGGAGATCCAAATGTCGCAGAGCACCCAGCCCAGTTGCCACGAGCCTGCAATCAAGATTCCAAATTAAAAACTTTCGCCAGCCAGAGCGGGTAGCGGCAACTTAAAATTCCTGTCCAAAGTCAATTTGATTAGCAACATTTTGCCGGGCTTTCAGCAAATGCCTCACCTAAGGCCAATTAAAACGGTCAGCTCGGCAAATTTTGGCAACATTTCGGCTCCAGGTCCCCTTGAACCCGTGCACACAGGCCCCGTTAGTGGTTTACATCTACTCCAAGATCTCGACCACTTGACTGCTCGGCTACTTGGCTACTCCACACAGGCATTGAATTTGTGGCCACTTTGAGCAGTGGCTGGTCGACCGATTAATTTTTTAATCAAGTGCCCCTTCAATGGTCTCCGCGCAGCAAATGAAAAGTTGTTTTTGCCAAAAACCCGGGAGTAAGAACCACAAAGGAGCTAGCTCATTAGACCGATATGGGCAGTGGGCAGCACACTTGGTTTGGCTCAACGTAAGGATGCAGTTTTACCAAAGTTTAAGTCACAAGGACTTAAAATTAATCAAGAAAAGGCACACAATATGTAGTAAACTAAAAGTCTATGGTATTACTCAAACAAATGAAGTTCACAGTAATTAAAATCTTCCTTTTAAAAAAACAACTGGAATATACCCTCAGGTTGCAAATACAATATGATTGTCACCAGCTTGTATTTACTTAAGCTTGAAAAATAAACGTTTAACTTCGACTTTAATTCATTATCATAACATTGCAAAAATATAATAATGTTGAAATATGGTTTACCTTAAAATTACCTCCGGGCATAAATAATTATTACTGAGATTTAAAAGGAATTTTCCCAGGAAAAACTTGTAAGGTAAATACGCGAAATAATTTCAAAGTTTAAAAAAAAAATAAAACGCTGACCGAAGTTAGTTGAGCATACATAAATAATGATTTATTCATAGATTATCCAATTGCCATAATTTGCATTTATCTCTATGAATTATCCAACAAAGGGCAACTATTTTCTGAAAAGGACGTTTTATTCCATTTTCGGATTATCAGTGGTCCGGATGATTATGACAAACTTTCGGCATGCCGTGTTGCCTTTAAGGAATTCCACAAAGTTGGGCTCGGGAATTTTCCCCTTTTTCGACTGCTCGCTTTTTTTCAGCTGCGGAAATTGCACGAGGGCGAGGGCAAAAATGAAAGAAATTCTTTCGGTTCAAAGAATACAAATCCATAAGGCGAGAGAGATACATACTCGCATATTCCACCTAGAAGCATTTACATAAATATGCGGGGCGTTTGCCCCGCCCCTTCCTGACACTCCTACTTCTCCGCCTTTTTTCTTACCGTGTCCGTGCTCCTATTTCTGTTCGTGCCACCTTGTTAGGTTACACTCAGAACCTTATATTTTTTACAACAGAAAGGTCCTGCTTTTATTTTTAAAGTATACTGTACATTTTTATTATGAATTTTGCAAACAAAACTTTTTTCACGTTGTTAACAGAAGTGTACAAAGAAAAACACATAAAATTTGTTCACTCTTGCAAAATCCAAGTTGTCTCAAGTAAAAATTATTTTTAATCCATGTAAATTTCGTTAACTTGTAAAACAAACGCTTAAAATTTCGAAAACAATAGTTTAATTTAATAAAAAGGAACTAAAAAATATTACATTACAAATTAAATGTTTTTTTCTTTAGAGAAGAGAGTAAACCAAAACGGCACAGCCATATTACTAAAATTTTATTTTTATAAACATGTTTATTAATTCGCGAAAAAGTTATTGTTCGTGATAAACAACTTGTTTAAATTTAGGAAATTCGTTAATAAAAAAAACTTTCCTTAGAAAGATAACTTGTTTATAGGTTGAAAAAAGTCTTCATTGATAAATAATTATTTCTGGGAAGCCCTCCTTAAAACATTCTTAAATTCTGTACGTTTCTCGTGATGGTCCCATTAATAAAATGAATTTTTGAGCAATACTTTTTAAGAATACCCCTTTTGCTTTTATAAATCGCTGGTTTTACCTCACTGAAGTACAATGTTCCTAATTGCGATGCGTTTTTCTCAAAGTGTAGCCTGCAGCGGTTCCGGGCGAAAAGCTTTTGTTAGCAATTTTTTGAGGGATTTGCCGGAATGGCATCTTCATCTGGTAATCACGCGAAAAGCCCAGCAAGCGGCGCCTCCATTCGCGGAAGGACCCTAATGCCTTAATGGCATCGCCACACACTCACCCACAAACTTACATACTCACTCATCCACACAACCACCCACCTACCTACACAACCACCCACCTACCCACACACTCACCTGTGAGATGGACGGCGACGGCGGGGGGCATCACGAAGATGCCCACGAGCAGATCGGCCACGGCCAGACTCATCACAAAGCAGTTGGTGATGGTGCGTAGCCGGCGCGTGGTCAATATGGCCAGTATGACCAGCGTATTCCCGATGACGGTCACCACGATGAAGGTGGCGAAGACGGCAATCAGGATGATGCCCTGCCAAGACAGCACCAGGTCGTAGAAGTGCTCCCACTCGGTCGCCGCCGCCGACTCGTTGTAGTAATTGAATGTGGTCGCTGGTGCTGTCGGTCCGGGTTCGGTGAGAGCTACTGCATCCGCGCCGCCAGCTGTCTCATTGATCGAATTCACATTGGCATTCGCTCTGGCATCCTCGTACACGATGGATATGTTCTCCGGCTGCCCCGACCCCAATCCCGATCCCGATCCCAGTGCCAATCCCCGCAGGGAGGAGGCGGCCACATACATGAGCGATGGATATATGGCGCTTAAGTTATTCAGCTGCAGGTTGACAGCCATGAGTCCGCTATCGAGTAGTACTATCCCTGGCAACAGCCTGCCTAAGCCCTTCCATATCCTTCCATTTCCCAGAAGCAGGAGCAGGCGCAGGAGCAGCAGCAGGAACTGGAGCTTGTGGGCCTCTGGTAAAAGCAAACTGTTGTCATTGTATCAACTGCAATCAAGAGAAAGTGCTACAGTTAGTATGCTGTTAAAATGGTAATCAAAGGGAGTCGAAGGAGTGAAAAAACAGACATTTTTAATGCCCAGTTTATTTATTTTTATTTTAATTTGCCATGCATTGTCTGTTTCATTTCTCATCTGACAATTTCCGTAATCAAATTGATTTTACTGAATTCAATATAATTTCGTATTCAATTGCAATCATCGAAATCATCAATTTAATTTATTTCCAGTTAAGCGTCGGCGTTTTACTAGTTTTTTGCAATACAGCTGGAAACTAGTCAAAGTCAATTTAATTTATAGAAAATCGTTACTTTGAGTTGCCATCCTCAACAGAGTCCCTTTTTGTTTATTAAATAATACATTCAAACTTATAGTCAGCAATTAATCAAAGTATATATATTCTATAAAGTTATACAACTATTTTAGCAAATTTTGCATTGGAAACAAAAACGCACTTTGGTAATAAAAAATAATTCATGGAGCGAGGTACCAATTAACGAAATGTTTGAATTAAATTGTTATAACAATTTCTGCAGAAAAACAATTGGCAATTCATGTAGTTGTAAATCCAATAATAAAAAAAATCCAAGCCGCAAATGTAATAAATTTCTTACAAAGTAACAGAACCGTGAACTACATCGCAATTTATAAATAATAAATTTCCACCAATAATTGTTATAAAATGGAATATTTTGTGAAATTTAAAAATTTATCAGGCACTCAACTCAGTCATATATTTTTATTATACGTAAACCTAGAAAAATATTTGCGTTTAGAGGTTTAGAGCGGTGAAGTACCTCAGTGAAGGTATTTCTTTGCGTTAAGTTTAAAAAGAAAACTAAGAATAGTTTTACAAACTTTATTTGGAGGTGTTACCTCAGTGTTTTGACTATTTTTCCAGAAAGTTTACAGTTTATTTACACACTCGGGGGTAACCGATCCCATCTAGATTGTCACTCGTTCGCCGGATTGAGCAATTCATCAACGAAACTTTTCCAACATTCACTATTTCCACTTTCCACCACACCCGCACCCTCCACGTGCACTTGGGTGATAAGATTGATACTCGACGAGAGCTTTATTGGATTTCCGCTCAAATTATGTACGGCTATAGCTATTGCTATATACCGCCGGAATTATATTGGAATACAGCCGGAATAAACGTTGCCCGTCGCGAGCGCGGATGACTGTTGACTGAGTGCAGACCCCAAACCCCAGAAACCAGACCCCAGACCCACTGGCAAGGGCTGGCAGTTCGACACTTCTTGCCACTTCTGTTGACAATAATTTGGCATTAAGCGTTATTTATTCAGCGGCCGATAGTGTGCGTTGATTGCGACTCCTTGTGAGCGGCTGCGGGCTTGGATTGTGTGGGTGCGATAACCAAATTAAAACTGATATCGCCATAGACTAGGTGGCGGTGGTTCCAAAGGCGGAGGCGGGAAATGGGCAAAATCGGAGACATGCCGATGGCCAACGAATTTCCCGCAAAAAGGGAATAATTCAGCAGAACAATTTTCGTATTCAATGTGTGTGGGATGATGGCAAAAATATTGACTTAAGACTCTTTAGCTCAATAAAAACACATCTTTAACATTGCATATTCAAATGTGTGTGGGAGTTGGTAGAAATATTCAAGATTTCTTCTTAACCATAACACAAGAAAGGTTGCTCGTAACTCAAGGAAGTGGAAAGGGAAATAACAAATTTCATTATAACAACCACTGAAAATGACGTAAAATGTTCAAATTTGTATTTGATTTTGTAGTTTTTATTTTGTTTTTAAATTGGTTTTTTAAAGTTAAAAAAAAAATCAATTTCCAATGACGCCTTTATATCTAATAGCTTAAAGTTTTAAAACGTTTGAATGGCTTTGTAGGCTTGATTTTTGAAAGAGCATAGTTCAATTCGTTCACCCTTTTTCACCCCTTTTTTTCAGAGGCTTTGAACGTTGACGCGGAATAGCCATAAAAGAGCTTATCGCTCACATGATAGCAATCTGGCTGGGGACGAGGTGCCAGGAGGGGAACTTTTACTATTTTATGCTGCGGCTTATGGGTAAATATTTGACCAGCCTAGTGACGTACTCAAAGGTGAAACTGATTAATTAGATACGATGCGATGCGATGCAGAGCAGAGCCCACGGTTGTCTGTCATGGCCAAGGTATCGATCGAACCGAATGGAACGCAAAGGTATGTGTCATCCCCGAAAGATAACGTTCATTCTTTCTTTCGTATTTTCGGCCGTAATTGAGTTCACCCGATATCTACATATGGCTTATGAAATTCCAATCACTCACACAGGGAATCTCGAGTGTGCCATTGCCACCGAACCCCCGCTGGAAATCAAGTGTATTTTGAGGGGGCTTTAGTCCCAAAATAGATGTGTGAGCTCAGTGGGCAAAAGGTGGTCGGGATTCCGGCCAGAAGACCTACGATCAGGGTTCTGGAACGGCCTTTGGCGGCAGCCCATCAGCAGTTGACCGCGATAAGCAATGGCGTTTTTATGACCACTTTGATTGATAATCTAATTCGCAACTCAATTGCCAAGTTTGCACGAGCAGAGCCCCCTAATCGGGGCTCTTGGTCCGTTCCGAGTCCCGTTTTCACTGTCATTTCCATGACAATGGCAGCAATCAGCCCTGAGTTCACCCTCTAGTGCAGTGGGGCTGAGGCCAAACTATTTCCTCAAAGGCTGCAAACTGAGTTACCAAAATCCAATTATTTTGCTGTAAAGAACAAACTTATGAATTTCTAATTGATGCCGAGCTCATCCTTTGGCCAGCTCAACTTGAAAGATCAAGGCAAAAGTTTCCGCTGCCATTGGCCGGGTCATCAATCAGAACGGCACTCATCTCCGGCATTAGATAAAGCTGTATCATTGATGTTGGTGTCCATGGAAGATTTATTTCACACTAAAAGTTCAACCCAGTAAACAAGGGGCCAAAGTGCTCTTTGTATACATCAGAACTGTGTCGACAATATGTTTCAAGACAGATCCGCAGAGAAAATATAATTTGTAATATTAAGCAGTTTCTTATGATAAGTTTCTATCTACCTTTAAAAAAATAGAATTATCTTTCAATTACAAATCTTATTTTTTAAGTCATTGCACACTTATTTATCTCATGTTGATTTTTATTATGACTGAGATAGCTTCTGAAATCAGTTATATAAATCTTAAATTAATAGAAAAAATATATTGCCGTTCAAAGGAGTTTTAAAAATTATTTTGTCTGCAGCCAATTATTAAAAAGGACAGATCTGACCGGAAAGCGAATATTTTGGCTGCGCTGCCATACATATTTACTTATTTATGCTGGCTCATCGTTGCTTATTATATAGAGATTTTCCAGCATTTGCCAGCTGGCGTCCTTCACCTTATTTCGCTTTAATTGACCAAGCATCATTTCATTCGCGTTATTAAGAGATATATTTTTTAGAAATGCCAGAAGGGCACTTGGGACACTTGCAAGGCCAGTTAAATTGACTTTGGCAAGAAATAATTTCTGATTTTTTCGGAATGTGTGGAATGTAATTTTGTGTGACATAAGAAAAACTGCTGAGTTCCCTCAAAAAATTTATTTGACCCACCCACACATCCAGCATCGCACTTCCGTTGAACATTTGTTGCAATTTACGGCTAACATGGCGTATGTGTAATGTGCATGTGAAATAATATTTCATTTGCATTCGACAAATAAAGGGCGGAGAGCAAAAGGCGGAGAACGGAAGGCGAAGTAGGGGCGCCATTCAGCCACAGGCAAAAGGACCCCCGCTGACGTCAAGCACCCAGTCAGCCAATTGAAGGCACTATTTATTGAGACTGTCAGACACTTATTTGTTCTTTTTATTTGGCAGTGCCATCGGAGTGTTTAGCGGAAAGCATTTATCCATTACCCGGTCCTTGGTCTCCTCCGATATATGGCAATGCAAATGTCACCAAACCCAGCTCTCCGCTCACTTTGCACACCTCAACTGGGTGAAGTTGAAGGGGCAGCAGCGCAAAAGAGTCCCACAGTCCTACAGTCCTACAGAAGGGTCCTGCAGAAGGACCTTCATTGCGCTGTTTACTTACTTAATGCAATCGCTTTCCTGCGCAGTCCTCCGCTTTCATATCAAAACATTCCGCATTGTTTTATTGACACAAAGCTGTTATTATTTTTATTGCCAGGTTGGTATTTTTTATGATTGTTGTTTTATATGAGGAGTCCTATTTAATTGGATACTTTATAAGTGCACTACAACTGCAATTGACGGAGAAGCGGCTGCGACCACTCGTTCACATTTTCATTGTATTTTCGTATTTCAAATTTGAAACTTTTGCATTTGTTTATTTGTATTTTTGCCCGCGTGACGAACGATTCGCGCTTGCATTCAAATTAACGTTATCGGTTAAGGTAAGCCGCCGGCTGATCAATCGGATTCTCGGATTCGGAATTTTGGATTCGGATGATTGAAGACCCCCACGCGGTTCTGGACTCCGGCGGACCGATGGCCCTTGCGATTCCAAATGCGATTGCGATGGACGACCGCCTCGGTTGAGCGCTTGAGGAAAACTGAAAACAGAAAACAGAAAACCGAAAAGCTGAAAAGCTGAAAACTGACGACGAACGGAGAGTCGACCGAAGTCGTCACTACGATTCCAGTGAACTGTACTGTGGATCGCAAGTTGGCGGGCATGCATGCAAACACGCGACTTTCAAAATAATCCTGTGCTGCTGCCTCTGTGCTCCTGCCTCCTCGTATTTAAACAATTGTCCAAAAACTCGAAATTTGAATATTCAAATGCCTCTCGCACCAGAGCGAAGCCCAGTTAATTCCAAGAACAATGTTTAATTAAGCCGTAACTAACGCCTTTTCGTTGATAAGAGCACTGCGTTCTGTGGGGGTCCAGCAGACGAGTTTTACGAGAATTTCATAATGAAAACATAAACGATTTCGCGGGTACTCAGGAAATCTAAATTAAGACTTTTATGGTAGCCTTATAGACATAGGCAAAGATATAGCGAAGCGTGCACAATCTGGTCGGGTGTGCGGTCCGGCTCTATCTATCCATATATATAGTATATTCCTATATCGGTCTGCGGGGCCTTTGTTTGTACATTTTATAACTTGCAGATGCGTCTCCACGCGGATTTCGCAAATGCTCTTACTACACACTCATAATGAGTAGTGGTTAAATTCGGTTGTATTCGATGGCGTTCCACAGGTTCATTGTTCAATGTAAATGCGTTCCACCCACGGTTGGCGGTAAGCTGCCCGATATGGAAGGTAAACAAAGGCATGCGCTCTTCATCGTCTGCAATTCAACGAAACAGTGGCAATGGCACGCCGCGAAAATGAAAAGTGGGTCCCAGGACAGAGGGCCGGTGGAACTAGCGGAATTGAAACAATGAGGTCCGAGAGATCCATTGGATTCTAGCGCCAATAACACATTTCAAATCTACCTATGATTTATTTTTAAAATTTTTTCTTTTGGAATTTCTATAACATAAGAAACTTTGCTCATGCTTCAAGTAACATACATAGTAGAGCCCTTCATGATCCACTTATGTTTTTTAAGTCATAGCCCGAGGGGCTCATGACTCCTTGGAATCATAGTCAATTATTATAGTAATTATTATAATAATTATTGTAAAAGCAATGTTATCTAACGAGAATGGGACAATAAATTCATTAAGTATATATTAGCAATTTAATTTTTATATGTTAAATTCCCCTCATTGTTTTTAAAAATTATAAATGAAATGTTATTATAGTAACGAACTGCAAGGAGTTGCTGTAAAAATACATTTAAATGTGCAGCTTCCATTTTTATAAATTTTTTCTGTATTAAGTTCAAGTTTCAAGAGCATTTAATGTATTTAATTGTTCTCAAAGGCTTGTTGCCCAGCTTGCGGCGCTGTTGGTAATCCCTAAATCAGATCCAAAAGCACTGCATACATTCGGGCTGTTTTTCAAAGCATATTTGAGCATTGGTCAAAAACTAACCTTGGCCAACTGGAAAATTCTCAACGGATTGAGCTCTGACCAACGGCCAGTGGTTAGCACTGGACATCACTTAGATTGATTAAAAGCGGGCAATCTGTGCGGTTCGGGTACGTGACTCTGCGGAATGGCTGCACCTAATTGGTGTCTATGCGAAGGCGATGATCCCGAAAGGCTAAAGGTCAGGGAGTAGCAGGCACCGAAAAATAACTTCTGGTCGTGGACAAAGTTTCGCAACATCATTTAATTATCAACTGCACGTACATAAGTGAGTTTGCAGTGTCAAGAAGGTCGTCACCCGCTTCCTTTCCCATTTCCCGGCCAACTTCAAGGCTGGCTGAAAGTTTTTCCCCAACCCAAGTTCTGGCGAAAAAACTTTCCATTTCTATGCACCAGACTTGGCAATGGCAATGCTAAATTGAGTTTAACAATTTGTCTTAGTGGCACTTGCAATGGTTTCAGTTATTGCCTGACAAATCGCTTCCCCACTTGTTGTGGTGCATGACACTCACGCTCTCCCGTTTCCCACCAGTGCACTTGTACAGGGCATTGGGTGGAACTCGCAGGACACAATTTGCCGCCTAATGTCCTGGCACCATGTGTATTACAGCGTCATAAAGTTTTAATTTCGCCAGCATAATTAGTCTGGGGAATTGGCGGAAGGAAGCCCTATCCCAGCTTCTATCGCTTTCCCGGAACTCAGTAAGTACCATTTGCACACAGTAAAAAAATTACAAAATGTATTTTTTATTATTAAAAGTATTCATTTTATACACTCCTTGCAGGGGAATCAATTATTGTAATCAGAAGTCAAATGTTATTGATGATGAAAGTGTGAAAATGTAATGATATTGTCGGAATATTTAAATAGTCTGTTTTCTTTTTATTTAGGCAGTTTTCCCTTTATCCCAGGGTTCTATTTTTCGACCTACATATTTTGTCTATAACAGTATTTAAAATTTATTAATTGACTTAACATTTTTGCGCGTTTTAACTGAAAGTTAAATTTTATTAACTACATATTTAATATAGCGCTTAAAAAATAATTTGGGCTTTCAAATGTAGCTCTTCAGAAAAAAACCCTAGCTACATCTCATGCTCTCTTTTACTTAATTAATTTATATAAATTGGGAAAGCACGTCTTTTTTTCAAATGTCAATTGAATGTGTAACTGAAGCTGGCGAAACAAAACATTTGGATTAGATGACCAATTTCAGTAATTTTTTTCCTTGTGCAAAGCCTGTTAAAGTTGCTTTTAATTGATAGGTGAACGAACCCACTGGGTCCCTAATGTAAGGCGTGGCCGCTTAGAGACGGCTAAGGCCAGAAGCTATTAATAATTTTCAATCAATAAGTGTAATATTATTCGCGTCAACTGGATCAGCGGAATCAGAACAGAACAGGACAGAAACTGGATGCAAGGACAATTGGATGGGGGCCAGCAGACAGAGACTATATACTCCGATTACGGTTACCAGGCCCTCGCAAATATATATATTCTTTAAATTTGATTCTCGAGCACCCTCGACTTTTGTCATCTTCTTTTCAATTTATTGTTCCCCTTCGAGTGGCCTTCGGGCCGGTCATTCCGGCCAGGACTTTCCCACCCATGCCGTTCCGGTATTGTCCGTTAAGCAGATTTCCAGCTTACATTGCGTGCTGGTGGAAAATTGGTAGAAGTTCACAAAGGACCTGGTACCGGCCTTTGAGGGCGGCTTAGCCAACGGATGAGGGGGCGTGGCACCCTAGCATGCAAATAGTGCAAAAATACGATTGATGATAGACCCACCCCCCGATCGACCAGCCAGGCATTAATTGGTTAATCAAGTTTACAACTGCCAAATATCCACTGGTGAAAATGGCAATTTCGGCTGTGGCCATAAATGTGCGGAAGCCCCAGGAACAAATGACCCAGACCCAGACCCATACCCAAACTGTTTTGTGCCACGCAGAGCAACCGCAAAAGCCGCACAAACACTAAATGCGTTGACCACGGAAAAACCAGAGCGCCGAAAACAGAAAACATTATTGGGAATTATGGGGCAGATGCACAGGAAGCTCACTAGGGGGAGGGCCCAAGTGGCCAGAGTGATTTATGCGCATATGAACTGAGATAATCTATTTGTAAATTATGAAAAATTTAATTTTCCATAGAAATTCTGATTTCGTTTGAGCGGAGTGAGAGTGCTATAGGTTTAGGCATTGCATGAAAATCATCAATGATTTAAAAAGAATCATAAAAAAATGCAAATTCAATTATTTATTAGTGGCTTATGTTGCAGTGGCTGTCTGTATAGCATATATTTTTCTTAAACTTATGAATTTTGTATTCACTAAATTTTATTAATAAGTTGGTATCCCTACAAAATTTAGAAAATATGAACAAAAAATTGTATATACATATTATATATGCAAAAGACTTTAAAATAACTTTACCAATAGTTTTTAAATTCATATAATCGTTTTGAGAACCATTTGTAAAGTAGAAGTAGCAATAAATTAAATGATAAACGGTTTTTAATCCCTGGGTAATAACAAGTGCCAGTGAAATCGGATTGCAACTGAAGGATTTGTGTGTTATGAGAGCCATATGCGCAGTGATAATCAGGCAAGCTTGTGACCTTATAAGTATAAGCTCTTCCGGTGGAAATGTGTCAAATATTTAATACACGGTTCGTTTTAAAGTAAAGTCCTTTGGAAGCGAAGGCCAACCAGATCGGGGAATTGTGCAGGCCTGAACATCCGAGCGATGTACTTGACTGTCCGTGGCTGGTGGCTGAAATTCCGCCCGACTGCGGTGGCAGCCATAAATAATGCCACATGAAGTTTAAAATGCAATAATGAAATTTATTAAGAACTTATGCGGAGTTAAAACACCGAAGACCAGCGACGACCCTCGGGCGGCAAGCCAATGCCAGTGTAAACACGGTCGGCAGAAATCACGGAGGCCAAGGAGAGTGGAAGTGCAGATACTCTTGCAAATCGGAAAGTCCCTAAGTTGGCTGCAACTTGTGCGAAAGTTGCAAACTTTTGCTCGACAAAAGTTTGCCGCTCGGCTGCCGGAGCAATGGATGTGGCGAGGCGGAACAGTTGACCATATGGAAGGGTATTATGGCAGCGTAATTTACGCAGCATGTTGCCACACATGTGGCCAAGCGAATCGGGATGACTGAGGGGCGAGCATAAAGGCCCGGCTCTTCCGTCCGAACGACCTGTTCCGCATCGGCATCGGCAACGGCATCGTCATCCCTTTTCCCCGGATCCCACAACTCCAGGGCCAAGCACTTACGTAAATGCCTTAGGGCAAAAGTTTTTCCCCTTTGTTGTTGTTCGGCTGTTTTAAAAGTCCCGAATAATTGAGTTTTACGCATAATTTGCTTTATTTTATTTTACTTGGCGAGGCATCCGTCCTGATCCCCTGCAGAAAAACTGCCTCGTGTGCGGTCCCCCACAGAGGTAAACAAACCAATCAATAGTCTCGTTGCGCCTCACCTAATGTATCTGCTGGCCGGGATTATCATAATCCAAATCGGATTGGAATCGATAGTGCAATGCGCAGCAAAATCCTCGGTTTTGACAACACTAATTAAAATGAATTATTTAAGGGGAACGCTGGGAGGAGATGCAGCGATTTGGGCAAACCAATTAAACTGCCCGATGTCCACGTCAGTTGGGATGCACTCGGTTAGACACAGATAGCTACAGCATAAATCCATTTATAATTAATTCTTACAAATGAATGTAATAATTTAATATGCCCGCATTACCAGCAACAAAACGTTGATCATCCAAACTTAATGGCCGGCAAAGCAATTATGTGATGAATTATAAATAATTCATGGTGCATATGTGTCTGCCTTGAGAGCGCATCCTCTTTTAGAATCCCCAGAGAATTTAATCGATTCGCTCAAACCTCTTAAAAATGTGTCCATTAGTTGGCAGTTTAAGTGGGGGGAGATTAAGTGGACTCTAAGATAAAATTTTAAATGGAAGGCAATAAAAAAGATGAACATTTCCCATCCGCAAACTTCCATTTCCAAAACAATCGCTTTTTAGTTGGGCTTAAAGATTCCATTTAATATAGTAGATGATACAAACATAATCATAATACATGCTTACGCCTCCATATAAGTAAATATATTTATTTTTTTAACACATTTACAATTTATTATTGAACCTTACAATGCAGCTTGGCAAAGGGGGAATTATTGTTTTAGATTCTATTATTACAGCTCGTTTAGGGAGTTTTGCGCCAGCTTGTGCTCCTATTTTTGTTCCGGCCTACACTCCTAACCCATTTTCGGATCATTCTATGTCGGGCGAGAGCAACACCTCGAGCATAATGTATATAAGTATATTTTTAACACCTTGGTATTCGCAGAGGTAGGATAACAATTGTCAGATGTTCACTGAATATGAGAAAATGCATTTCATACATTTCATAGGATGCGTTGTCCACCCAAATAACAGATGAAACCGCTTTCGGTGGTTCGGTGTTGTGTGGTTTAGTGGCTTAGGGTGGTGGTAGATGGTAGATGGTAGGTGGTCAAAGAGCTTAGCATACACTTGAAATACTGCACTGAACAATGATTAATGTTAATAACCAACCAGACTATAACATATAAATATTCATACTTAAATAACTACAATTCGCTACCTTAGACAGACGATCGAGCTTGAGACGGCGACCGCAAATTAATGGGTCGCTTGAGTTGCTTCATTTCCGGTGCGCACAACTTACAAATAGTATTCAATTAGAAAAAATATATGTATTTTTAAGTAGGTGGTGATCGGGGGAGGGGTGTGTGAGTGTTAAGTGTTTTGTGTAGGTTTAACGTTTTGTACATGCCCAAAAAACTTTAGCAAAAACTTGAATATCACTCGTATTTATGTTAAAATTTGCAATTTTCAAATTCAATTCTCTTGCATGAAATAGGTTTTACAATAAACTTTATAAACGCCATTTAATCAGTTATCGATATAGTAATTAATATATATGTATATGTATATATTACGCGCGTATGTATACAATAAAAATAGGGAGTCGCTTAGACTACGATTTTTACAAGCCTATCCTGGGTATGCGTACTCATTGTTGGAGCCATACGCGAACTTAAGTGACATGACCCTTGAGTGGATTGTAGATTATAAATTCGATTAATGCGCTTGGATTGCGGAGCGGGGATCGAACCTCAGATGGATGAACTCGTACACTGGGTTAGTCGGTATAACTGTGTGATTTGTATGTTAGACCTGTATTCAATTCAAACAAACTTAGACTCGAACTCTTAACACTTGAATAGGGTTTACATTTACAATTAGTCTGCCTGCTAAGCAATACAAAAATATCTATCGTACATTGCCGTGGAATCGAGCTGTCCTCCTCGAGCGGTGCGATCTGTATGTACATTGAAAGTGTTTCCCAAATCGCTTTGGCGCAGGAGTCGTGTGTGTTTTGTATTTGTGTTTTATGTTTGGCACTAGAAAAGACTCGCAAAATACATAAAATGCCAAACGTTGAATATTCACAAGTCAATCTGCGAGCAATCAAAATTCAACTGTACATCCGTCCGGTTCGTCCCTCAGTCCGTTAGGTCCGTCAGCTAATCCTACTAATTTCCAGCTTAGCAGCTGCTGCAGATCTTGGGGGATCTCGATTAACACTATTGCTCGGCCCATAAAAACCGCGGTTGCCTCCACTCGAACGCTGGCCTCGGACATCCACTGAGGCGATCTCAGTTGTTGTTCTTCCAGCGCGAGAGCAGGAGCCTCCAGCGGTTTTTACGCCTTCTGCTTCAAATTTGCCATATCAAAAGATGGTTGGTGCTGTCCTCGCGGCCAGCGATCTCGCTCAGCGAGTTGGCTCCGGAGTTGCGGAAATCCTCGTAGCCATCGCCACCGGAGATGATCAGCGTGTTGTTCGTCTCGGACTTGGATTTTGAGTGCTTGATGGAGCTGTAACCAATGGAGTTAGTTGACTCTATCATTCTCTAGAAATCATAAGCATCTCACTCACCCCTGTTTGGTATACTCATCGCTCGTGGAGCCTCCTGTGTCCCGCCCTCCGGCATTTGGTGCAGTTCCCTCGAGTCCCGTAGTTTCCACAAAGGTCAGGAACCGCACGTGGCCGGTGTGGCCATGGGGAATGCCTGTGGGCACTATGTTAATGGCACCCTTCTCGTAACCCTGCGCCGGGATGGTCAGCAGAACGCCCGCACTAGTGCCTATCCAGATGAGATCCTTGCAGCACAGCAGCGAGGTGACCCGCAGACAGGCGGCCTTGTGCTGCCGGATGATCTCATCGCAATTGGAGAGCATCTTGTTTACGGCGGGGGCAAGATTTACCTCGGTAACCAGTTGGTGGCTGTGGGTAAGGGAGCTCAACGAATATATAAAGGAACACAGGATATAAGCAATTCATACTCACGTATTGGAATGGAAACATTTAATGTGTGCTGAGTTCTGTATGGATATCCAAACATGATTGTTTGAGACTGTCATGTTTGTGATTGGCTTCGAGTCCGATGAAATCTGTATTTGATTTATGACCTGGTCGACAAGGGACTGATTAAAGTATCTCTTTTGTAGTTATTTAAAAAAAAACTTTTCTTACCGTCAAAGTCTCCACATCCAGCACTTTGATAATTCCCTGAATGGAACACCAAAGTCGGCCGTTGACGTTTAAGAGCTTGTTCACCGGACTGGTTACCGTGCCAATGGACAGGCAATGCGATGAGCAAGTATTCCAGGAGGTGGCTAAAAGAGAAACCAATACTGATTCGTATTGAGGAGTTGTTTTAAAACAATTCTCACTTACCACCATCTCTCAGGTAAACACAGATATCACCATTTGCTAATGATACAAACACACGATTGTCCAGGTACCTAAGTTAAAAAATTCAAATTTATATATTAAGTTAATATATTATATTATATAGAAAGAACATTTGTTATTGCTTACAAAATGGAATAGACGGCTGAATGGTGTTCGATCTTGATGCGATTCTTCTTAATGCGAATATTGTCAGTGCTATTGTAGACGTGGATGCAGCCGTCTTCAGTGCCAATCCACATGGTTGATTGATTGCTCTCGCCCTCCTCGGGATTGGAGTCCTGTGGGAAAAAGAAATGTGAGTCCCAAGCGCTCCAGCGCAATTGGTAAGTAAAGCTCACCTGATGTCCATGATATGAGGGCGCTGGGCTAGGTACACGCTCCGTCAGAGTTGCACCAGATCCCGCACCAGTGCTTCCGGCGACGTTCAGCGAGGCGGCGGCGGCATCCGTTTCGTCGTCGCTGGAGCTTAGGTTCAGCTCCAGCTGAGTATCACTGCTGCCTGTGGCCGCCGCATCCGCAGGATCACCACTTGCGACTGGCGTGGGCGTGGGCGTCAGCTTCTTCTTTTCGGGCGTAGCCGTTGCCGAGGTCGAGGCACTCTGGAAGCTGGGCGATATGCTCTTGCGGTAGTCACGCAACTGCTGTGTGTAGCTCTGGGGAGTGCCCCGCTTGTCCTTCTCTTCCTGGCCACCACCTGTTGGCTGCTCGCCGCTGCTGTTCCGACTGGAGGCCGCCGAGCTGTACGCCGGCACGGAGGCCACACACAGGATGCGGGCATTACAGACGCCGTTGCAGCTGGTGACATTCGGTTCCGGATGCAGCGACATGATGCACACCTGACCCACATAGCCGTCGCTGTTGCAAACCCAAACATCCCGGTTGTCACTCAGCGTGGCTGCCGCACAGGTGAACTGGAGGCCAGCTCGGGTCTTGCGGATGGGTATTGAGGTGAGGAACTCCGGTATGGGATGTCGCTCCAGGGTGGCAGCTATTGGACGAAACATATAAAAATTACACGTTCAAAGAGTTTCAAGGAGTCTTAGAAGACTCACCCAGCTTCTGCTTGGCCTCGTTGAAGCTCTCCTCCCACTGCGTACGTTTCTCCGTCTTGCTAAAGACCACTGTCAACTTCTGGTTGCCGTTCCTTCAACAATAAGATAATTATGGGTAAGAGATAAAATAAATACATTTTTTCTGTTCTGCAATTTCGGTTGTTGAATTTCGAAAAATACATTAGTTCCAATGTAAGATTATCCCGAAAATTTATATGGTTTAGAGCTTAAAATCGAATACTCTGGTAGTTAGAGTGTCCAAACTTTCTAACTTTTTATATATTTGATCTTAGCTTAATGTCAATTATGGTAACTCCTCTACAAGATAATATTAGGTTCCACTTACGGTGAACTGACTGTCAGCTCAAGCATATTCAGCTGAGTGTCATTTGTCTGACGCTCGGAGAGCTGGCGCTGGACTTCGCGATGGAGATCGCGGATAACATCCTCCAGATACTGGTGCGGGTACTTCAGGGTGGCGGTTACGTCGGTGATTTGCTGCAGCTTGTTGCAGTCTTCGGCCAAAGTCTCGATTTCGCTAACAATACGCTTGATGTTCTCGTCTTTGGCTACGGTTCAGAAAACAGAAATCATTGTAGACCTTAATTTTAGAAGGGCCATACACTCACATTTGACAATTTCCAGGCAGTCCAGCGAGATCTTGGTGAGGAACTTGTACTTGTTGGTGTCCAGAGTGGTGGCCACAGTGCCCGGACAGATGCTGCTGTTGGGCTTGCGGATGGTGCCGCTTCGTTTCTTGATGCTCGTGAGGACGAGCAGATCGTTGAACAGGAAGAAGCCACGATCCTTGCGCGCCCCTTGGCCCGATGGCATGGAGACCAGGTCGAAGAGCAGGAACTGCCTTTCGGGAGCTATAAGATCGGTGATTCCCTCGATAACGCCCTCCAGTTCACGGAGCGTGGCTTCCCGCTGTCCGTTCTCCATGATCTCGCGCTCTTTGCAATTGATGTGGACCAGAATATCGTGCACCAGCTTAAGCACGTCCTGCAAGTGCTTTGTGTCCGGATGATCGTGATCGGTGTGTTTTATCAATCGCTGGAAAAGCAGCTCGTAGCTGGGGATGATAAGAAAACTTTATTGTCAAGGAACTCTTTAATTGAAAATTTGATTAAAACTCACTTGGGAAACTTCTGCACCGGCTTGATGAGTAGATTGTCCAGCGTAAGTTTGCCCTTGTGCTCTCGAGCCGTCGACTCAAGGAACTTTGAAAAGGAAGGTCGTTGGTGCTTCATGGAGCGTATGGCATTCTTGGCCCGATTGCAGTTGTTCACAAAGGATGTGTAGACCTCTAGAACCTCTAGTTTTGAGAACTGAGAAGTCGAATACCGATATTAGAGGATATTAATTTCATACTGAGATTGCAAGTGACTTTAAATTACTTTACACACATAATTAGTTTATTTCAATTAATTAGTTTATTAAGATGACATTACCGTGTCCATGAATGCATCGCCCACTTTCTGCTGCACATCCCAGTCGTCCAAGCGGTTCTTCAGGTCGCCCAAGAACTTCTCGTGTATCTCGAGGATGTCGGGTACCATGAAAAAGATCTCATCCACGGTGCGTGTGTCTATCATGCCAGCATGCTCGGGGGCTTTGAGCACCTTCAGATACTTGACGACCACGGTCTGCAGGGACTCCACGTAAGACTGCTCGTTGCGGTAGATCTCCTGCACCACATATGTGCGTGTGTCCTAAAAAAAAGAGATTGTAAGGAGGCAATTATTAGGGATTTTATCTTCGAACACTTTGGAATTAGTTGGGCGATAATTTTGACCAGACTTACACCTTCATAGCCGCCTAGATTCCATTTACTACTAATATCGAACTGCGCCCGCCGCTCGGAGTCATCCTCCGAGTCGGAGCAGGTGATCGAAGTCATTTTTTTCAGCCTGTCGCACTTGTCGTTCTGATAGCCACTCCCAGCCCCGCCCCCTGAACCGGCAGCCGCCCCGAATCCCGCCTTGCTGAGCCGCGCCACCGTTGTGGTGGCCATCGAAACCGCCTGCGAGACACTGCTGTTGATGCTGCTGCTGTTGCCGCTGATGTTGCTGCTGCTGTGCGAGTGGGTGTTGCTGCTGCTGCTGTTGCCGCTGATGTTGCTGCCAGCACTGATGTTGCTGCTGCCACTCGGCAACTGTTGCAGGTGGGCAGGTGCTTGGGGGAGCAGGGCGGCGGCAACGGTTTGGGAGGGCGCCGTCAGGGTGGTCTGCAGGTCCAACAGGCTGAGCCGCAGATTCTCGCGATTGTGCGACATGCTCGGAATGTGTGTTAACGCGTTTTCTTTCTTTTACTTTGCCACTAGTTCGAGGAACTTTTTATTTCACTGCTTCAACGCCTTCGAAACTCTGTAGCAGCGCTGATGCATTCTGTATTTTTGTTTAGGACAAAAGCACACGTCTGGTCTAGTTAAAACACCCGAATAGACTGAAAGTGCAACAAGCGACTGGTAAGAAGCAAATTGCAGCTGGCCTAGGATGTTGCACGTCCACAATTCAGACACACGCACTCACATTCACTTGAAGAACAGCCTGCGTAGTCGGCATGTGGGAGAACCACTTGCCCACGTTCCACATGCCCTGCACATACACTCAAAAGAAAACAACAGCGAGATGTTGCTCTAAAAAAATTTTACAGATTCTTTGCAAAGTTTTTGAAAATAAGAAGAAGATGACTATGGCTCCTTAAAAAAAAGTATATAATTTTGAAACCTTTTGTTCATAAGAACAGTAGTTAACAAAATAATTCGTCTTCATGAAAATGGGTTATATGGACGGAAGCTTAGTGTTTAATAATGTCAAAATTGAATGTTAATAACTAGATGTAAAAAAAGGAGTCGGTCATATTTCATTAAACAGCTGTAGTTTGTTGGTTAAAAATTATTTTAAATTTTTTTTTAATGTTTTTCAAAGATTTCCTACTACATTTTTAATGGTAGAACATTTCCAAAATAAATGAATCCTTTTTGCGAGTGTGTGTAACGACTGAGAGTCACGAGTCACTCACTCACTCACAGGGACAGCCTTGAGGACCCCCCACCCTAAGCGAATCATCCTCCGCCTGCATTGCATGTATTTGTGTGCGTGGCTGTGTCTGTGTGTGATTTGATAATGACACTGACCATGTTGTTGTTTGTCTTTGCTGACTGAAGGCCAATAAGGCGCAAGGGAAAAACAAATGAAACAAGCGTGGGTTGGGGTGCAGGAAAAATACATTTACGACAAAAACAAAACCAGTTGCGGTTCTGTTTTCTTGTTTTCGCATTGAATCACGACTAACTGCTGTTCAGCTGTGTTGCTGTTGCGTTTTTAATTGCCCGATAAGGCCAACAACAAAAGCCAGGCAAGCAACATGTTATCACGCACACACTTGTGACCTTACAAATGTGTCCGTTCGTGTGAGGGTGGTGAGCTTGTTGCACAGTTAGTTATGTGGCCATATTTGCAGCATACATTTGTGCGCAGTTTAGATAGCCGTTGCAGTTACCGTTATACGTAAGTGGGTGTATGTGAAGGCTAGAGCAGTGCAGCCTGCAAAAGCCACAATTCCATTTTACATTTCACAACCATAGACACACACACAAACACATGGCCGAGGGCTGACAGGTAATTGATTTGCTCTCTCCGCTCCTCTTCAGCCTGCCATCTCACTCGCACTTGTTTCGGTTAAGTTGAGAGTTTATATTTGCACTCTATGTATATTATTGGCGTAACGCGGCGCAACAAGAGGTTGGCCTTGTGCACTCAGGTACACATATTCATACACACACACATACGTCGAGATGAGAAGAAAAATTTAATTCGAATAAAATGAAAAGTGATTTTCTTCTCCGCCTTTTGAGACATTTCCCACGCACATAACCATGCATTCCACCTATGCAAAATACACACACACACACACGCACAAATACTCCAGCGATAGATTATTTTTCTATATTGGTTTCGTTTTTGTTGGCAATTTACGATTTGTTTTAGTTATTTTTTGTATGTTGTTTGTTGCTTTTACACGCCGTTACGGATTCCACGCTCCACAAAAAATAAATAACAAACGAACGAGCGAACGAAACATGAACAATTCCGCCACACAATGGTCGTAGGAAAAGCAAATAAGAATTGAAACGCGCACAGTGGTATCTTTTAGCTTTTCGCTGCTCAGTCGCAATCGCTGCTGCGTCTGCTGCTGCGGCTACTGCTGCTGCTGCGACCACTGCTGCTGCTGCGCGCGAGAGCGGCCACAGTGGCACATCCCAAAATCCAGAGGCTACAACAGGAACATGCGATTCCGCCACTAGACTCAGCGAACACATTCCATTGTGCCATATACACACTTCATTTCCATTTTTCATATTCCAACAGTAGTGAAAAAACCACCCTACCACCCCCACTCCCACTCTAAAAAGCACCCGCAACCCGCTCTAAGTGAAGAGAGCTAGAGAGAGGACAGAGAGCCGGAGAGCGTCATGATTTAAACAAAGCACACTCATTCTAGTCGATATACAGTATTTTTTAGATTTTGGGTTTATCTGTTTAGTGGCAAAACATCAATTATCCATGTGAACCAAAAACAGATCATAAACATACTCAAAACTTTGTGTAGAGCGTCTCTCAGCTGTTTAAATCCGTTGGAATGCCATGCGCCGCACTAAGAGAGCGGGAAAAGCAAAAAGAGAAAGGGCCAGAGATTGTGGCTTTTCCATTCGATTTGCATGCGACAAGTGTCCGAAAGGGAAACATTGAACAAGTCAGGGAAAGGGTTAAATCAATCGTCCCTACAAAATAGAAATAACTAATGAATGCTATTTTCCCTTTAACCAATTTAAGGGCAATACCTTAAAATGAAATGAAATTAGTATTTTTACCAGGTTAATAAAATACAAAATATGGCAGGTTCATCATTATTTCAATTAATACCCAAGAAAAGGGAAGGCAACAAAGTTCAATGAATTGGCTAAGAAAAAAAAAACAAATTTGTTTGCCAGTTTAGGGAAAGCAGAAACTTATGTTACAAAATGAATAACACAATAGTATTAAGTACGCATTCATAGTGTTAAGCCATAGAATCCCCTACAAAGAATCAGTAATCGGGCAAACACCGTTTGCTGGCGGTGTATAAATAGTACCCTGCAACCACTGTGCCTGTAACGGATTGGAATGGAACAAAGGGACCAAAGCGAAACGAATGGTAGGGAACGGGACTAGCACACTAACACACATTTCCAATGCGCACCGTTGTCTTTCTTTTCGATTGGAGCATGCGCCTCGGAATTCACATGGCGTCTCTGCCACTGCCGGCAGGGGCAGCGCTGCCCACACCCGCAACATGCACTTCTACTTAGTAAGCAAAACAAAAACCGTGAGAAAGTTGGCGTGTGTATATGTTAGGGTGTATACAACAAATCAGCTAGAAAAAAAGGGGGAAAACAAGAACAACAGGGAAAGAAAGGAAAGCTAACGATCGCAGCCGCAGAAAATGCGCTCTCAGCTGGAACTTGAAAATATTTGGGAGAACAGTTGAAAAAAATCACTGTTTAGGAACCCCGCTTAAAGACAATGTACCGTAGCATACTTCAGAGCTCGTTTTTTTAAACCCAGTTGAATTTAAATTTAAAGTTTGTGATTTTAGTTTAAATTCTTCTTAGCTTGCACATCAAATAATTTGAAAATTTTTTGTAAGAAGTTTTCTTTTTTTTTTTTCAAATGTTACTAGTATAAATATTTTAAACAAATTTCATAAAACTAGACTTACCGCTATCGTCTTCTTCCGCTGCTCGGAGATCATGTTCTCGCTGGAACCTTTCAGCAGCTCAGCCAACAAAGCAGGCGTTGGTTTCAGGCTTCCCTTGGCGCCTCCTCCTGATCCTGGTCCTGGAGAACCAGCTGATGTAGTCAGCTTGGAAGCCTTATCACTAGACCCCGCATCCAAGCTTCGCTTGGCAGCATGGTGATGGGTGTGACTGTGACTGTGGCCGTGACTGTGACCATGGTGATGGTGACTTGGACGTTCGGTGCTCATCGACTGGCTGCGCTTACTGTGGTGCGATTTGGGGGCAGGAGCCTCGGAGGCAGCGCGCTTCATGTGGTGCACCTGGTCATCCAACTCCGCCTCGCTTAGATTCTTTGCGGACACGGAGATCTGGGCGGTGGCCGCGGAAATGGCTTTGCTGCCGTGTTCCAGCTGCGAAGGCGTGGAAGCCGCACGAGCATGAGAAGGCACCGGCAGATAGGTGTTCGACTTCCGCACCCGCATCGAGTTGGAGTATTGCGGCAAATTGCGGGAGGGACCACCTGTTCCACCAACTGCTCCGCCAGGAGCAGATCCACGCAGGTGTAAGCTGAAATCAAAGAAACGTGGGTCAAATAGGAAGATTTGTAAAACGTTCAAAAACTTATAAAATTTCAAAATAAATGATTAAAATTCTTAGTTAGTTTATGGTGCTCACCTGTCCGTCTCTCGCAGCTCCTCAAGGATCTCCTCGAAGTGCATCCGGTTGGGTTTCTTCATCTCCGCTTCCAGCATTTGGCCGTAGGGACCCCTGAGCGGGCGTTTAGAGAAGCGCTTGTAATCGTAGTCGCCGCTGCTGGGCGTGGGACTCGAGGTGATCCGCTCCCTTTCCCGCTCCCTGGCCGCCCGATCGCACTCGTTGTCCGAGGTGGAATCGGTGCGTAGGAAGCTCAAGCTCCGACTGGACGCGTCGTCCTTCTCCTCGCTGCTGTGGCAGCTGAAGTTGCTCAGTAGCTGGGCCTTGTCGCGTCCCAATCCTCCGCTGCCCCACGACGGCGAACCCTTCTCCAGCTCGGGGGTATTCAATTCGAAGGAGTAAGAGCTCTGTGGGCTACTGATGTACATGTGGGATGCACCGGAGGCGCTGGCATCTGGCGATTCGGGCTTGATGGCATTCATATTGGCCACTCTGATGTCCAGTGCTAGGCCACGATTCGGTGCCTCCGTGGGAGCTTGCCAGTCCGCATTGTCTATGTACATTCCTTTCCTTTTGGTGGTTTTATCCAGGTGCCTTCGCTGCCGCTCATCCGTACTGTGTCGAGGAGTAGCTATTGCCTCCAGGGAGCTCCTTAGATCCACATTGGTCAAATCTAGATCATCGTGGCTGTACTGCTTGCAGTGCTGCTCTATTGGCGTATTCCTGGCCGTAGTGGCCACCTCCACTTGCGGCACATCCTCGATCTTGGCCAGTTCGTCGCCCTCCTCGGAGGACCGACTTACGGATATGGTGGGCACCAGGTCACTCCTCACAGCTGTGGTCAGAGTGGACGGCGTTTGGGAGATTTTGCAGGCCGCATGCGGGATGGGTGGCTGTATGGTCTCCGGCACAATGCCAAACTCCTCGGGCGCCACCTCCACCCATTCCTGGGCCGGAGTCTCCAGCCATTCCTGGGCGGCACACTCATAGACCGGCACTGGGATCTCGCAGGTGGTGGCTGTTTGCAGGAAGTTGTCCGGCGGTGCCTCCAGTGGCAGCTGCTCCTCCATCAGGGTGGCCAGATTGGGGGCACTGCCACTGGCAGATGAGGTGGGCGGTGTAATCTCCAGTGCGGGTGGTACTTGCGGCTGCACCTCCTCCTTGATCAGACAATCGGTCTCCGATTGAATGGTGTCCGTTAGCGATTCCATGGTGGCGTGAGCGGCTATCACACTGCTGGCGGTGGCCACCGGGAAGAGGATGCCCGAGCTGCCACTGGCCGCCAACTCGTTGCTAAAGATGTCCTCCTCCTGGATGGCGTCGTGGTCCAGCGACTTCTCCTGCCCGTAATTCAGGTTGATGCTCAGCTCGGTCTTTTTCAGGGGAATGCGCACCCAGCCGGGATCTGGGTGGAGGTCCAAATCGTCCTTCGAGGGCGTGGGACTGGGGCTGGGCGCCTCGATGGCCTTGTCACGCTTCAGCCGATCCCGCAGAGCGCTCAGCGTGGACTTGCAGTCGATCTGCGAGAACGAGACCGATCGAAATGGGGCCGATTTGTGTGCGCTGCGTGAGTCTGACCGTGATGCTAGCGCCGTGCTCTCGAAACTGGCACTGCCAGTGGCCGACGACGCATCTACGCATCTGCTGCCCGCAGGTCGAAGATTCAGATGCTGATGCTGATTCTGATTCTGATTCTGCTGCGCAGGTGGGGGCGGGGACTTGGACTTCTCGCGGTTGCTCAACATGAAGGCCTCCAAGTTGGAGAGACTCGTGTTTGGCCGAAGGGAGGCAAACAGACGGGCAGCGGTGCTGATGGTGCCGCCACCACCACCTCCGCCGCTGAGACGTGTGCTGGCTTCTTCGCTGGGCCCCCGCAGGTGAATGCTTCCCGCCTCGGACTCCGACGTTTGACTGGCGCCCGTGTCCTGGCGCTCCAGTGGCTGCGAGGTGCGGGGTTTGCGGGGCGGTGGCACCGGCGGCGGAGGAGGCGGTGGCGGAGTGGGCGTGGAAGAGGCGCGCGAACTGCTGCCACCGCCGCCGCCCCGCAAAAGTTCCGTCAGCTCGCGCAGGCGCTCCGAACGATCCGACGTCTTGCGCTGCTTCTCCGGACCGGAAGTGGATGGCGAAGAAGAGGACGTGGAAGTGGATGTGGAGGCGGAGGCGGCGGCCGCTGGCGATGATTTACGCCCGAAACCGAGGCGCTGAAAGCGGTCCAGGGTATTACGTCGTTTCTCCATTGTGTGCTAAAAGTGAGATGCGGATGATCGGGAGGGATAATTCAAGTTAAACAATTCTTATTCATCGGCAGATTCCCATTATTCCGCCCCCCGCCTCGAAGCCTATGTCTTTTTATGGACTAGATGTGGGCGTACTTGCGAACCCATACACCCAGCCCACCCCGCTCACAAAATAAAAACAAACAAATCGCTGGCAATTCAATTCGATACACTGAAACGGCAGCAAACATTGAGTCAACGTCCACACGGCGTATGTGTAATATCATGAGGGGAACCAACCAGCTTTCGCTTTCCCGCAGGATCGTTGGAGATATACGACATGCTAATTGAAATGAGCATGAGCATTATGTATTCCAATTTCCGGAACCCGGCCAACATGATTATATTAGGCGCCTCATCGTTCCCAGAGTCATTATAGTCACTGCACAATGACACACATACCAACCAATCCAAGGAGGAGAGGAGGTGTCGGAGAGAACACAATGTAAAGCAAGCCAACGGTGCTCTATATATAAAGCCGATTCGTGTATACATACGCACACAGTGATATTTTTAGTATAAACAACAGATCTCAGCCGCATATATAACAGTACGTATTTAAATCCAAATACATATAGATATATATATGTAGGTGGAATATACAGAAAATACAAGAGATCTTTGGCTATGACTGGGAATGAATGAGCGAGCAGGCCAACTTACAATACACTGCTAGAAAAATGTGACTAATCATTGAATTGGTATCAACACGCAAGCACAATAAGTACTTAAAGAATCTTTGTCAGTTAATCTGGTGAGCTGCATTATGCCTCAATAAATATTTCATTTTCTAAATAACTTTGGAGTACTTATTTAATTTTTAAAGGCCACCATACAATTTTTTAATAGTAAACCAAGGAAATGTTTTTTAGACTGGAAAGGATTAACAACCTGTGAGATTTCTTTAATAACCCTTTCTTTAACCAAGTTAATTTCTTAGAAACTTTCGACGCCTTTTCTCCCAGTGCACGCATTAAAAGAATCATACAAATAACACAAAAGTAGAGCAATACTAGCATAGAGATCTCTGCTGAGCAGATTTCCCGCTACCAACACAAATCAAAGGCGAAAATCCCACATTCTCCCGATCTCTCCGATTGAGCGACGAAACGTGCCGTTCAGGTGGTGGCCATCCATCCAACCGTACTTATTCCTATTCTCTGGCCCCAACTACAATCTCCGAGAGATCTTTTCTGGCCTATTGAATGGAAAACAAACATACGAGTAACTATATGATATATGGGATCAATAAAATCGATCAAAACAAAAGGTTTATGGCTGAAAATTGCACTCCCTGACAGTTCGGTGATGAATGGCGGCCATCGAGATTCGGAAAGTACAAATATACATTTATCTATATCTGCCTAAGGTTGATTTTCTCTTTCTCTGATATTCCATTTTGGGTGCTATACTATCTATGGTTTTTGGGATTATGAAAATATTTATTTTATTACGCTGTGTCTGCCTATTTTATCACATTTGATCTGATGACATGTTGACCTAATTTAATCTTTCTTGTCTTTACTTTTTTGTGTCTCTCTAAATTCTAACTCATCGTATTTTTTCTCTAAAAACTTACCCCGTTCTCCTTGTTAAGTTCGAAGGGAGCATCCACATGTAAATCGCAATGGCAGGGCAGGAGAATATTATTTCGCTTAGCTTGTGTTAAATGGTTTTTATTCGTTTGGTTTATGGGATTCACTTGGGCCAGCGCATTGCAGCCACGATTGTGCTGCAGCGGTAGAGAAAACGAACTATCCCGGTCGCTTCTTTCTTCGTTTATAACATTGGCGGTCACACGCGACAAGTCGGTGTACGGATCGTACGGAAATTTGGGCTCTTCGTGATATTGTACTTGCAAACGCGATTCACTGAGCGACTTGAGCACTCCGTTGCTCTTTTCTGTCAGCACTTCCGGGTCCGAGTCAAAGGTGAGGCGTCCGTGTCGATCGTAGCATAGGGATCGCGGTCCCCTCACCAATCCCCAAGTGCAATCCCCACTCGATCCGAAACGGCAATTGTAGTTGATGTTGTTGCTGAAGTTCGCCTCGAAGGCATTCGGGTGATAATCCTTGGGGATGCAACAGCTGTTCGCGGGATAAACTCGAGGCGGATAGTGCGAGGCGATGGCAGGTGGCTGGTGTTGCTGGCAGACCAAACGGCGTGTCTTCAGAGCTGGTTCATCGGATACTGAAGAATCCGCACAGGCACGCGGTTTTGGAGGAACTGGTGGCGGATGACGATAGCTTCGATAGCTAACGGTGGCACAGGAATTGTAGTGTTGCAGATGTTGTTGCTGCTGCTGTTGCTGCTGCTGTTGGTGCTGCTGTTGCTGTTGCTGCTGTTGCTGCTGTTGCTGCTGTTGCTGCTGTTGCTGCTGTTGCTGCTTCTGCTTCGGCTGCTGGGTGAGAAGTTGCTGATGCGCTTGTTGCGATTGCTGTTGTAGATGCTGCTGCTGTGACAGTTTTTTGTCAATTGTATAACAACAAATTGCTGGTGACTCGTCGCTGATTTCAGATGACAGGGACAACACTGGCGATGACGCGACTCCCACTGCTCCTGTTGTTGTTGTTGTTGTTTCCGCCTCTGTTGATTTTTCCGTTTTCGTTGTTGATGTATTCGGCTGCCGCTTTTCTATTTCTATAACCGGCGGCCGCGCAACGTCATCGTCGTCGTCAGCGGCATCCTCATAATGAGCATCGACAAATACGCGCCTCGTGGAATCGACTTCCTCCCCATCGAAGACAAAGCGAAACGACGACAAATCGGACACTGAATCGTAGTCCCCAAATGGCAGCTGTTGCTTCTGCTGCTGCTGCTGATGATGTTGCTGCTGTTGCTGCCGTTGCTGCTGCTGCTGCTGCTGCTGTTGCTTTTGGCGGTCCATAGAGCTGCCAACTTGTTGCTGCCTCTCCCCACAGCAATTCTCGCAGAGAATCCGTGAGCTTTTCGCAGCGATGCCAGGAGATAGCTTTCGATGCTGCGTGTTGGCAAAGTATTTGGCAATGGGATCGTACTCCTCATCGTTGTTGTTGTTATTATTGTTATTATTATTGTTGTTGTTGTTGTTGTTGTTGTTGTGGGTGAGCTGCTGATAGGTGAGCGGCGGATTGGCCCTGGCCTCCTGGCCCTGGGCAATCATTGATGACTCGCCTGGCTGCCGGTGCGGCAGCTCCTCATTCCATGAGAGCTTCTTGTAGCCACGTCCTCGCACCACCCGTTGGCCCAATTGCGGTGTAGTTGGCAGTGAGCTGGACAGCTTCCGTGGTAAATGGTGCTCTGGCACCTGCTGATCGGCTATTGGGAGGTAGTGAATGCACTCGTTTCGAACCATATATCCCAGATCTTACCAACGATTGCCTCGCCTTCGAGCTGGATAGCTTCGCTGTCGACTGTCCGCGTGGAGTGGCGCATGCAGCAACAGGAGATAAGACGACTGTTCTTGATCCTTCTCCTGACCGATTGGTCTACTTCTACGTGCTGAGGTGACTTAGAGATTCTTCCAAGATCACTGTTCTCCCTGTAGAGAAATAAATATTATTTAGGTTGTTATTTAAAACAATCACATGCATACTGTTACTGCCTTAGTTATATTAAGCCTTGGCTTAATTTTACAAATGTTGATAAGCAAAAGCATACATGCTTTAACACTATAAAAGATAACTTATGTAGTAAATGACATAAAAGTTAACAACGTGCGGGGAAAGGAAAAAAACAAGTTAAGTTTACCACCTAATAATCATGCAAACTTTAAGGAAAGTCAGTAAAAAAAAATCAACTAAATAAGCTTAGGAATGTGCTCTTGATGCAAACGACTAATATACCCCACATGGTTAATTCGCTTATAGGATATGGCAAATGTTCGCCCAAAAGCATGCCACAAGCACTGAACTTCGAACTTTCATGCAGATTAGCATGCTTGGACATTGTTTCAATTCTATACCTCCTCCAAGTGTTTCCATTCTCAGTGCCCACGAAGAAAACCTTCATCGGGAGACCTTCATATTTTGTTCGAGAAGGCATATCATATGTAATGCATCCCTGACGCGCCTCCGGCATTTTTTCTGATTTTTGGGATATAATAGCTGTTGACAATACCGATTCGGTCGAGTGTATTCGCGGTAAAGTTCAGTGCCTCAGAATTAAAGCACACCGCTGATCTATTTTGGTCTGGTGCAGCGCATATTTCATTCCCAATGCGATCGAGGCTACAGTAAGATCCAATATTTTAATTTAAAATAAATTATGAATTTAAAAACTATGGAGATCATAAATTGAAGTCCAGGAAAATTTAATTAGAACATTAAAAATAAACAGAATATATTTATTTTAAAATATTTATATGAACTTTTCGAACTCATAAACTTCTTATAAATCTTTAAACATGTATTAACTGGTTTCCTGTTTCTATCACATAATTAATATGCATAGTTTTTGAAGTTATTTTTTAATTACCTACGGTATCTATCAAAACATTGAAAAGCCCCGACCCGAACGGCAAATAATCACCATTTTGGCCTCAGCGCGATTTGCCACCTTTCGATTTCCACCAGCGGAACACTCGGGTGTTACGCATGCGAATTTTTAGCACAGAGCTGCCAGCCAAGCCATGACCATGACATGCCCCTTCCCTTACCCACACCCATGCCACCACCCCCCTTTTCCGCCCATCGCCATCGCCACCGCCACTGGCACTGGCACTGGCACTATCCGTTAGTTGTCATTAAATATGTTTAGTTGGTTTCCCCCGTTTTTGTTGCATCCAGTGGCGTGTCCATTGTCTTTCGGGGATTGGTTACCCGAGTTGGCCAGGCTTTTGTTTCAGTGGAAGACTTTTTCTTTGCCTGGCTGCTGTTGTTTTTACTGAACAAGTGGCTTTCCTATAATCTTAATTGATGTTGAACAAACAGCAGAGCATGTTGCACAAGCCGGAGACGTCTCCACTTTTTTGCTCGGGCCACAAAAATCGCCTGCAAGAGTTTACCATCGGCTGAACAATGTTTAAGGAGAGATTTGCATGAGCTTCTCTGTTATCTTTAAAATTTTAAACAAACGGTTTTAATCAGAAAATATTTCTGTAATTGACGGGAAAAGTTTGAAAAGAAAACGACAAAGCGTAAATAGCTTTGTTTGGGAGGGTTATAGATTTGTAAAATAATAGGATTTGGTTAGAAATTATGTTAGATTACCACTTAAAGGGAATTAACAGCTTTTTCATATCAATACCTATCATAGAAAACTACTTATTTATAAACTTACAAATTAAAACAGAGACAATACAAAAAACCATTTAAAAGTGTAAGCATGAGTGAAAACATCAGAAACAATCTAAATTAATAAAAAACTAAAAAAAAAACAGTGTCAAAAGCTAACACTTTACGAGGTGTAAATATCACGCTGGTTGGGAGTCACACATTTGTCCCCAAAAAATCATTCCGCCAGCAAACCAAAAATATCTTTTCCACCAGCAGGCACAGAACACCGAAGATACTTTGAGTGAAAGATGCTCATGGCGAAACAATTGCAGTGTCGTGTAGAGACAGTGCGGAACAAAATCATACGACTGAGACATAAACGCTTTCGTACTCATCCCGCATTGCTGCTTCACCGATCGAACCTCTATAAAAGAATAAAATGGAAGCCATAAGCAAATGTATTTAAAAAGCTGTCAGAGACAGAAATGTGTTTATTATTTCAACTCTTACTCATCCAATAATTATGAAACTTTCTGTACCCACAGATATATGTACATACGGGTGTCCGTGCTCGTGTGTACATAGAATTTTGTGTAAGGCATTTTTTAGCCGAGATTTCTGGGGTGTTAGTCCATCGGCCACAAATGTATCTTTCGCAGCGTAATCACTCAGGAATGCAGATGCATAGATCTTTGCGGCCGGGTCTATAAATACCCGGCCAGCTCCGACTGGCTGGCCAAAGCCCGCTTATCAGCAGCTGGACTTGCACTTGTCAAAGCACAAGATACAGATGCATCTGTATCGCATCTGTATCGCACAATTAGAAGCGCCTCAAGGTCGCCGGAATAATGAGATCTAACTGCGAGCAGCTGATTTAACTTATCTGCTTGGCGAGAGCTCAAAACATCCAAAACAACTTTAGCACATAACTGTCCCCGAGAAATCCGTGAGTTTATTGTGAATTCTTTTGGGTGTACGCTAGCTTCTTGATAAATATACAAGTTTTTTGAGTGTTTGTCTATGGAATACCTGACCAGATAAACCCCATACAGATATCAGTATCAGATCTGGCGACAAGGCAAAACGAGCGTCAGCAATCAGAAGTCAGAGATAAACAAGATGTAAGAACCCCACCATTTCCCTAACAAATACAACAAAAAAGAAAACGAAATAAATAAACCCATTTGAGAGTGAAGATACATTATAAATAGTTTGCCGCCAGTCATAAATAAACAAAAATTCAATTAAAATCACACTCTGACCGATTCTATATGGAGAACCATTAAAAAACCATAAAAGTTTTGACATGTTGCGAACATTTCGCTGTCAGCTGCAGAAGCGGTCCCATCTCTTGGCTTCCATCTCCGAACAATAATAACAATTAAGCCAGCACTTCGCCCCCCGGGTAACACCTATTTTTTCGCTCTTTTTCGTAACTATTTCATAGGCCTGCCCTCCGCCAGAGTCGTTTTGACTGACACGTGACAGCGGGATCCGTGATCCGTGCCAGATGATGCCCCCTGCTGCACATCCCACATGGCCACATCGCCACATCGCCACATCTCCACATCCACCGCCGGCATGCAAAACTTCTTTGTTATGGACTTTATGATTAATCTGCACAGCTTTTCAGCAGCATATCAGCAACACCTCCAGCACTCGAGGTGCGTGATGGGATTAGGAGGAGCGCAACAAGCAGATCCCTTTCAATACCACAAACTATATATGCTATGCATATATGCACATTGCCAAAGGAAGCTATTCCCGATCCCAATTCAGATCCCGATCCCAAGCCGCAGGCGACAACAGCGCACCTTTCATATCCATCGCTCACCTGAACTTGGACTTGAATTGAAATCAAGAGTGGCGTGGCCCACAGACCTTGCCAGTCTCTTTTGCATTGCAAATCAAACGATTCTCCCAGTCGTACCCCCACATTAATGTTGGAGCTTCGCCAGTGTGAGCTTGAAATCGTATCTTTCGGTTCAAGTTCAGCTCGGTTTGGTTCGGAGCGAGCAAGATGCAAGCATTAGAATAAGACTGCGGGATACCCGACACCCCCACATTCGTATTCTAAACATAGTTAGGGAATGCTTAGACTCTATACAGCAGTTCAAATATTGTACTGCTTACACTGAGAAGTAAATAGTTCTAGTTTAAAATTCACTAAATCTGATATAAAACTATTAAGTTTTCTTCTTACTTTATGAGCAAACTTTATCAATTAAATTTTATTAACTGTTTCCAAAAGAGAGGATCGTATACACTTTTCTTTGAATTCGAATTCTTGCTGAATATGGTTCTAAGGAGCACTTTTCTCCAGTGACTTACCCATCGATCGACTACCCGTAGAAACCACAAGTTCGTAACCAACACCTCGAGGCAAAGGCGGAGAAAAAAATTGGCTCTCGGGGCGAGGCGCGTAATACCAGATGCATTGGGCATTGGGCATTGGGCATTCTGTATTCGGGTATCGACTTAGGGACAACCCAAAATCTGGCTGGCCAGACTTGAATTATGTCAGTCAGTCGGTTAGTCAGCTAAAGTCAAACTGTCTGGGCCAGGGTTCGACATTTCACTTTTGATTTTCGATTTCGTACTTTCACGAGCCGAGTTTCTGGCGGAGTGACCCTAAAGTTCAACCCGACTGAACCCGACTCGATGTAGAAGCGATGCAGATACAAATGGGAATGCGAATGGTAAATGGAGAGGGAGTTGGAGTTGAAGCTTAAGCTGTGGTTGGGGGGCTTTAGCTCGAGCTGCACAACATTCAATTAGTACATATTAAATTTGTTTGCCCGTTGTTGTTGGTTTCTCTTAACTTTTTTTTTTCTTTTTGGCCAGTCCGAACAATGAAGCGGAACTTAACTCGATTTAAGTTTTTATGAGCGGTATTTTGTAGTTTGTATCTGCTGCCTTGTATCAGCAGACAGCGATAAATTGTGTTATGAAAGTGCACTGCAGATGCAGTGCAGGAAGACCTCGACTTCGACTCCAACTCCGACTCCCAATCCGATCCCGGTGCCAGTCAAGAGTCAAAGTTGAACAGCAACATGGCCCGAAAATCTCTGGCCATTGATTGTTACATCGATTTGGGTGATAAGTCTTCGGCAATCAACCGCAGATCAGATTCGGCGAAAACGGGAAAATCACTTTCATAAAGTGTGGTTCATTGAAGTGTTCTTTATCTCATCAGTGACTAAGTTGAGGTGTATTTATGGTCACCAAATATGTAGGTTATTTCCGCGTTTGGATTGAATCTTTTGAACATTATATAAATAAGATATGATATCTTATTGCGTTGTTGCATTTTTTAGACAGGCTTTTTGAAAATGGGTGTAAATAAATAAATAAATGGTCTTAACTTTTACAGTTATTTAGAGTTGGAATTATTCCTTTCTTAACAATTTTAGCAAGACACATCTTGATCGCTTAAATTCCCAAGAATTCCACCGCAGAGTTTCTTATCTAATCAAATAGAAACTAAGACCTGACGTGAAAATCTTGTTTTCCCAGATAATTCTGCAGAAAAGATGAGCATTTAAATGAAAGGGGATCTACAGGTATTCGCTTTAGATATTTAAATCCCCAATTATACATTTGCCAAGTTGCATAACCCACACGACTTCCCGGATGCTTGATTAGCTGCCTGATATGAAAGTAATTCTCAGGCGCTTTTGATGCATTTCAATTATGTAAACTCCGTTTTCTCATTGATATATGCACCAGGGTCGGAGGAAAGCGACCCGCAGGAGGAGGTGTAGTCCCATCAAAGTTCGATCGTCGTCTTTTCCTAATTTTCGGGTTCCGGGCTCCGAGATTTCGCTGCCGGGGCAGCCGCCTAAATGCTAAATGCATGCCGAGATGCAGATGGATAGCGTTTTGGGCGGTGGAGGCGTGGTCGCAGCTAACTACTGACGAGGTCGTGAGTATCACTCAAATTGCCTTGCCGCATTCATCATCGGACAGCGACCGAAGCCGAAACAGTAAATGGTAACATGTGAGCATTGGGGTGGTCTCCCGATATTAATGATATATTACGCTATATGGGTGCCCATATAAAACAATCTGGCAAAGTGAAAGCGAGACTCTTCTAAGGGGTAAGGCATTTACGAGGTGGTTTAAGCACAAGAAACTATATTGTTGTTCCAAAAAACATATTGATTACTAGCAGACATGGTTCAATTCTTTGAACCTAGGATAACTTACATTTTGTGATTGCATTTGACAGGATAAACACAAAATTAATTTTTTAATATAATCTTTCCATCCTTTTTTTAAACCTCAATCATTAATATTTTTTTAAACCCATCTAATTTAATAAATCGATTTTTCAAACATTTTTCTTGTGTGTTTGTGCTTTTTTAACTTGACTATAAGTGCAATACTTTTTTGAATAGTAATTGAATTTTGTATACTATATAATATTATTCTTCCATTTGTTTTTTTAGAACTCTTATCCATTGACATTAAAACACAAATACACAAGATAGTGTAAAATGAACACAAGACCCCTTTTGTAACTTTAACCAATTCGGTTAAATAAACCAATATTGATTTTAATATAATATAATATTAGTCATAAAAGGTCAAGAAAAACCAATAGGTCCACCCTATAAATCTGACTGACACCGGAGTTAAAGTCGTTGTTGTTGCCGCACTGAAGCTGTTAGTTTAGCCGGTTGAGAGGCGTGGCCGTTCAGCGCTGAACTCTTTTGGCAGAGACGACGTCGTTATATATGGGGTTCCGTAATGGGCCGAGCTGAGGCACATATACGAGTATGAGCTTGGAGGGACCACTTGTCCCCAGCGACAGTTTGCCACTTTCTCACCTCGCCCAGGAGGCAAAGGAGGATCGGGATGCGGCTGGGAACTGGGCACTGGGCACTGGGAACTGGGATAGGATGGGGATGTGGGCAAGGAGTTAGCAATTCCCGACCAGGCAATAAAAGTTCACCGCAGGGACAGACAGCCCACATGAGGGGCCGGCAATGGAAGCTCTGCAGTTGGGCTTAGCTTTTCATTACTTTATTTTCGAGTCTGGGCTCAATCTGAATCTGTCTTGCCAATAACAGCAATGCCACCAACAACAGCAACCGGCGAGCGGGAAAGCTGCGGACTGGCAGTGCTCGTTTAAATGCGGCGTCGCAATCGCATTTGTTGTTTGAAAATCCAAAATAGACAGACAGAAAGAAAACAAGAAATAAGTATATTACTCTAAAGGTTATCTAAGGCCCAACGAATCACTGATGCCCTTTATAAAAATTGGCTAATCTGGTATTATTTCGCATCTCTAAATTAGTAACTAAATACAACATATAAGATGAAGCAAATAAATGGGCCACACCCTTTTGGGCAAGATCGGAATGTAGATAAAATAAAATTTACCTGTTCTTAATATTAATCATTTACTTCGATTTCAATCTTTACTCTAGTGATCCAATTCGAAACGGTGAAGTTCATTGATTGAACTGGAGTTAGCAATGAACGTTTTTCAAACACTTTCTTATCATTTCTGTTTAAATGTAAATCAATAAATTCTGTTTCCCAATAAACAAAAACTAACTAATTTAGCCGACACCTGCTTATTTGACATTTGATACTTTTTTCGATGATACAACTCAAAAGATTTGAGCTCGTATATGTTTATTAAAGCTGGTACGCTGTTATGAGTTGAACAGACTTGGGTAAGTATCAATGGGATATGGGATTGCAATAGTAATACGAAATCAATAACTAAGCTGAATGAAATGACATTAAACTCCCATTAATGTGTATGCTCTATTTAATAAAATAATCTAAATAAAAAAGTACAAAATAATTCTTACAACGAAAATGCACTTAATTATACTAAACTTTGGGTGATGTTACTTAAATTTGGAATCTCTATATTTCTGTTTAACACAACAGTGAAGAAAATTGTTGAAATGTAGTATGTTTTTGTGTTATCTATCAATAAAATAAATGTTTTTTTGTTATCAACTTTGTGTAATACAGAATAAAGTATACAGTTTACTTTCAAAGTTATATGAGCCATTAAGATAAATTTTCGAGGACACAAATGGGACAAAAACTCTGACAAAGAGTATGTGGAGGTCTTAGAAGGAAAATCGGTAGGAACAAGAGCTGGCGGTGTGAGAAGGAAAACAGAAATCGTTTTTGCGCAATCCTCACAAATCTGATAAGCAGTTAGAGAGCATTAGAGCAACCAGCCAGTCAGCCAGCCAGCCAGCACACACTCTCAACCGGGCCAGCAAACAAACCAGGCAACCACCAGACAAACGGAGAAACACATCCAATGAGTCTGGGCCCGAAAGAGTCTGGGGGTCTGGGTCTGAAAGCCAGCATCAGCATCAGCATCAGCATAAAGCCAGCGTCAAGTCAAAATCCCCAACTGGCCCGACCGGGCTAACTTTTGAGTGTTGCAGCACTGACTGAGCTTAGCTGGCCCGGCTCCCCAGATCTCCTCGAGATCCCCGGATCTTCGCCTCTTCCCCTCCCCTCAACTCGCCTCGCCCCATTGATGCTCGAGAGTCGCGACGTAACATGCAACATTACATGCCTATAATTTGTTTTCACACAGCAGGACGTTTTCACTCAGAAAGAGGTCTTAAATGGTCACATTACTGCCATTTCCAACAGCGTTCAAATGTCCAAAGACTGGCTGCATCTTCTCCAGCATTTCGAGGCGGGTTTCTGTGCCCGTGCCCGTACCAGTGCCGTGCCGTGCCGTGCCCGTTCCTATGCCTTTTGGCCAGATCTATGCTACACAGCCTTCGGCCAATGCAATAATGTTTGCTAACTGTTATTTAATATAGTCATTATTTGGCCACAACTTGTCCCACTGAGCAAATGGCACTTCATTCCCCAATTTACCGACGCATCCCCCGCGGCATTCTGCCTCATCCTCTATTCACCGTTGTTGCCCGAACTTTGGCAGACGCAGTCTTGGAAAAGTGCAACCTACACTCTAAATAAAAAAAAGTCAAGTAGGGAGATTTATAGCGAAAATGTGTTCAACAATAAAAATTTAAACTCTTATCTGGGTTAAGATGTTTGGAAAGTAAGTTGATAATGTTAAACAACCTTTGGAAAATGCAGAAATGTGCTTTTGTTTATGTAATGGAATGTATTATTATTTAGCTGTAACTTTTCTTTGAATAATCTTAAAACGTAAGTTTCAATAAAAGTGTTTTGTTATAATTAAAAATAATGTTTATAAATGAGTTTAAACTAGCTATAACCCTAATGACTGTACACACTCTTGGAAAAATGGCAATAGCCAATTCAAATGTATTGGGAAATGAAGAATATCAAGGGTTCAGATCAGGAATCAATCCAGGCATAATTATTATTATACAGTATTATACCTTTCAATTAAAACTAATTAAAAAAAAAAACTGATTTAAGATACCTAATTTAAGGTGGAATGATAATGAGTGTAATAAATGGTGGTTTTAGTGCTAGTAGCGAATTGCTCTGGCCTCAGAGCTCCAATGATCGAATGCACAAGTGCCGGCGCTGACCAACCCCATCCTCATCTCCGTCCCTCTCCAACTGGGCACCCCTCTCGCTCGCTCTTTTCACAACTGAGGCTAAGCCCCAATTTGGATTATTTGTAGACATTAAATAAGCTGCGGCCACTGCAAATGCAGAAGGAATTAAGTCGCGCCAGAGTTAAAAATATCCGCGAGACGTCTCGGGATTGTCCCATTGCCAGTTCCTAGATCAAGTTGTCCCGATAAAGGTGCAGCTGCAGATCGTTTTTTTTTTTTTTTTTGGAGGGGGGAGGAGGCACGGAGCTACAGAGGAGTGACAGTGGGTAAAAGGCATCTTTACACAATTCAATTGAGTGGCAGACGGGCCATTTACATATGAATACCAAGTGTCCTTTACCGTTAAGGCCGGGGTAACAATATAATATGGAAACAACAAAGCCAGCTACCAACTACCAACAACCAACTACCAACTGTGCTGCCCACACTAAACAAGTTAACATTAACCGTCGGCAGCAGTCAACACCAACAATAACAATACCAATAGCAATAGCAATAAAAGTTCAAAATAAAAACAAAACACAACACAAAGGGGAGGGCAAGAAAAACACAACACGAAAAAGTATCTTCAAAATACACTTATGCTGTCTTTTTATGGCATATCTTTTACTTATTTGCCCGCACTTAAGTATCGCGGCGTTCCGTCTGCGCGGCCAAAGCTGCTTTTTCAGATTTTTCCTCTTTTTATTTTCGATTTGTCTGTTTCTGTTTCTGTTTTGTTTTATTTTTTTTTTGTTTTTTATGATTTTATTTTTATTTTTGTAAATGAAATGAAATCGAAATATGGGTCGTCGGCGCGCAGTCTGATTCCGATTCCGTTTTCGAGCCAGTGTCCCATCCATCGCCCACTTCCACTCCCCCTAAAAGCAAAAAACCCCTTCGAAAAGCCGAAAAAAAACTCCTGATCTCGAAACACACTTCCAACAAGAGATGCGAGCAAAATTTGGAGAGCATTATTGGCACGAATTATTAACCTTTTCTTTTGCCGTGTTTTTTTGTTTGTTTTTTTTTTTTTTTTTGTGTTTTTTTGGTAGTGCACTTTAAGCCCACATCTCATTGGGGCGAGAAATTGGCCCAAAAATATGTACGTATATGCGAAATGAGCCGCAATTCGGCACGAAAGATCGTTCCAATTGGAACATGAGACCGCGACGAACTGCACATCCATGCATTCGTATTTATAAGTCCAAAGAACTTTCACACAACTGGGTTAATCGAAAATAAAAGCAGAGCCTAATGAGGCCTGATGTACGTACTATGGATCTTTATGCTTCGTATTAGGCCTTTGGAGCTGACCTTGCCCACGGAGTGTAGGTACGAAACCTCGCCCTTGGCTGATTTTTCACCTTTTTACCGTTACGACGAGCACTCCGAACTGCGACGCACTGGATCGGTTGGAATCCCGCCCGAATCGTGGTTATCCCACTGATAACTAATTCACGTAGCAACGTTCACGTTTTTTTCTTTTTTGACGCTTTTTATCCGCGGACACCTCCGAACACGGCCAAATGTAATTGCCAAATGAAGATCACTCCAACAACCGGCCCTGTGCTCCGCTATGCGGTTGTTGTTGCTGCTTCTGCTGCCGAATATTCGGTCTGCTCAGCTGCTCGGCCGCACAGTGGAAGCGATCGGCAGCATTGCCAACTATAACTTTTACGAAATTTAAAATCAAAGTTTATTAAATTCACCTAACATTTTCTTTAAAATTGTTTTTCAACTATATAGTATTGAATAGAATTTCAAATCTTTTTAATAATTTTTATTTGATTTTGTAAATTTTTAAATTAAATAAATGAAATTAAATCAATAAGTTTTCTTTTTCTTAAATTCAACACCAACACATTTAGCGTAAATATTAAGCCATCAATAAATAACGGGTTTTTAGTAAACAATCCCACTGTATAAAAGGCACTAGGGAATAATAAGTGCTCATAATTGCGTATGGCAATTGACCGCTATGTCAGGTAATCGATAAATTTTTAGAGGAGAATTTGAAAAAAAAAATAATTAATAATGCAATAAAATTAATGTATTTACGTTATTTGATTATAATTACCAAAAATCTAAAAACAAAATGAATATTTAAACAAAATCTTGCATATCCTTATTATTACACAATCGTTGTTTCAACATATCAAACCTAGTTAATTTCTTTTTAATAAAAAAACGTAGTAAATTTAATATTTAAGAATGTGGATTTTGTAAATTCTTTTGTTTTAAGTTAAAAATTAAACAAACAAAACTCCTTGATATTTGTATTATAAGAAATATCGATACTTTTATTGATTTGTGTACATGTGACAACCCTGTTACTTAAGCCGTTGTTGTTCTTTTAATTAAGCCAATATTATTTAAAAAAGGTACGCCCACGCCCTATAAAACAAAACAAGCTGATTAAATTTAAAGAAAATAACACTGGATAACCCTGAGAAGTAACTAGTAATTGGAAAGCTTAAGAAAATCCTGTGTTTGAACTGTATTTTCACCTATCATAATATTTGGGCGTTGACGGTGTCACGCAGACCAAATAATTGAGAGATTATATATTGTTTATTTATATTTGCTGTTATATCTATACAGAACCATGGTCGTGCTGAGCTCCTGCTGGTCACCCATCATCTGGTCTGATAATGTCCGGACGGGAAGTTACGCCGTAGCCGCCTATACGGCTGCGCTGTCCGCTGTGCTGATCACGTTGATTGCTTACATGCTGGCGGGCGGGGAGTCTGCGCAGCTATACTCACCGCTTTTTGAAACGGACATCCGGTCATCGATGCCCGTGGCAGGGGGATTCTTCATCATCTACTTCCTGCTGATTATCCTGGCCTCCTACTTTGTCTACTACGGCATAAGGATCAGGTTTGTATAGCTTAAATCCTGGACGGCAGGGCCTTTTGTAATAGTTCTGCCTTTTATTCTTAGCACACGAGGATGGCTGCTCCCTTGGTTAGGTCTCATCGGACTGGCCATTCTCTTCCAGTTTTGCTGGAGTCTGTGGCTTATTGGCGGCTACTACATTTATGTAAGTAATGCTTGCTCTTCTCATTAACTTAAACTAATGAATCAAATTTAATTTATCCTTCAGCTGGAACAAACCTTCTCGGCTCTTTTAAACTTCGTTTGGTGTGCCTATAATGTGAGTTATAAAAGTAATATTTGTCTAGAGCGAACATTCTTTAAAAACTGGATGTCTAAGCTTTCTTAACTTTAATTTCTCTGTTTTTAATTGCACCTAAGAATAATTGAAATTGAATTGAACTCTTAAGCCCGAATCTTTGATTTACAGGCTTCTTTGATCTAGTTCCAAAAATACGAGTGAAATTTAATAAACCCGTTTTTCGTCCTTTCAGGTTTACTGCTGGCTTGTAGTGTTCTCGCAATACCAGATATTTTTAAAAATCCAAAACCCAAACATTGAGCTGCTGATGCCATGATGGCAATCCTTCCAACCATAGAATACTTTTGACTCGATACGCAACATAATAGCCGTCCAAGCGCATTTTTTACAATAAGAATTCCATACATTTCCACAGATGCCTACCAAATAGTTTTATATAAATTGATATATTTTACACACCATTATACACGATCAACTATACTAATGTATAAAATCGAATGCCTTAGTCTGCTAAACGACAATTAAACAAATAGATTCGTAAAACTAATAGATCGGTGTATATACTGGGTCCTTGGGGCCAAGAAATCATTGTGGGTTTTGAATATCAACGTTTATTACCGTAAATTAAGTTAAGGTGTACTCTAATTATACGAGTTTGTGTGTGTGTGTGTGTTTACATCGAGAAAGTTATTATTTGTACAGAAACGTTAAATGAAAGCTGACGACCTTTAACCACTGAAGCAGGGGATCAAAACTGGATGAAAGTACGGGAGACCGGAGAGGGAACGGGTATGCGCGCGGGTCACTAAATATACATTAAGGTAAATCTTTAAATCTTAGGATCGAATAATTTACAGAGCCTGGTGTTTGACACAGAGCAATGGGCTGATTTCGCCGGAGGAGTCCACTAGGTCTTCTCCTCCTTCTCCTTATTGTAGCGCTCCAGTTCCTTAAGGAACTGCGCCTTGGGCTTCATCACGTTGGGCCGTTCTCCACGGCAGTTGGGGCAGAACCACTTGCCCTTCGGCTTCAGCACCAGAGAGACGCACGAGAAGTGGAACCACTCGATGGGACACAGGTCGTTGTCGCACAAGATCATTTCGCCAAAGGAGATCTGGTAGAGAAATTCAGTTGGTAAAATAATTTCTGGGGATCATAACAGTTTTGAACTCACTTGATTGCAGACACAGTAGGTCGGCTCGTCCGGATCAATGGTCTCCGGCGGCGGCGTCTCCTCACGCGTGCTGGCATTGGCATTTGAAGCCCCAGATCCACGTACTTTGCGTTTCTTTTTCTTGCCGGAATTGTTGCCTCCTCCAACAACTCCTGCTCCACTGCCGCTGGCACCGCCGCCTCCTGCTGCCCCACTGCTCGTGGCCGCCGAACCGCTGGCCAAACTGCTGGCCGCCGCTTGTAGGCTGGCCTTGCGTCCCAGTCCCGCTCCGTTGCCGCCGCCCAACGAGGACTTGCGCTCTCCACTGCCTCCGCCGCCGCTGCCACTGGCTTCATTAGCCGAGTTGGACTCATTGCCGCCCATCTCGAGGGAGCTGCCATTATTGACCAGGCTTTCGTTTCGCCTCCGCGAGCGCTTGCTGCCCGTGCGCTGCAGATCTCCGCCAGCACCGCCGCTGACGTTGCCATTGGAGCCGCTGTTGCCGCCGTTGCTGACATGGCTGGAGCGCTCCGAGTTGGGTGTGGAGCTGCCCCCGTTGCCGGATGGCATGGCACTTGAACCGGGCACAACGCCGCCTGGATAACCGCCCAAGACATAGTGATCCTTGGCCGAGAGCAGGCCATTCCCGTTCAGACCACTATTGCCAGTGCCCGCTAGGTTGCCCTGCTCCCGCATCGGGCTCTGCAGGCGCTGCAGCTTCGAGGGCTGGCCGTCCTCCAGGAGCGTCGCATACCGGTCGCGCTCCTCCTTCAGGTCCAGGTTCTGCTGGTCGGTGTCCAGCTGGCGCAGCTTGCCGTCGATGATCTCCTGCATGTGGTTGACGATCTGCATCTTCTCGTCGCCCAGCTCCTGGGCCTGGATGAGGCTCTGATGCATTCGCGTCATGCTGCGTGATCTTCGCGCGGCATCCGGGGAGTTCTGCAGGGACAGATACAGGTCGTAGTAGTGGTCCACGTCGCGGATGAGGCCTGCCAAAACGAAGGGATCCGGAGGAGGTTAGGTTTTGCCCGCTCTTTGCCCGGGGCAATCTTCGCCAGAACTCACCTCTGTACTGCACGTCTATGTCGCGGATGCGGGACAACTGGCGCTGCACATCGTCCGGCAGATTCTCCACGGAATCGATGTAGTTGTCCACATAGTTGGCCGAATTGATGGCCTCCGATTCGGATGCAATGGGGTTTATCATGTTGTTTGGGCTGCGATTCGCTCTATTCCCGCCGTGACATCGGCTCGGGGACGTGGAATCGGCTGGGAGCTGCTCGTCCGGAGCTCTGGAAGGGATCGGCTGGATGAATATATGGCCAATTCCACTCAGATCCAACTTTTTGTATGGCGTTGCGAGTCCCAAATTGCGACTGTACTCGTGTGTGCGTGTATGTGTGCGTAGGTATTATTGCAGATATATGTATGTATACAATGGGTGTAGCTTTGCAACACTGGCCGTCTGGTGATTTGCAGCACTGAACTCAGGGTGGTTTACGGCACTGCCGTTTTTGGTTTCGACATCAATTATTTAGTTTACATATTTTATGAAATACTCTCATTTTATACCAAAAAAGTGGTTAGCAATTAAATACTTTATTTTTAAAGTAATGAATTTTTAATTTATATATTTGTTAATTTTAAAAATGCATTTTACTACCGGGCAAATATTAAGTGTTGGATAACACTTTTGCAATAAGTTAGGTGTTTGACTGCGCGCCAAACAACGTTAACTTAAAAAAAAAACTGGAGCCATCGTCCAAATTTTAAAATGTTTGTGAGAGTCGATAGATATTGACCGAAGAAAACTAAATATATTCTAACTGATCTCTGCCATGTCTAGATTGGGAGTGTTCCCAGTTTGAAATAAACTAGCGCTGCATGAGTATAACTAAAATCTCGAGCAATTATAGTTTCCGAGATCTCGCGGCTCATACGGACAAATGGTTCTTGAGCTTGATCAAGAATATGTACTTTAGGATCTAAAATGCCTTCTTCTACCTGTTACATACTTTTCGACGAACTCACAATATCCTTTTACTCTACGATAAACGGGTTTAATATTAAAAATATTTTATAAGTAACTTTTATGTATATCGCTTGATTGTATCCTTTACACCATTTGTTTAAGACTTAGAATAAATGTGTTCCACACATTAATTAATAATGTATTAATTTAAATTTGTATTTAAGTTTAATAATTATTAACATCCTTTATTTTAGACATACATATGTGTACAAGTATTTAAATTTTCAAGTCTCTTCAATCAGCATAGAAATGTTTACAGTTATTAAATGCACAATACTCTTGATTGTGGGATGTAATAATTTGAGTAAATATTTTATATTTTTACAGAATTTATGTTTATGACTTCAATTTTTGCTTTCATTGAGCTTTTGACACTTTCATTAAAGTTTATTAAGTAATTTGCCGTTTAAGTTTATGTGTATAAATTATTTAAAAAAAGATGTTATTTTCTGCTCTTCCTGAGTTGTGCATTTGGCTTAATCCTAAATAAGTGATGTGTTTTTTGAGATTCTTTAAACCAAATGATTGTTTAATATGGTAATTTATCTTCAGTAGTTCAAAAAATCGTGAAGCGTTTTCTCCAGTCCATTACATTCATTTTCCTGAGCTTTTAGAACATTATTGTGGTGCGTTTTGGTTTTGTAGTGTTTGTTTAGATTGTACCTATAACGATAGTAAGCATCGCAGATTTCACAGCTGCCAAAAAAATAATGTATAAGTAAATGGGTAAAATTCAGGAACTATTTTGGAACTTACCAGTAAGGACGTTCGCCAGTGTGTATCTTCTGGTGTTCGTTTAGTTTGCAACGCAGTAGGAACCCCTTGAGGCAAAATTCACAGTAGAACGGAAACTTATCGTGTAGCGCTTGATGACGCTTTAAAGCAGATGGGTCCGTAAATCCTCGCCCACAAACCTTGCACTCAAAGGGCTTGGTTCCGTCGTGTGAGTTCATATGGTAGCTTAAAGCCTTCTTGGATTTGTAACTCTTTGTGCACTTGGTGCAAAAATGTCGACCGACGTGTTTCTTTACACTCTGTCGCGCAAGAATACGGGGTCCTGCACCATGAACTTCCCTGAAATGAATAATATCATTTAAATAATTAGGTTTTTATCATAATTCCTACAATATATATATACCTCTCGTGCTTGTGACGAGTGCTTCCGCTTGCGAACGACTCGCTGCAATGATTACAGGGAAACGGATTTTCGCCCTTGTGTCGCACCTTTAGGTGAATGTTGCGGGAATAGGAGTCGTAGAACTTCTTCGGGCACTCTGGACAATCGAAGTTCTTGGAGCTATTGTGCCGAAGCAGGTGCATCTGAAGATGGCAGACTTGGCGGAAGGAGTGGCCGCACTGTTCGCAGACGTGCTTGAATGGCTGAGCTTGAACCCTTTCGCGGCGCCTTTTTCTTTTCTCCTCGTCGCTCAATCTTGGTTTGTATTTTGGCACTGGCAGAGAGAGCTTGTGCTGTTTCTTTTTCGGTTCGGAGGACGTAGTTTCTTCATTGCGATTGCATTCACTTAACACTACCTTATAGACCTGATCTCCGGGAGCCACCTTTCCAATCTCTTCCTTGGTTTCACATTTTTTAATGCTTACAATCTCGTTGCAAGCATGCTTTGGTTTTCTCGATGATTTCTTTTCTTCCAAATCAACTTCTTTTAGAGGGAGATCAATATCTTCATTAACGAACTCTTCTTCTAGTGGGAAGTCCAGATCATCTAGAGCACACTCACTGTCCGACAAAAAGTCTAGTTTTAAATTTACTCCCGAGGCTTCATTGGTTTGCTGGGCGGACTGTTCGTAGAGGACATTCTCCAGTTCCGATTCGATTTCATCGTCACAATGTTGGAGACCGTACATTGAGCCAGTTTCTGTAGTTTGGTTAAGTTTTTTATCTATCTGAATGCATTTATCACGGAATTCAATGGATTTCTTCAGATCATCCTGGCAAGTTTTACAGATGTGATGGGGTAAACTTTTCACTCCTCTTTGTATCTGCGTAGAGATAAAGTTTATGAATAAAAAAGTGAAATATGTTTTATTGTTAAGAGTGGGTCGATTTTTAAAAAATCCATTTTTAAATGTTTACTTGACTGAACATTTTTTGGGATAAACATAATTTTAGTTTTATATACTTTTGTATTATATTGTCAACATTTTCTAGTGAAAATATTTAAAAAATCACTTTTGGCTAAGGGATGGTTTTGGTTTAAATGCGATTTCTACGCAATTTTTGAGTATCATAAATCGACCCACCCTTTGAACACCTACCCACACCCCGGTGAGGGATTCCAAGTCGTAGCGAAGTCCACTGTTTTTCTTGTCATAGAGGTCCTTGACATTGGTATCCAGTGATAAGATTTCAAAGCAGGTGCGGCACTTTCTTTGTGAGATTGCATCCGAATCCTGGCTTACAGAGTCTACCTCGTCGGAGTGGCTATCGAAGAACGCACTGTCTGGAGTGGGAGTGGCAATGGTGGAAACAGTGGGAGTAGCTTCACTATCCTCCGGATCTGCCAAGAGCAGCTCCAGCCGCTTTTTGTTCATCAGTCTCGAGGAGCTCACTTTGCGCGCCCTTTCCACATGGTCTTTGTTTTCGAGTAGCAGGTTCCCCTTTAAGCACAAAAAGATGTGTACATATGTATACACACATACGTGATTAGAATGTTAATGATGCACAAGAGGAGTTTGAGGGACACACCCATTTTGAATAGCCGGCTGCCCTTGAAGACCGCATGTTTGAAAAGTTCGCCGCAGATAATGGGATTCCTCCTCTCGTTCTGTTTGGCAGGGCTGCGTCGCTTTTCCGGTGGAAAGTTTACCGGGTACTTGGAAAAGTCCAGAAAACAGCGATGTTTTTACCGGAATCTTTTGCCACGGTCTAGTATACGGAACTGATGCCGCAGCTGGGGACTGCGCACTTCATCCTTTGCCGGCAAACTGCGAAATTTCTGCAAAACAGCAAGCCGGGTTTGCAGGGCTGCACAGCCTTGAACTAGGGGATGCAACCAGGGCTGCGGACATGTGCGTAGCCGGACTCACTTTTTAGGGGGATTATATTATAACAAATAATCTTGGATTGGTGTTTTTTTTTAAGTTATAAAGTCATTGAGTTTAAATAAATATGTTTTTATTTAAATTACGATTTTTCGTTTGGTACGCCCTCTGTTGTTCTGAAAGAACCAGTTTGTTCACATGGCGCGAACATTTGAATATCCAATTTGACCCTTTGATTTTTTTAAGCGCATGTTGTATTTCGTTAACTAGTAAAAAAAATATATTAATTAGCTTACGAATTATAAATGTGTGTTTTTCAATTCAAATATAGGAAAAGCGGTGCTTTTTGAAACAAAATGTGTATTAAATAATCTGTATATTAAAGCATAAAAAATTTAACATAAAACAAATACATCTTTGTAGGCCAAGTAGAACTTTATAACAATCTTGAACTGGAAACAAATGCTTCACTCATCCTATGGCAAAGTTTCATCTCCATCATCCAGTGTTTTCGTTTTCTCCTGCTTTTCGACTCTCAATCGATGCTGCTTGGATTTGAAGTGGGTTCTCAGGCTGCTCATCCGATTGAAGTGTGTCTTGCAGATCTCGCACCTGAAGTGAAAACATATTTAGTAAGCATCAAAACAGAATAGGAAGGTATTCCACTACTAACTGGTAGGGCTGTTCGCCCGTGTGCACCACGCCGTGGAACTTTAGCATCCTGTTTTTCTTGAATGCCTTGTTGCAGATGGGGCACACGTACGGTCTATGGTCGGGGCACTCCTTGTGGTTCCGCTCGTGGTCCAACCGCCTAAGGCAGTTGTGGAAGCGCTGGCCACAGTACTTGCACTTATAGGGCTTTTCACCGCGATGCTTGATCCGCACATGCAGACTGAGGAGATGCTGGCTGAAAAACCTGCGGTCGCACTCCTTGCACTGGAACTCCCTGACGCCCTTGTGCCGCTTGAGGTGCAGATTGAAATTGCCCTGTTCGCTGAAGGTTTTTCCGCATTGATCGCAAAAATAGGGTCTCTGCTCCTTTGCAAGAGCTCTTTGCACCGCCGCCCACCTTTTTCGTGCGGCATATTTTTCTTCTTTGCTCTTTTTTCTAATTGTTCTTTTGGTTTTGTTATTGGAAGACGGTCGTACATCTATGATTTGCTCGTTTGTGGATTTTACTTCTACGTCGTGTTGGATTCCGGGTTCCTCTTTCATGATTTCTTGGTTTACTGATTCCACAGGCTCATCATCCGAAAGAAGGGGCTCGTTCATCACTTGAATGTTGTCTTCGCATCTTAAAGGATCCAGTTCAACAGAAGGGGACACAGGGCTAGCCCAATGATAAATGCAGTTGTCTGTAATCTTAAACCGAGTCTTATACAGTTTGCTGTTGCTTGGTTGTGGAATCCTCGCTGACATAATCTCTTTTTGTTCTTGTGAAGTACTGGATGGTTCGATCTTCACCTGGATATCAATAGAAGGAACTTCAGTGCCAGAAAAGCCATTTGAAAGGTTCCCAATGCTCTTTGTGCGTTTTGATGAAATCTTCCTTACACTGATTTTTTGTTTCGTCAACTGGATAATGTCCTCGCGCCCTAGGGGCTCCACGACTTTAACAGAAGGGACTTCAGGGTCGGAAAAAAAATGTACAAGATTGCCTTGGGTCTTTGGCAAAGCCTCACCCAGTTCTCTTGTGAGCTCTTGCGCTTTCTTTTCTAGCACAGCCGTTAAGGGTTTCTTCACCTGGATACTGGCCTCGCAATGTAGGGGATCCACGAGACTAACAAAAGAGAGTTTAGAACCAGAACAAAAATTTAAAGGCCTTTCTATGGGGTCTGACGGAGTTTCATCCGGATTCCTGCTGCGTTGTGGTGAAATCTTCCGGAGCACAGCCATTTTTGGTTTATGCAAGGAGTTCAACGGCACTAGTTGCACTCGAATCCCTACTTGATCAATGTCGTCCTTCAATTGAGGTTCTAAATCCGCTTGTGTGTCCTTCTGCTCGGACCAGGATTCATTTGCCTTAATGCAGCGCTCCCGAAAGGCCATGGCTTTGTGAAGGTCTAGAAGACAGGTCAAACAAATCCTTGAGGGCACTCCGGGCTTCTCACTTAACTGGAAAGGAGTGGAATATGGCCCTGTGATCATTAAGATTTCAAAAAGCTTGGTAAAATAGTTCACCCAAATCCCAGTTAGCTTCAGTATGTTATGCAGGACGTAGCTGCGTTCCTTGTGGAATAGCATCTTGGCATGCTCCGCCTCCTGGCAACAAGTGCGGCACAGCGCGCTCATTTTTCTTTTCCAAGGTCCTTTCTTTCTTTCCTTAAATTTAATATTTGTTATTATTTGAAGAGAGCACTTCTGTTTACCAGAAAAGAATAACGCTTCTCAGTAAATGGCTAAAATATTGCAGGCGACGCGTTGTGAGTGTCAATTTTAACACTGCGCTGCAAATAAGTTGTACTTTCAGATTGTAAATCGACAGTGAAGGTAATAAATAGAAAATAATAATAGTATTTAAAGAGATATCTGTTATCATATAACTGACATAACTAGCTTGTTGTTACTTAAATATTACTTTTATTATTATAAAGCTAACCTGTTATATCACCGAATGTATGTATGTACATTAATTTCCCCAAATCACGCTTAAAAAGGAAATATAGGTTCTAAATTAAGGAAAGTGTTTTCTAAAGTAGAGTTGTTTGGAAGTCCATTTTCGTTTTACAAACATTTTTGACTTTTATCGAATCTTACTTAACTTTAAATGGAAACCATGCTATACTCTTCCTTCAGCTCAGTTTTGTCCCCGCCACCCTGTACCTTGGACTGCTCCAGGACTTTCTTTTGGTGCTGCTTAGACTTAAAATGGGTTGCCAGGCTGTTCCTGCGATTGAAGTGAGCCTGGCAGAGCTCGCAGCTGAAAGGGGAAGAAAATTAGATGGGATCCAGACAGTATGATCTTAACTCACTGGAATGGCTGTTCGCCTGTGTGAGTCACGCTGTGGTTCTTGAGAACCTCCTTCTTTTTGAAGCCCTTGTTGCAGATGGAACACACGTACGGTCTGTGGTTGGGGTCCTCCTCGTGTTTCCGCTCGTGGAACAACCGCTTGAGGCAGTTGTCGAATCGCTGGCCACAGAACTTGCACACATAGGGCAGTTCTCCACGGTGCTTGACCCGCACGTGCAAATTGAGCAAATGTTGTGTGAACTCCCTGCGGTCGCATTCCTTGCACTGGAACTCCTTGGTGCCCTTGTGCCGCGTGAGATGGACATTGAAGTTGCCCTTTTCGCTGAAGGTTTTTCCGCATTGATCGCAGAAGTAGAGTTTCTTTTCCTTTGCGATAGCTCTTTTCTCCGCCGCCCATTTATTTCGCGTGGCATATTTCTCTTCTTTGGTCTTTTTTCTTTTAACGGGGGGATAATCGACATTTTTCTCGTTAGGCTTATCTTTTGAGCACTCTTTGGACTTTGCCTGACGTGTCTTGGGTGTTCGTCCTCGTTTTTTTCTTTCGGGAGATGGTTGTTCCTCCAAGCTTTCGTGGTTTCTGGATTTCTCTTCCACGACATCTTGGTTTCCGGATAACTCTTCTATGACTTCTTGGTTTCCTGATTTCTCAGGTTCCTCATCTGAAATCAGGGGTTCGTTCTTCACATGGATAATGTAGTCGCAGTTCAGGGGATCCACGAAACCTGCAGAAGGCACGTCCCGAGATGTCGTAGGGGCATCAGTGGCTTTATATTGAATCTCGTCCGGTGTTCTACTGCGTTTTGGTGGAATTTTCCCCAGCACTGGGAAAGGTTCTTCTGGGCCAACGACTTCCTCAGTTAAAACATGCAAATCCTCCTCTTGGTCCTGAACCTTGAACCAAGAGTTGTTGGTTTTGATGCAGCGCTCCCGAAAGGCAATGGCTTCATTCAGGTCCAGCAGGCAGGACAAACAGATCATCGTCGGCACGCCGGGCTCGTCACTTAGCTGAAATTGATCATCGCACTGTTATTATTAGGAATTTACACCTGTTGTTATGATGCACTACCAGAATCCCCGTCAGCCTGAGAATGTTGTGCTGGACGTCGCTGCCTTCCTTGTCGAAGAGGGACCTGCCATGCTCCGCCTCCTGACCACACGTGCGACACAGCGTGGTCATTTTGCTGGTCTCCCCTCTCTTTGGAATTTAAACTTAGTTGTCTTAAATAGAATCGGTTTCGTTTTACCAAGAGGTGACCGCTTCCGACTGAATAGCAAAATATATTACTTGTGTATGCCTTGTGAATGACAAATTAACACTGCGCAACAACAGCGCAGTTCTTTATTTATGTTTAGTTTTAATTCAGTATCTAGAAGCATAAAATTAATTATATATTTGTTTTGCCTTGGGTTTATTTTATCAACAATATTTTTTAAATATATATTAGGGAAAAGCCTTAAATTTAATAACAGAGAACTGTTTATTTTCAGTACAAACACATCTTAGTGGGCACTCCGGGTTTGTTGGTTAACTGGAATGGAACAGGACCAAGAATAATGAATGAATTTTATCGAAAAGACTGCAAAACCTACCAGGTTAAGGAAAGACCGCGCCGTCCTCTTCGAAAAGTTTTCTGCCATGCTCCGAAACCAAACCGCATGTGCAACATTAGGCGAGCTCTCTTTTTTCCCTTTCCTGTCATTAATTTTGAAACTAGTTTGAATTGATGTTGCAAATATACTTATACAGAGTTGTTAGTTTGTTTACAATGGTGGTGAAGAGCTTCGCGGCGATTGACAAACGCTGGGTGAATGACAAATTCCACACTAAGCGACAAATTAATAATACTTTATTGAAATAAGGGCTGGATTTCAGCTTCTTTCTTTTTTTTTCTATCTTTGATTTCTTTTTTTGTAGTTTAAAGGTAAAGTGGGCCTTTCGGCTTTGCAGAACATTGTTCGAATGTCAATTTGTTAATCGTTTTCTTTATGTTCTGTTTATAGGCGAATAATTGTTGGCGGCAGAATTTGAAATCCTCTCGGATCACTACTGAACTTATTTTTAGAAGATACATATATAGGCCGTTATCGATGAAAAGATTAGTTTCGTATAACAAATTCACTTATTCCTAAGAAATTTGACCAACTCGTAGACTATAACTTATATGCTAAGGGTTTTTGTTTTAAAGAAAAGGGAATTGGTCGGTTACGATGAAAATTAGAGTTATAAATGGTAATTCACAGAAAATTATAACTAAATAATTTGGACAAGTTATGAGAATTAATTTGCAGGTTTCTCAAGTCCAATATAAGTAAAAAGTTTTTAAACTTAACGAAAGGCAATCCAGTGCCAAAACAAAAAACATTTAAAGACTATAAACATTTTTCTTAAGCCCTATACATATTAAGTTTAAACAAAACAAATTATTTCTGATTTAAAAATTGGTTAATCCAATCTTAATTGAAAAACTCTTGCTCATCTGGTAAGATTGAGCTTACGGCGATTTGTGCTTCGTCAAGGTCTAAGCCCAGTTCAATGTCCAGGATTGTGGTTGCTTTTTTCTGGTGTGCCTGCGATTGGAAATGCCTTTTCATACTTTTCCTCCGTGAAAAGTAAATATGACATATGTCACAGCTTGAAGAGGATACAGTCGATTCACATTGATTTAAATATAAACATATGGATGAGATTACTTACTAAAAAGGTTTATTGCCGGCGTGCAGGACCTTGTGGTTGTTTAAACAGGTCTGTGTATGAAATTGCCTGCCGCACTCATCGCACATGTAGCTCCCATCTCTGACGTGTTTCATTCTGCGGTAATTAAACAGTAATAATAAATCAACTATTAGAGATATGACTTACACCTCGTGTCGGCTCTTGGCCGTGCTGGTAGAAAACGATTTCTGGCAAAACCTGCACTTAAACGGCTGTTCGCCCAAATGGCGAACTCTCTTGTGCAGGTTTAGCAGGTGTATGGAGACAAACCGTCTGTCGCACAAGTTGCAGATGAAATCCTTTTTACCAGTGTGGCGCAACATATGCAACTTTAGGTTGTTGAGGCTCTTCAAGACCTTCCCACATTCGGTGCACTCTCGAGATCGAGTTTTCCGCGTCTTCATTTTTCTGTCAGGCGGAATGTTCTCATTTTCCTCTGAAAACGTTACCTTCTTAATGACCTTTTCTGTTTTATGGATATTTTCTTTGGGGGCTCTTATTTCAGCATTTGAAATTGCATTTCCTGCTGCTATCAAAGTCTTAACCTGAGGTATTTTACCATTTTTTGGAATTTGATTGCCATGTTTAGCTAAATTAGAAAGTTCAAAATTTTTAAAGTCCTCAAATGTATCAATTTCAAACGCCTTGGTTTTTTGATATTGGTATTTTGATATTTTAGATTCTTTTGCCGAAAGCAATACTTCGTTTCGATATCCCTGTTGAGGTTCTTTAAGTCTTTTAAAATATGGAGAATCTGCATTAGCGTCGGATTCTTGATCACTATCTATTGCCTGGATCATAAGATTTTGGTCTAGAGATAGACGACTTTCGCATTCTTCAGCTTCCTTACAGTAAGAATCTTCAAAGAGAATTTGGTAATTTGGACTATTCTCATTAAACCATGCTTCGTTATCCTCCGATACTTGATCACTTTCATTTGCCTGATATTTACGGAAACGATAAAGGTTGGGAGATTCTGGTTTCCATGCTTGATTGTCAATGTCTAAAATAGACTGGAGCTCGTATGTTTCACGACGATCGTCGTCGTCCTCTTGATCACTCTCTTTTTCTTGATTTTTCAGTTTGTGAAGATAGTCAAGATCAGGAGACTCAGAGATATCTGAACTAAATTCTATGATATCCTGTGAACTGTTTTGATTGTCCATATTTAGTTTAGTATAGAACTCCTGTGATTCGACATCACTTTCACTTGCTTTTGAAATATTTTCTATAATTTCTGACATGTCCAGTTCACAGGGGAAAGCCCCATCCAAATCTTCATTTGTCACCTGAGTTTCCAGATCAGAGTCACTTTCGGTTCCCTTTCTTGACATCAGTTTCATGTGGTTCCGCCCAATGCGATCCCTTAACTTTATTGACGTATTCAAGTCTTTCAGACAAGATGGGCAAATGTGACGCGGTAGGTGCTTCTCTTCTCGTAACTGTAAATGGAGTAGTTAGTGCATTTTCATTGAGAAATGGGAAGCACCAACGCACCGATAGTCCAGTGAGATCTTTGACCTTGGCGAGAACATCCCGGTTGAAGATGATCATAGGATTCTCTTGGCGGAAATAATGACAGCACAGCCGACATTGAACAGCCATTTCGATGTAAAGACTTTGATCAATCGCGCGAATATAATCCTTATGCCCACATAGCCAATGTGTATAACTCCAGGTTTTTATTGTGTGAGAAGATCTGATTAGTGTAAATTTGATCCCGAAAATTGAATTAAAACCACTTGGAAGCGCACGGCGGCAAAGTTTTGCCTTGGCGTTGCCAGATCAATATCATTCGAATAACTGTTCTTTTTAGCTAAGAAACCAGGGATACAAATAGAACCAGTTTGTTTTTTAGTGCGTTCTTATATAAATTACCAAATGAACCAAATCTTGTTGGTTTTAAAATTAATATACTTTTATTAAAAAATTGTATTTTGCATATTTTCATAACAAATTCTATTTTTCTTAAATAATGCTTGGAACACGGTTGATGGTTCAAAAAACTTTCCTTGAACCACCGACCCGAATAAACTTCGATTTTCGACAGCCTGCATCCCTGGCATTTGTGAATGTTTGGCGCCAATTGCGTCTTATGATTTGAGTTAGAAGTTAAGTGTACAGTTCCTCCTCCATGATGGTCTCGTCATACTCGAAATCCTCAAACGGCTCTTCCTCGTCCATAAGCTCTTCGTGGTCCTCATAGTGATCTTCGTCTATATCCTCCAAAAGAGCATCCATTTCGGCCTGACTCTCCTCCATATCCGCCTGACCTTCTTCCATGTAACCAGGACTCTCCTCGTTTTCGGCATCTGACTGGAATTCCTCTTTTGGATCCTCTGCCAGCAAGTTCATCCGCTTACGATGATACTTGGTGGAATAGTGCCGATTCAAAAATTGTGCCTCCTTAAACTCCTTGTTGCAGGTAAGGCATCTTCAAACCGAAACAAATATAAAAGTGGTTATTGAAATAACTTTCAACTAGTTTCAAAAGATTTCTTACATGTGGATATCCGGCTGGTTGTTTTTGTGACCCTCTTGATGTTTGTTTCGACCCTTGTCGCTATTGAAACGTTTTCCGCAGACGCCGCAGGGAAAGGACAGCTCGTTTGGATGCATTTGGCTGTGAAAAGACAGAGATTTTGATGTGATATGAGGACTATTTAGAAGAAGGACCATAACTTACCGCTCATGCCGACATCGGCTGGGACTATTGGCAAATCCCATGCCGCAGAATTTGCAGACATACGGTTTTTCGCCCTTGTGGTGAACCCGGTCGTGCAGTCGGAGCAGCGACTTGGTGTAAAACTTGCGACCGCACTCGTCGCACGAGTACTGCTCCTCGAAATGGCGCAGCTTGTGGTCTTTCATGTTGCTATGGTCATTGAAGGACCAGCCGCATTGGTCGCACACGTATCGCTTTATTGAACGATCGACCTTTGGGCGGGGACGCCGCTTTCTGGGCTTGCGGATTGGCTTCTGAGGCGGTGACGTTGGTGGCGTAGCAGCTCTACCCACCTCCGGCACACGAAGGCGCTTTACCATCACGCGTGGAGATTGACTATTGGGCAGCTTTGGAACCGCCCGTATTAGTTTCTTGGCCGGTGGCGACTTTATAACGGGTTTCACATCCATGGACTCCTTAATGTCCTCCATGTCGCTCATATCATCCTGGGCCTCCCGTTTCAACAGCGGATCGCCGTCCGACTCCAGGGCCACCACGCTCCCCTTTGAGACACCCTTATTGGTGGGGGATGACGATGTCCTCTGGTGCAGGTTCTCGTGCGTTTGCAGGCACCGCTGCCGGAAAGCAATTGCATGGCTCAGGTCCAGGAGGCAGCAGGAGCAGATGTGCTGCGGCAACAGCTTCTCCAAAACAATCTGGGAAAGGATAAGTTTATGAATAGATCGAGGCACCAATCGAAAGGGACGCCACCTCCAAGCCTGTGATTTGCTCAATGGCAGTCCGGATGCGATGGTTACGCTTTTCGAAGATGTTTTTCGGGTGCGGCGTGAAGATTCGCTCGCCACAGATGCGGCACTCGCTAGCCATGCTTGCAGAAAAATGTTTATAATTAATTTTATTAAAATCGGTAGCCAACTTTTTATGCGCCGGCAGAAAGGTTTTGATTCAAGTGTGACCGTTGCTTACTGCAGCCAAAATACCCATTGGCGGGAAGGAACTGTTTTGATAAATCGAATTAGATTTGTTTAAGTTTTTGCCTTTAATAAACAAAAGGACAGGAAAATAAAAAGGTTGTATTTATTCTTTTTGCTAGAACTATTTTCTTTTTAAAATTCCTTGGTTTTCTACACATTTCAAATGGCACAGCAACAACAAAAATCAGCTGTATTGGTTCTTCTTCTTTCTCCGACATTCACTTGAAAATACAGTGCAGTAATGTTACATATTTATACAAAATTTGATTTTGTTCCGTTCATTTAAAATGTCAGAACTGCGATCAGTCTGTAGAACTTGTGGTAAAAATGTTGAGAGTTCGGTGGCCACCAAACTCTTCCAAAAATCCAACTATCATTTAATTAGTTTGGTGGAAAACATTACTGACATGTTTGTAAGCCTCTAAAATAAATCTATTTTGATAACTTGTTACATTAATTTATTAATTGTTTTAACTTTTGACTAGTTAGAGCTTGATAGTTACATGCCGGTTCTCATTTGTAATTCGTGCAAACTTCAGCTGGACAGGATTTCAACATTTCGCAGCAGGTGCTTGGAGGTCCATCAATCCTTTTTGGCCATCAAAAAGAAGTTTTTACAACGAAAAGCAGTAACTGTTGAGGAATTGCAAGAGGGAACTCTGCTGAGGGAGCTTAAGGAAAAAGAAAACCATCTAGAGTATCTGGAAAACTATGTAGAAGAGGAGGATCTCCTGGAGGATCAGGAGGATGCAGCGCAGGAAGAGGAATATCAGGAGGAAAATATACAAAAGGTGACGGAGCAACAAAAGGAGGAGAATCTGGAAGAACAGGTTCAAGAGGAGGAGGAGGACTTGGTGAATTTCAACCAGATTCCCAGGATCCGCAAGAGAACTACAGCCAACAGGTCGAGGCGGGAGAGACGCAATGCCAAGACGTGGATCTGTGACCAGTGCGGAGGAGTGTTCAAGTGCTCCACCTACCTGAAGCTGCACATGCAGCGCCACACTGGCCACAAGCCCTTCGAATGCGACATCTGTCAGGCGAAGTACTACACAGAGAACGAGATGCGCCGCCACAGGATCCTGCACTCGGATGCCAGGCCGTACGCATGTCGCTTTTGCGGCAAAACCTTCCGGGGATGCAGCAGCAAGGTCGTCCACGAGCGGACTCACACGAACGAGCGGCCCTTCCAGTGCCAGCATTGCGACAAAGCCTTCACTTCGACGTCCACGCGCCAAAGGCACGAGATGCTGCACACCAACCAGCGGAAATACCAGTAAGTAGGCATTACCATTATAAACCGTATCTTGGGCACAATACCCTTCTAGTAAGTATCGCTTTCAATCCAAGTTCAAACTAATTTAATTGGCAGAAATGTCTGTAGCATTTCGAATAGAAAATTCCAAAAGATGTTAATAAAATATTTGTTTCAAAGGATAATCGTATGTTCCTATCTCAAATAACTTGAAATTTATTTCTTTTGCAGCTGCGAGACCTGTGACCAATGGTTCCTGCGCCTTGCCCACTTGACCTTACACCAAAAAACAATACTGCATCAGCGAAGAGTTGAAAGTGCTTCGACTATCCCAAAATAAGATATACATAACTTTAAGGAGCTTCGACGTATTAAAAAAATATATTTAAGCATAATTTTAATTTGCATTGACTGTCTAACATAAGAAAATGCATTGAGTTGCATTGCTTGGTTAAAAAGAGAATAAACTTAATTTAACGGTGGAACGACTGACTAAAAACAAAGGATAAACATATTTTTGAATTTTAGTGAAGAGTCGGCGTTGCGGGGCGAATGCCTATTTTGGGGGTAACGGACAGAGAATGACATTATTCCGGGGGTTGCATACTCTGAATGACACTTCTTGTTCTTCCTTGAAAACAATAACTACATCAAATACTTCCAATCGATCTGTGTGGATTTATTTTTAAACAATGAGGTACATTTGCAGAACCTGTTCGCGAATGGCCGATCCTGCGGCAGCCAAGAACATTTTTGAGCCATCGAGTGCTTCCGTTTTGCAGCAAATTGAGACACTGACAAATTTGCAGGTGAGTGTGGGGGCTTTCGAAAGCTGGCCAAGGCAAACTAAGTTTTCTATAATTACTTTTCAGCTAAAAAAGGACGACAAGTTGCCCAGGTTTATGTGTCAGGAGTGCCAGCGTGATCTGCAAATCGCCATCGACTTCCGCAGAGTTTGCATCGAGGCCCAGGAGCTCCTCGAGCTGCAGCTGAAGCAGGTGGAAAAGGAGGAGGAGGCCCTTGAGAGTCTGGCGGAGCAATGGCTGGATGACTGCCCGGAGGAGTTCCCCGACTTACGGTCGGACCCGCAAGACAAGGAAGAAGATAAGACCCTCATCGGGCACGTAACACAGGATGAAGATGCACTAGAAACAATGTCTATTGCCTCAATGGAGCTTCTGAATACAACAGTCTGCAAGGAAAAATTCCTGCCTGAGGATAGTCCGCATGTGCTTCCAGAATTCTCTGCGGATAGCCAGTTGTCCGAAGAGAACTTCGACCTTTTGCTCTCGCCAGAGGCTGAACTTCCAGAGAGTGAAGCCATTGACGATCCGGACTCCTCCAGTCACACGTGCAGCAAATGTGGCCTTGATTTTGACGATCTGGACGAACTTAGGACACACAAATACCATCTGCACGACGTACCTCTGAATTCCAAGTAATCATCATCTTCCATATATACACAAACTCCCATCCACTTGGGCTATTCAAAATTTAATGCTAGCAATGAAAGTTATTTGATAAAAATCTTTATTTTAAAGATTCTCCTTGTTTTAAAGATTGTATTATATTATTAATATTATTTCTGTTTTAATTTTTATTTTAGAACGAATTCTTTAATTGTTTTTTAATTCTCGGAAATCAAAGACGTTTCCTTTAGAGATGGATTTTTGTATACACCAGATTACTAGAACTCCTCAAACCCTATCCAAATCACAGTATGGAGATGCAGTCTATTCAAGAACACCAAGTAATGCCATTTGTTCTTCAGATTCGTTTGTGACCATTGCAGCGAGGGCTTCCGATCAGCAGCCGCACTCACGAGGCACTGCAATATGCTTGATTTTCCAGCGACGCACGCATGCACCAAGTGCAGTTTGAAATTTCACAACCAGATACTGCTGGAGACCCACGAGGAGCGATGCCAGAAGCCATCAGAGGCCCTACATGTGTGCCACATTTGCGGCAAGCGGCTGACCACAGCCTTCAACCTGAAGAACCATCTGGTGCGCCATGCAGGCACTCGACCCCACAAATGTCACCAGTGCGATGCCTCCTTCTCCACCGCCGCAGAACTTAGTTCGCACCGGAAAACCCACACCTCGGAGCGTCCCTACGCCTGTCGCTACGACTGCGGGAAAACCTTCCGCTTTTGCAGCGCCCGCAGCATGCATGAAAGGTAGAACTAATCCAAAGCCTTCTCATTTGTTAACCCATACTCACTTGAACTATTGTACACCAAAGAATTCACATGGACGCCAGCAAACGTATCTACCAATGCGAATACTGCCCCAAGTCCTATGTCACCGCGAGCGACTGCAGGACCCACCAGAAATATCACAACTTGACCAGGGATCACAGGTAAGTAAAACTATTACAAATAAAGGTGGATTGAAATCAAAAATGGATTACCAAGAAAAAGCATTAAAAACAGATTGTTGTTATTATTGCTTTACTTGCGTCATCTTTAATTTAAAGAATCCTTACTCTTACAAAATTAGCATAAACTTAATAATATGTATGAAAAAATAAAATGAAATTTATATGCAAATGTTATTATTATAATGTATGTCAACTGATGAAGACAATTTCCCTCCCCTTACATTTCCAGTTGCGACACTTGTCGGATAAGCTTCAAGACTGTCAAGCACTACAAATCCCATCTAAAATCAAATGCACACAAGACCCTCGAGGCTCGTGCCACAGCCACCAAGCGTTGAATCCCCCCAACCCATCATTAATAGTATCTAAATTGAAATCGAATTGAAATCATTATTGTCAGCCGCATTTAAGTACATATGTAATCTATGATATTAATAAAGCTTCCGTTCCGTAGTCATGTGGATATTCCTATTTCTTGGTCAACCTAGAAAACTCTGGCGTTTTCAATGATCTTCTCGTTGTCGTAGATCTCCTTGGCGTAGCACAAACTGGGGTAGTCGTAGGCGGCACCATATCGGTTCCTGCATCCAGTGGCGGCCTTCTCTCCCGGAGTATAGACGGGCTGACCCACGATATTCGAGGTGGCGAAGTTGCAGGTCAGCACGAAGTGGTTGTAAAAGTCCCGGGAGAAGCGCACGGCGGCACATCCCACGTGGGTGTTCTTCTCCGCAACGGCAACGGTGAACTTGGCCACAGCCCTGTTGGGCAGCTCCTCCGGGAAGCTGGCCAGGATCTCGGGAGAGGCATTCAGGCGCTCGGCGAACCAGTTCTCGATCTGCTCCTTCAGAATCTCCGCATCGGTGTACTCCGACTCGGCCCCACTGTAGCTAAAGATTGCGTTGTTCTGTCCGGCGTAGGCGAATCTCTCCGTGCTGCGGCACTTGTCCGGCAGGGATTCACAGGTGTGCACGTTGAGCAGTGCCAGGTGGGCAAGCTCCTCGCACCAGGACATCTTGGCCATGCGAACAGCCTTCGGTAGGCCTTCCACTCTTCCTCCAGCCACGTTGTTGCGGAGTTCGTTGAAGAGGGTCAGGATCAGTTTGTGGTGCGGTTCAATCTTCACTTCACGCACATCCTTGGGGCAGTTTTCGCTGAAGTTCTATTTCGGAGATATGGTAAGTGAGGATTATTTCAGCCTTGTAGGCGATCTTACCCCTTTGTTGTTGCAGGCGATGTGCTTGTCCAGACAAGTGGGCAGGGCACAGTAGTCCACCGCCAGGGTGAATCCCACCAAGGCACTAAGCAGAATCAGAGACTTAATGGCCATTTCAGCTGCTGTTTTTGCACTGAAGCTTGGACTGCTAGAAGTCTCTTTTTATAGGACAACTCAGAGTCGGTTTTTCGTAGTAATCCAAACGCAGTTGGTGACTGTGCCGCTGTATTTTTCCAGCTGGGTTTCAACGAATGTCTGGCTGGAGTTATGGAATTTAGTTCATCTGATGCCGTATAAAAGCAGACCACTCTACCAAGGTTCCTCAGTTGCAATCCAGTAGCCAAGAACCAACAACATGACTTCCATCATTGCAATCCAAGTGGTCCTCTTAGCTGTGGTAGGGATGTCCTATGCCGTGGACTACTGTGCTCTACCCACCTGTCTGGATAAGCATATAGCCTGCAACAACAAGGGAGTAAGAATATAATCTATACATGTATATAGTAACCACATTAAATCATAGGAAAGTCTTTAAAAAATATCTTCTGATGTATATTGCTCTAATCTTACCCAGAACTTCAGCGAAAACTGCCCCAAGGATGTGCGTGAAGTGAAGATCGAACCGCATCACAAACTGATCCTGACCCTCTTCAACGAACTCCGCAACAACGTGGCTGGAGGAAAAGTGGAAGGCCTGCCCAAGGCCGTGCGCATGGCCAAGATGTCCTGGTGCGAGGAGCTTGCCCACCTGGCACTGCTCAACGTGCACACCTGTGAATCCCTGCCGGACAAGTGCCGCAGCACGGAGAGATTCGCCTACGCCGGACAGAACAACGCAATCTTTAGCTACAGTGGGGCCGAGTCGGAGTACACCGATGCGGAGATTCTGAAGGAGCAGATCGAGAACTGGTTCGCCGAGCGCCTGAATGCCTCTCCCGAGATCCTGGCCAGCTTCCCGGAGGAGCTGCCCAACAGGGCTGTGGCCAAGTTCACCGTTGCCGTTGCGGAGAAGAACACCCACGTGGGATGTGCCGCCGTGCGCTTCTCCCGGGACTTTTACAACCACTTCGTGCTGACCTGCAACTTCGCCACCTCGAATATCGTGGGTCAGCCCGTCTATACTCCGGGAGAGAAGGCCGCCACTGGATGCAGGAACCGATATGGTGCCGCCTACGACTACCCCAGTTTGTGCTACGCCAAGGAGATCTACGACAACGAGAAGATCATTGAAAACGCCAGGACGTTCTAAATCCGCTTTTTGCATTCGTACGATCACCTTCGAAGGCGCACTTTATCACTATTATTAATCAAGCATGCAAATAAATAGCTAAAAGAGCTAACAATTTCACTTGTACCCTGTAATCATTTCTAGAGAAAAAGGATTTGGCTTAGAAACCTTCCAACCCACTCCGCAAATTATCGATTGTTTTGATTTCGCTTTAGTCTAAATTGTTTTATTTATATATATCATATCATGCGAGAGGTATTCATTATCTTGTCGTCCGCTTTTTAACAGCTTTTTTTGGATGTCCAACTTGTACAATTAAACAAACACAATATCACAATCTTACGCAGGTATACAAAACTTTTATCTAATTCCTAGGACCCTTCGAGTCCAGCCCTCCTGGGTTGTTTACCCTCTTGATCGGTATGAATCTTTGATAATGCAATAAATAGAGTTATAATTGCTTAGATGTAAGTGGGCTAGCCGATATAATCCCGATTTGTGTTGGTGGATGATTTTCAGAGAGGGAGGCAATGCAACCAGATGATCTTCAGTTAGTCAGTGATTTTGCACTAAAATGATGAAGAAATTAAAAGGAGAAATAAGTAAAATAAGCCAATATGGGTTATATAATAAAAAATCTTTTTAGGCTCAAAATAAATTGAAAATAATTCGGTAAGGATATGATTTTGAAATCATAAAATTAATTAGGTTACCAAGTTTGTGAAAGTTGATATCTAAAAGGTCTTCAACAAAACTTAATAAGTTACAAAATAGACAAGATAGTCTTGATATCGGAAATACAATTAACAATTATTCAAGGGATTATGATTGGGATTCGAGGTTTCTTGTGTACGAGAGACAACAACTATAAGTACAGCTAGCATTAACTATGTAGGAACTGGGTATTACTTTTCCTTGGGCGCCTTGTCGAATAGGTACTCCTTGGCCATGCTGTAGGCCAATCCGATAGTCAGACATCCGACTACGGTTCCCTGGGCGGCCACACGCAACTGCATCAGAAACACACTGGTGCTCATCGTTCCACGGGTCCGGTACTTGTACGCACCAATCAGTCCAGCTGCTAAGAATCCGCCAATACCTATAAGTAAAAGTAAAAATCACTGATTAGTCTGACTATTGAATTGGTTGTTATGGTCGCAGGTTTGTTGTTGCTAACTGCTCATGTGCAACAGCTGATAAAATCCAGACGAAGGCAAAAAAATAAAATAGAAAATTCAAGACCGTATGGGAATAGTGCTGCCCACTAACAAGCACAATATAGGCTATAATGTAGTTATTTCGTTAACTTATTTTAATAGTTTGGCACAATTTATTTGGTTGTTCTAATAAACTTTAACTTATACAGCATTTTGCATTTGTATTATAAGATTAGGATTATTTTAAGATTTGTATTTTACAAAGTCAAACAAAAATGATATAACATAAAGTTTACAGAACTTGTACGGAAATTCTAAAAAAAACAGTTTTCAAATGCTGAGGCGTTTAAATTCTTTAAGATATTAGGCAAAACGATTTTTTTTTAACATTGCGAATTGCAGCTCACCAAATAAATTCAATAATAGCTAAATCGAAAAATCGAGTTAAATTAGCATCACATTTTAGCGTCAGCTGTTAATTGTCACACACGCAGAAAAGCGAGATAGTTGAACATTCGAACACGCGCCAAGATCAGATGGCAACGTGACGTCACGGATGTGATAATCCTAATTCCCCGTTGCATTTCTCACGAACAACTTGTGGAATTGCGAAATAGTTCCGTTATATCATGCGCCTTCCAGAAAAATTGTAGATTACGCAGCATTACCGTTATGTCACCCAGTTTTTAAATGTCCCCGAATTGCCGTTAACCTCATCAATTGATTGCCATGGCCAAGGTCAAGATTAGCCGACTTTCGCGCACACGCATTATATATATATTTAAACAGTATGCAGCCAAAAGTTTCCATGTGACGTCACGGCGGGCAAACTTCCGCTGTTTGGAAACTTGCAAAAACTTACCCACTAGCATGAAGGGTGATTCCTTGGCTTTCCTGGACAATTTGTTGGCCTGGGCGGCATCTTCCTCGCTGTCGAATAAGGACTTGGAGCTCATTTTGAACGCGGGTGGATTAGCTTGGATTTCTCGTTTTGCAACGTTCGCGAAACTTTTAGCAAAGATCAGTGTGGCCGGATTCAAAAAATATCTGATTCCAGCAAGCAAAAGAACTAGCGATGGCACTATCGTTGGTGTAATTAGTTGGTGGCTTCCCAAGAATTTTAACTTGCTGATAATCCTAAAAAAATTATTTAATTGCAATTAAAAACACCTGCAATGCTCACTGTCACTATTGCAAACTATTGGAAAACAACGGACGACTTTATGCCTTAGAATATTTGCTCCCAAACATTAAGCTTGTTTATTTATGGAACAAATAGTCTTACGAAAATGATGATAAAACCAGTTAGTTAATCATTTTTTTTTTAGTAGGCATTTTATTCTTATTAATACTTTCATGTACCAGCGATAGCGGCAAGTTAAATACGATAGTTTCGTTGCCTCGGTCACACTCCCCAAAAAATACCAAATACCACAATCAGCTGTTCGTGGCGCTTTCGGCGCTTTTCCGCCAGATGACGCTTTCGCAATTCCTGTCATGACATAAGAAATTGGTATTTTTAAAGGGAACGGGGCGGACAACAGAAATCGACGTAGCTTTGCTTTGGTCGCTAACTCTGTTTTAAATTTGTGTGTTTTGGAATAAATTGACAAGTGAAAGAACCGTCGACCCGAAATTCGCGAAACAGAGTCGCAGCAATGACGGGAATAATTTCTATCGTAACGAGGCGGCTGCCCCAAACTTTGGGAATGCGAGCCCTGCGGAGTAATGAGGTAAATTTCTGGACGCACGGGGGGATTCCCGGGTGGGGGGGACGGCCCAGGTGTGGATACATTATCCAACGATATTTTTATATCCATTCATTCACTTTCGCTGCCCGCCTGGCACTCTGCGATTATGTAATTGTATGGGTGTGTGTGCGTGCGGGGCTGAAAAATGGGGAAAAACTATTGTTTTGGACGCCCAGCGCACGTGATCCGACAGCCGCCATCCGTTCCTGATTGTGCAATCACTAATTTTAACATCCATCCACCAGTTGAAGCGCTGCATCCGTCAGTATTCCAGGCTAGTCGTCTGTGCCGCCCAGCAGCAGCAACTGCTCCGCCAAGATGTCTCTAATCGCTGCCAGGAGGCCACCAGGTGAGTTCTGCCCTGTCCGCTTATGACTCTTAATTCAGGATTATCTGTCTCTAGGCTGCTCACCTGGCAGGGCATCCACACCACGTCGAGCATGTGGTCGGAGCAGACCGTGAACGTGCCCCCTTTCGCGGACTCCATCGCCGAGGGTGATATCAAGTAAGAGCTGGCTAAATAAATGGCGTCAAGCAACAGGTTCCTAACTCATTAATGACCATTCCCCCCCAAACAGGTTCACCTGCAAGGTGGGTGACTCGTTCGCCGCCGACGAGGCCGTCATGGAAATCGAGACCGACAAGACAACGGTGGCTGTGCCAGCTCCCTTCGCCGGCTCCCTGACCGACATCCTGGTCAAGGATGGCGACACCGTCAAGCCCGGTCAGGCTCTGTTCAAGATAAAACCAGGTGCGGCGCCCGCCAAGGCAGCTGCTCCAGCGGCGGCTGCGCCCGCTCCTGCCGCTCCGAAGGCTGCCCCAGCTCCCGCTGCCGCCGCTCCTAAGGCGGCTCCCGCTCCAGCTGCCCCCGCCGCTGCCAAGCCGCCACCACCGCCACCAAAGGCAGCGGCTCGTCCGCCACCTGCCGCTCCAGTGGCCGCCCTCAAGCCGGCCGTCGCCCAAGTGAAGGTGCCGCCAGCAGACGGATCGCGCCAGATCCTG